GGTTTGTATCCACTCGCCTGATATTTGGAAACGATTGCAATAATCTGGGCGATAGAAATACTCATTCCAGGGATAGTTTCCCTCTCACTCACTGATTGCCAGGTTAGTTTGAACTTTGATTCTATCTTGTACGGTAGTGAGCATATTCTGAATGGGCAATTCGTTGCTCTCGTTTTCACATGCATCAAAAGATGCATGTGAATCTCTTGCTTTGTTTTCAACTTGTTGCATCGCCGGTATTGTAACGAGGTTCATTCCGTCATATCTGGGTTGTGAGGGTTGTTCTGGCATTATAGATATATCCCTATTGTGCAGGCAACGTCTCCAACTGAAGAATTGAACATCTTCCTCGTCTATTATCTCAATTGAGATGTCGAGGAGTATGACAAGTACAGCAATTTTTAGTTACCGTCATCGAACGGGACGGCGGAGGTTGTGACCTCCGTCTAGCCCCAGAGAGAGCGAACTTGTTCAGGAGGTAAATATGTTCGTTAGCTTTGGGTAGCCTGGCGAAGAGAGTGCTCCGAAAGGAGTTGGACTCACTGAAACTCGGGTAGTCCAGCAGCAGTATAATAACCTTGTTTACGGCCATAGTAGTCCGTGATTTCTATAGATTCGTACAGAGTATGTTACTATATTGGCGGCGACGTCCAAATTCAGGTAAAAATGGGTTGGCTGCGACGAAATGCCTATTAGGAATATAGATTTTATGTTAATTCCTGATGGCATTACCGGATCCTGTTGACTTATTTCTCTTTGGATGGGAGTGCCATGTTTTTTTTTTTTTTTTTTTTTTTTAACACAACCCTGGGCGACAACAAGTCGAAGAGCCTAAAACCCAGCTAGATCCAACGGTGATCTAAGCATCCTACTGGAGATAGGCTTGGCTAGCCTAAAGGGAAGAGCAAAGCAACTCATGTTTCTGTACCTTGATTCTACCTTATCAAGCGGCCAAGGAATCCCTGTTGTTCCAGGGTCCGGTTTTCACGTCTGGTCCGGGTCTCTTGTCGAGGGGATATGGGAAGATGTGGCATACTTCAACAGAGTCACATTCTTTCGCGGGGACCATTGTCATTTCAGATGCCTGGGGTAATTAGCGATAGTAGTGTATATACAGAGAATTTCCCATTTCGCGGGAGGGCTTCAATGCGTATGAAGCCAAACGTACTATCGCTTCATTGCAGTTGGATAATCCAGGGAATTCATTGGAGAGCTTCCCAGGAAGAAAAGAGACACGCTCGTCGTCGGTTACGAACATGAGCTCATCATAATCCTGGCTGTTTTGTATATCTCTCTGTGGCAGGCTTTCTGGTCGAGTAGACAACATATATCTCAGGTGTTGGACAGATGAGTGAACTCTTTAAGAGATCGGACAATAAATCAACCACGGAAGTTGGCGAGACACACCAATGCTGACACCTGAATGACACGACGCAAAGGGTGACGTCTGGCTTCAAAACGCTTGCTACAGGGACCCTGTTAAGAAAACTCGGTCAGAGTACCACGAAGGGTGAATAACATTCTGCTCTGCTTAGGGGATACGAGTTGGACTTGTGGAGATAAACCGATTTATTAGGCCATGGCGAATGATGACAGGACTATCAGAAGGTAAATAGGTTTGAGTAATAGGTTATGGTTCTCTCCACAATTTAGGGGGATGGACCGGACTGCTAGGTCTATCTGTAGCGGAATAGATAGCTATGGTGTCAACAGTGGATTATATTATTATCGAAACATGCTGTAGCTGAAATAGTCATAAACATAGTAAATTACACATTGCTACTGCTGAGTAGCATTAGTACTACAGTGTACTGTCTATACAGGGACTCTAGAGAATAGGCTCAGATATATCCCTGAATTTCTCAACAAGGGCTCGAGGAGAAACTTCAGACCGAACATGCTGACGATCAAACCAACCTGGGTCTGTGTTGTTCCGAGCAATCAAACAAAATAGTGTCACACAAACATTGGCATTTCTGATTATTGTGCTGAGACAACGTGTTAATTTATGATAATACAGAACTGAAGCTGCAAAGATGACAAGCTGAACCTGCCATAAGGCACTGCGAATCTCCTTTGACCATCCATGACCAGCAGACAAGATGACCAATAGCTGTGAAAATCCATGAGTCTTGACATCTATATAGCTATATGCACATATCTGCGCTAACTGAAGTCCTCCAATTTGCTGTGGGCTTGTAATCTTGCGTAGCAAAGTAGGCTTGCTGATAGAGGATTGCGGTTCAAAGACCTTTGAAAACCCTCCACTTGATGGGAACACCAAGTTTATATCCTCTTTCTGCGGGCTATGTGCGCAATGGAAAAGTGTTTGGCTGCAGGCTTGGTGCACCAATATTCTGAACCCCATAGCATTGTTTGCTATCCTGTAAGTAAGAATAACCGACATTGAGCTATCAGAATATGAATAGGCACAAGCCACAAGATTTATGGATCTCTCCACAATTCGGGAGGATAGATCGGACCGTTAGATCTATATCTGTCAGAGCAGAGTAGATAGTCGTAGACCAACAGTGAGAATTAATATCAACCGCCATAAGAGATATATAGCCCATGACACACGGCTGTTATCAAGCTCAATCCCGAGACCGGCGATTAACTCCTAACCTGGAACAAGAAATAGACTTCTTATCAGCCGCAGTGATGTCGTGCGGGGTTTGGTTTAAGAGCACGTTCCGATTGTTATCCCTGGCTTCAATCTTCAGCTCTGCATATATATCGGTTCTTTCCTATATACCATTGAATCAATAATATATATATATATTTATTTAGAATGCACTGAGATTGTGTCCATTAAACATGTCCCAAAATAAAGATACCGCCGACGAGGCGTTGGCCCGCATGGGCTATCAGAGCGAATTACCCCGGAATCTGAGCATGCTAAGTATTCTCGGACTGTACACGCGACACTCCCCGGATATACAGAGGCCAATGCTAATACGAAAATGAAGGTCTTTCGCAATTATGGCCGCTCCCTTCGGTCTCAGCACCACCATCACCATCACATTAACAGACGGCCAAGCCGTCTCCGTGATCTGGGGCTGGGTACTAGTCACCCTAATCTCAACCGGAATCGCAGCCTCTCTTGCCGAAATATGCGCCGTTTACCCAACCGCTGGCGGCGTTTACTACTGGAGCGCGATGCTCTCAACCCGCGAATGGGCACCGATTATGTCGTTTATCGATGGGTGGTTAACACTAGTCGGCAACTGGACGGTCACGCTGAGTATCAACTTCAGTGGGGCGCAATTGATTCTCTCTGCGATTAGTCTGTGGAGGGAGAACTTTGTGGCTAGTGCATGGTTGACGGTGGTCGTGTTTTGGGGGGTTATGGGGTTTTCTGTGTTGATGAATGTGTTTGGGAAGAAGTATTTGGACCTGGTGAATAAGGTGTGCATTTTTTGGACGGCGGCCAGTGTCATTGCTATCATGGTGACATTATTGGTGATGGCGGGTGACGAGGGGAGGAGGGATGCAAAGTGGGTGTTTGGGCATTATGATGCTTCGAAGAGTGGATGGTAAATTGCCCCTGTTCTTGGTAACTCACCCGTACAGACGCTGACGATGCAGGCCCTCCGGATGGGCGTTCTTCGTCGGCCTCCTACAAGCTTCATACACCCTCACTGGTTACGGAATGGTAGCATCCATGTGCGAAGAAGTGCAGAACCCTCATCGCGAAGTCCCCAAAGCCATCGTTCTCTCTGTCGTCGCAGCCGGCCTCACCGGCGTCGCCTACCTAGTCCCCATCCTCTTCGTCCTCCCTTCGGTCCAGCGCCTCCTCGACGAACCCAGCGGCCAGCCCGTCGGTCTCATATTCAAGCTTGTCACGGGGTCCCCAGGTGGAGGGTTTGGTCTTCTGTTCCTGTTGTTGGGTGTTCTGTTGTTCGCCGGGACTGGTGCCTTGACAGCCGCAAGTCGCTGCACCTACGCCTTTGCGCGCGACGGCGCAATCCCAGGTTTCCGAATCTGGCGCCGCGTCAACCCCAAACTCGACGTCCCCGTTTATGCCATTCTCCTTTCCGCCGCCGTCGACTGCCTCCTCGGCTTAATCTATTTCGGCTCCGACGCAGCTTTCAACTCCTTCACGGGCGTCGCGACAATCTGCCTCTCCACCTCCTACGGTCTTCCAATTCTCATCTCCATGATCCGCGGACGACAAGCCGTGAAGCATTCAGGTTTCTCGCTGGGACGGTTTGGGTACGCAATTAATGCGATCACGGTGTGTTGGATCGTGCTTGCGGTGGTGCTGTTTTGTATGCCTGTGTCATTGCCTGTGAATGCTGGAACCATGAACTATGCGAGTGTTGTGTTTGCGGGTTTTGCGGCGATTAGTGTGGTGTGGTATTTCGCATACGCGAGGAAACATTTTACGGGGCCGCCGGTGGGTGAGGAGGAGTCGCGGGTTATGACGGGTCAGGCGGTGGATAATGTAGAAGCTGAGCCGGAGAAGCAGAAGAGCTGATTAACCTCTGCAATTATCTACGAGTATATATACAGTGTAAAATAGACCTGTTATGCTATTTTGTTTGCGGTTTTTTAGGTGCATTCAGTTTATACTCTATTACTACTAATACCCCTGGACTCAATCACAAGTATCCAATCCCCTCCGAGAGCCGCGGTCCAACACTTCAACGCCACGACAGACAAGCAGCGATAAACATTCTGTCAATTCATGCTTCGTGCTTTATTATTACTCTTAATCTATTCCACGGTGCAGAAACACGTTTCTCTCGCATAACCTGACGCCTGCCATTCATATCCAGCATATTTGTTTATTTGCGCGTGCAGTGATAACTCCGAAGTCCGGGAAAGAAGCTTTTGCCCTTTCTTTCTTCATATTCGACTATACCCGTGGCTCTATATACATACTGTCACTGCAGGACAAGCCTGATGTTATATACCGCATGATATATCTATCCATGCCAGACACCGCCGGATGAGGATACCCGGAGTTCGAGTTCGCATTGAACCCACTTAGCATCATGTCGGATTCAGTTGGTGAGTTCTCCCCTTTCAATGCATTCAAGAAACAAGCTAAACTAAGGATACGTGTTAGATCGTGTCTTCGTTCATGCCTTGAATACCGTCAAACGAATCCCTCGGACGGGCACCGCGCGCCCTCCGACGGCGGAGCGATTAAAGCTATATGGATTGTACAAGCAAAGCATGGGTACGTACTGAAGATCGCGTGAATAGGGAATGATTGCTAACGGAGGAACAGAAGGAGATGTCGAAGGAGTAATGGACCGACCCGTTGGGAATACAACAGATGTCTACGCGGAGTGCGAGAAATGGTACCAACCCAACCCCATACCCCCAGGATAAAGGCCATACAGGAACTTATAAATAAAAGGGACGCTTGGTTTGCCCAACGCGGTGTTTCCCGTACAGAAGCCAAACGCCGCTACATTTCCACCTTAATCGAAACCATGCACCGCTACGCGTCGCAAACCTCCGAAGCGCGCGAGCTCGTCGCAGAGCTCGAGTTCGTCTGGGATCAGATTAAGACCAACACCGCACACATGCCGCTATCGTCGCCATCATCACCTGAGTCAGGGAGCCATGGGATGTCGCATACACAGAGGGTCGGGGTTCCGCCGTTGTCGCCGCCGGAGGTACGGCAGTCGCAGTTGCAGGCGTATTCGCAGTCGCGGTTGTTACAGCAGCAGCAACAGCAGCAACAACAGAGAGGGTATGCGAATATTGGGGGACGGTTGGCGCAGCCGTACGAGGATATGGTTGCTATTGCTACCGCGAATAATGGGAGAGAGTCGTCGAGATTACGGGTGTTGAGCCCTGTTAGTCAACCGGATGAAATATACCAGCGTCGGGGGAGGCGGATGCAAGACTATGAGGATAATGGGAGTCAAGGGCAGCATCTCGACGACGAAGACGAGGAAGAGGAAGAGGAGCAGTACGAGGAGGCGCAGGATACTCTTTACGATGAAAACGACGACAACGACCAACATCACAGCAAACACACCTCCGATGAGGAGCTCAACCAGGATGGCGGAGACTCTTCATCTTCCGTCCAACAACATCAGGGCAGCAAACTCTCCCACAGTAACCATAACAACGACAACACTCGCAAAAGAAGCAAACCATCAGACACCCGTCGCTGGCGACGTAGAGTCGAGCAGGCCTTGACCAAGATGACAGCTGAAATTGCCGCTGCTCGCGAACAAATGGAAATCCGCGCCATCCAACACCGTCGCCGCAACAGCGCCTGGGCTTGGTTGAAATGGCTGGCGTGGGTAACGTTGCGGCAGGTGCTGTGGGATTTGGCAGTGTTGGCGATGCTGTTAATATGGATGCGGATAAAAGGGGATAGACGCGTAGAAGAGAAGTTGAAGAAGGGTTGGAGTGAGTTGAGGAGGAGATTGGGGAGATTGAGAATGGTGAGAGGGCATTCTGGGGTTATGTTGCCATAATATCTCTTACATGGTCTCTTTTGTTATATACCTGTACTCTGGCCATTCATTATGTTCCTTGGTTATATTATTATATTATAGTATATAATTGGAGGTTATTTGTATATTGTTACCGAGATAGACATAATATTCTGATAGATTGAAGCACTCAAACCCATACCATTGATGCTAATATATACACAAACATAAAGTGCCCAGAACCAGGAAAAAGAAACCGAGTAAGGAAAGTAATACAGTTTATTCTAGTACTGAGGACCGGCATATTGAGCATAGAGCTGCTTAGGCCGGAGATGTACGGGAGTCTGATTCTCCGGAGCACCGGGGATATTCTTCTTGAGGCCCTGCACGGAGTTAGTAATGAACGAGAAAAAAAAGGCAGTAGCGGAACGTACCAGCTTCTCAAAAACGCAGTTGTTCAATTGCATCTCGGGCCTGCGGCATTCCCACAGGTTGTGGTTGTTGTTCTCCAGACACTCCCAGTGGGCAGTGAACTGCTTCAAGCAGTTGGTGTTGATATCCTTGATACTGCACATTGTCAGCGCTTTCCAAATCTTCAATCACCTCAGACAAAGTGTAGACATACACACTAGCCGCACAACGAGTGACCTTGCGACCCTCCTTCAAACATTCCAGTTCCCCGCGTCCATTCGCCTCGCTCTTGCACTTCATGTAATCGTCGTTGAACGCCTGGCACCGGTCTCCGATAAAATACGCTGCGCTCGTCAACGGCGCTGACGTCGCTCCGACCTCTTCGACCTTGGGAATACTGGCGGGCATCGGGGTGGTGTCCACCAGGACACTCTGGTTGAAGCTACGTTCGTTAGCATTCTTTGCCGAGTTTGCGTTGTTATGAGATTGCGAGGAGCGGTGCGTACCGAGGATCTCTATCGGCCATTTTGATTGTCTGTCTGGCACTTGTAAGTGTCCGTTGCTCGAGGATGATGGGTGTATTCGGAATGACCGCGAGTGAGAGCTGTGAGGTTGAATCGGAATTTGCTTCACCGTGATTGGTTGCTTCGGTGGTTAGGTAAGCAGTTTTACAGTGTAAATGCTATGATGGACATAAAACACTGTTTACGGTGGAATTGACACTAGAAAAATGTTATTTTAGGAATTGGAACCTTTTAGTCATTCAATACTGGACCAATTTCACCAGGTTCAGCGCGCAACACTGTTTTGGTTGTCACGGACAAAACACGTGACCACCACCAAAAAAACAATGGGGCCGCAGCTCCCAGGAAGCTTCAGTGAGAGACTGAAGTGACAGGCTCGCCTTCCGCGCCGGTGTCCAACGCCTGTTATTTCATTGTTTGCCCTGCGCCAATGCGATCCTGAAGAGTCGCTTATTTCTGTTCTTCCTAATACTTATCGAGTCGTCTTTGCACCGTGCGCGATACCGGAGATTGTTGTTCTTTTTTTTCTGCCGGACAACTCGTTGCTACCCGGACTCTTCAATTTCCTCATCACTTCCTAAGTCGCAGTAACCTTCTTTCTACAAAGAACCCCTGAACAAACCGAAATGTCCCTCTTCGGAAACGCGCAACCCGCCGGTGGTGGTGGGCTATTTGGCTCCACCGCCAACAAACCCAGTCCATTTGGTTCGAATACAGGTGCGGCCGGTACCCAGCCTAGCGGAGGAGGACTATTTGGCTCGACTCCCAGTAACCAGCAGTCCTCAACGGGTGGTGGGGGATTATTTGGTTCGGCACAGAATAACCAAGGTGCACCTGGTGCTACTGGTGGTGGATTGTTTGGCTCGACGCCGCAGAATAACCAACAACAAGGTGCTACAGGAAGTGGTTTGTTTGGCGCGACGGCAAATCAGCAGAGTTCGACTGGTGGTGGTGGGTTATTTGGGTCGTCGACAACGCAGAATCAGCAGCCTTCTGGGGGCAGTTTGTTTGGCGCTACAGCGACACAGAATCAGCCGTCCGGTGGTGGTGGTTTGTTTGGCTCCTCGACAGCACAGACTCAACCCTCAGGCGGGAGTTTGTTTGGATCCACGACTCAGCAAAAACCTGCCGGTGGTCTTTTTGGCGGTGGTGGATTAGGAGGGGGACAGCAACAACAGACCGGGGGTGGTCTCTTTGGTGGCGGAGGACAACAACAACAGCAACAACAACCACAGACTGGCGGTGGTTTATTCGGGGCTAGCGCACAGCAGCAACCTCAACAACCAGCACAGCAGAGTGCCTGGGGGAGTAATACATTGGGTGGTCAGCCACAGCAAGGACAGCAACCTCAATTGGGACAGAGCACTGCACAGCAGCCGGGATCTAGTCTTTGGTCGCCAGGACGTGCTGTGACGGGGGTGCATAGAACCGTGCCGATGCAGATGGCCATTATCAAGGACAAATGGGAGAGCACGAGTTTTTCTTCTCCGTTTAGAACATATCTGTACAACAACGTTGGTGAGGAAGCGGCGCCCTTTTATCAGCCGGGTCCCGAGGACGACGAGGCAAAATGGGAAGAAGCTTTGCGGCAGAGACCTACATCAGGAAACGTGCCTGTTCTCGTGAGAGGATTTTGGGAACTGGGAAAGCGCGCCCAGAGACAAAAGGACTTCTTGACTATGATGCAGAACCGCCTCCACGAAATCAACAACTGCCTCTCCGAATTACTCTCTCGCCACGACCTGAAGATTTCCGTCAAGATTGCCGACTGCCGGCGAAAGCACATCGTCCTGAGTAAGCGATGCCTTGCGCTCGCAGCCAAGACGCAAGTTCTGCGAAACCGCGGCTACGCAATGGACGACACGGAGGAGGAGCTGAAGAAGAAGCTTGCTCATCTGGAGCGTTCTGTCTTCGACCCAACGCTGAATGGACGTGGAGAGGAGATTTGGGCCCGGATGCTGGCGATCCGTGAGCACTCGAAGCGCCTGCAAGTTGAGATGGACCGGGCTGGTGCGAATGCGGCCTCGCAGGGTGAGGATGAACTGGACGAGAATACAATGAAGACTGTTAAGAAGGTATGGACATTGCGGACTCTTCACTATTGGGTTGAAGCTAACAATTACCAGATTCTTGATGACTACCACGCTCAGATCCAACACCTACAGAAAGAATTGAGCTCAGTCAGGAAAGACTATGAGGAGGCACAGAAGGCGCAGGGACTTGCTGATTAGATTTCTCTTTTGTTTTGGGCTCACACAACTTTGTCTCGCCATGTGATATGCTCCTCTTGTTCTTCTTGTATATGCGTGGTAATAGGTAATCCGGTACGAAAACATTCATGTAATGGAGCAACGGAGTTATGGAGACCGTTTGCCATTCTACCAATTGCCGTTCTATAAGTAGCAAGATCATGCTTTCCATTTCTCTATATCCATGACCCAAGACAAACGAAAAATGTACAATACTAATACATCATGCCATGACTCCCGTTAGTCAAGCGAGAGAGAAACACCAGACCATGTAGTATATCGATGTATGTCATTTCTTCATGACAGCCATTCCATCACGGTCTCTTCGAATTTTCAGATATCATCAGTTGGTTGGAGCGGGTGAAGTCGTGAAAGTGGAAACAGATTAGAGGAACTTCTTAACAAAATCAACGGCGAAGGGGGCTATAGTTGAAAGCAGCCAGTCAGTCTGAGTGTGCCCTAGGCAGATAGGACGAATGGAACATACAGAGGTAGAGCATGATGGCACCGGCGACGGCAGAACGAACAGTCTGCGAAGCCTGGATTTCTCCAGCCTGGACGAGGGTTGTCAGGACGAGTCTTGGAATATACTCTCTATGCAAAGAGAGTGTAGACGACGAGTGTAACTGGGGTTTTTTACCTTGATCTGCTCCTTGGAGAGCTGTTCCTGGCCTGTTCGGTGGTTAGCTGTGATTCTCAAGGAGATGGCAGAGTTTACTTCTGCGACTGACCTGGCGCGAACATTATGATTTAATGGAGTGTTTGTGTATTGGACTGTGGTACTGATGGTAACTGTGAATGTCGAGTTGAACCGAATTTCACGAAGCCTTTCATTCTGCCGGCGGCACGGACCACATGACCAGCCCCGACGGAGGCGGAATTTCTTTCTGCTGCTTGACTTCCTGTACTCTTACATCTGTTTTGCGGCGCGAGTCGTGGTCTTTTCTTCTATTTATTTCTTGAAATCATATTAACATCTTTCGATTACTCCTTTCTTTATACTAAATCACTGAGGTGCGCGTCGAAATCCAATCGCGGAGCCGCATTCAACCACCCCGATTCGTATCCTTCGCTAGCTCCTTTTCATCTCACACATTCGCTTCCCCACGACGTCGTATCATCTCACCATGTCCGCTAGCCCCGAGCCCGAGACAAAGCTTACTCTTACCGCTGACCCTGTCGCGGAAGATGATGGCCAGCCCGAGCAAGACGCCAAAGCCGCCACGCCGATCGCAGGCGACAACGACAACGACGAGAACGAGGGAGCAGAGCTGAAGGAGCAAATCGATGGAGCGGATGATGATGAGGAAGACGAGGAGCTAGCTAAGCCGGCGGCTGCCGGGGACGATGACAATGACGATGAAGAGGAGGCCAACGCTGACGGCTCTGACGACGAGTCAATTCTTTCTGAAGTCGATGAGGCGCAATTTGAGGACTTTGATCCTGAGAATGTCGATGTTGAGGATCGGCCGCAGTTGGCGATTGACGAGGAGAATTTGAAGTTGGTCGGTCGGCACAAGCGCAAGAGGACTGAGGAGGATGGTGATGGTGAGCGTTCGTCGAGAAGGAAGAAGGAGGGTCGGCGTGAGAAGAAGACTCGTCGTATGAGGGAGTTGGAGGAGGGTGGTGAGGATGATGAAGGGGAAGGCAAGTCGAGGAGGAGGGAGAAGAAGAAGAGAGATGCTACCCCTGATGAAGAGTTGTTGGATCCTGAGACGCGTATGTCTTTGTTTTCTTCAAGTATTAATGATGGCGTTTAACAAGCATTGCAGGTCGTCGTCGGGCCCTTGATCGGGCTATGGACCAAGCGTTGAAGAAGCCTACGAAGCGACGTGCCAAGAAGGCTGATGGAATCGTACGTCCTTGAGAAGTCTATGTCATGGGTGATCTGATACTAATTTGATTGCTCTAGGACCTCGAGCAAATGGCCGATGCTGAAATCGAAAGCATGCGCAAGCGCATGACCAACGCCGCTCAAATGGACGCCTTTGCCCGTCGGGAGGGCAAGCCCGCCATGCACAAGCTCAAGATGTTGCCAGAGGTTGTCTCGCTGCTCAACCGCAACCAGTACATGAACAGTCTGGTTGACCCGGAAATCAACCTTCTAGAGGCTGTCAAGTTTTTCCTCGAGCCACTTGATGACGGATCCTTGCCAGCCTACAACATCCAGCGCGATCTGATGAATGGCTTGGCCAGGCTCCCCATCAATAAAGAGGCCCTGGTGGCCAGTGGAATCGGTAAGGTGATTGTGTTTTACACTAGGAGCAAACGCCCCGAGGCTGGCATTAAGCGTCTGGCGGAGCGTTTGCTTGCGGAATGGACGCGACCTATCTTGCAGCGCAGTGATGACTATTCGAAGCGGGTTTACCAGGAGGCTGCATTCGATCCTACGTACGTGCTTTACCCATTGACTCTGTCCACGTATTTGATACTGACCTTTATAGGAAACTCACCAACCGCGCACCCACGGCCCAAGCGACTGCGGCGGAAGCCCGGGCACGAGAACTTCTTCCTCCCCGACTGGCAAACCGTGCCCGTGCCGAAATTACGCACACCAGCTACACAGTGGTGCCCCGTCCAACAATGGTGCAGGAGAGCAAATTCGCTCGTCCTCTGGGAGCCAGTGGCGAGGATCGGTTCCGACGGATGCGGGCGCGACAGATTGCAGCTTCGAAGGGATCTCGAAAATAGATACTGGTCTATACGGTTCCTTTCGCCATGCTTTTTTTATTATTCTTATTTCCGGTTTTTTGGTCAGGTTGTCATGGCGTATGGGCGTATTGCATCTTATTTGAAATTGCTTGTGTATTATGCATCTAGAAATGGATATTATACAGAGTCCAATCTAATAATAAACAGAACAAGCATTACTCGTGCGATAGGATAGACTCGGTAGAACCCGCCGAGCTATACCCGGCGGTAGTCGCCGAGCAGATCCCGACCCGGGCGACGTCACACCCGGTTTTTGGTCGGCTCTTCATGACGCAGAAATTTGATTATATCAGACCATCGTTCGGGGTCTGTCACTTCACTCCGTGTCGCCATTTTCTTCGATCTTTCGCTCACAATCCGGAATTGTTTCTTCTCTACCATCTTATAGGATTTTCACCTCTATAGAATCTAATACCCCAACATGAAGCTCTTATCAAAGGAAGAAGAGGATGCACACTACAGGTAAGTCGGCAATCCCCCACGGAGAAACCACCACAAAAGCACCCACTAACGAAAAAAAAACCTCCAGCTCTGTCCTCAAAGGCGGCACCCTGGGCACACTCGCTGGTCTTGCCGCAGGCGTCGGCGGCGTAATGTTCGCCCAAAAACGCTATGCTACAATCCGCCACCTCACCCTCCCCATGAAATCCTTCCTCGTAACTTCCTCGGGAACATTTGTCGGAATCATCTCCGCTGACAACGCCTCGCGCTCCTTCGAAGCCTCCCGCAACGCAGAACGCCAATGGTATGAGAACCGCGAGCAGCGTCTCCGCGATGAGGGTTTGCAGGGTATGAGTTTTATGGACCGTGCATTCGCGTTCGCTCGTCGTGAGAAGTACAAGATTGTTAGCGCTACGTGGGTGGCTAGTATGATTGGGTCGTGGGTGTTTGTGGGGCGGAACCCTTTTTTGTCTGGGCAGCAGAAGATTGTGCAGGCGCGTGTGTATGCGCAGGGTTTGACGCTGGCGGTGTTGGTTGCATCGGCGGCGTTTGAGATTTCGGATCAGAAGAAGGGTCGTGGGATGTTGAAGCAGGGGCAGAAGGCGGATATGAATGCGGCGGCTAAGGAGAAAGCTGCAGAGGAGCAACAGGGGAATTTGTGGAAGGATATGGTTGCTGCCGAGGAGGAGAGGTTGAAGCAGAAACATCAATCGTTGTATGAAAAGCCTCATGCGCATGCTGAGGAGCTCGCTGATCAGGGTGAGAAGGGTGAGAAGAAGGAGAGTGAGAAAGGCGAGAAGGGCAAGAACTAAGTACATGCTTGATTCTGTTTGGACGACACAAGGCAGGTCCTTCTCTGTCTGTTGGATATTTGAGTTCATTTTACGTGGTAAAAAGGCGTTCTGTTATATAATGTATTCCTATTGTACGAAATATTCAATCTCCTACTCCAAACTTCCTGATATGACACGATTGGAGAACTTCATTGTTACATACTATTCAACCAGCTAGATACAAAGATGGAAACACATTTGATCACCAACGAAACGCACCCCCAAGAACCCTAACTTAAACATACCATAAGGAACAACGGCGATGACAACGACAACAATGTCAACACGAACACCCACACTCAGTGCCTCACCCTGCGGTTTCCAAGTTCAATAGACTCAGTCTCACTGTCAAATCCAGCATGTCTGTAACTTCCAGTATCATACTCATATTCGAGAACCGCCTGACTCTCCTCATCCTTCTTCCTAGTATCGCCCACAAAGCAAGAAGCCTGGATATTGTTAAGCTCGTCCTCCTCCTTATCAAGACTGCGGTGAGAGATGTAAAACAGGTTTCCACCAATGAAGGCCAGAATCGCAACGAAGCCATAGTTCCAGACGAGAAGGGGATCAGTCGAGAGAGCAGTCAGACCCTGCTGGATAGCAGACGAGATAGCGTTCATAAAAAGAAAGAGAGACTGCACCAAACTCTTCATGTTCTTTGGAGCCTTGGTGTATGCATACTCATATCCCGTAATCGATGCCAGGATCTCTGAGATTGCGACCAGGATGTACGGTACCGCCTGTACCCACACGTTGATTGGGGCTGGTTCCTTGCACACGCTCGGGTGGTCACCGCAGGGACTAGACTTGTAAATGTAGTGCTGGGTGACTGTCGCAGCGACCATGGACAAAGAGGCGAGGATGAAGCCGGTGTAGATGCGCTTGAGAGGGGTGAACTTGATGCCCATGTGGCTGAGACCCGGGTAGACGAGATGGTCCATGATGGGGATGAAAATGATTAGGGCGAAAGGGTTGAGGTTGAGAATGATGTCGTTGGGGGCGCCGTGGAGTTGCATGGTTGCCGCTTGCGAGGTGAGGTTGTTGGTCATTTGGCTGTAGGTGAGCCCTGTTTCCTAGCGTTAGCCATTGTCATATAATCTAGAAAGAAAGAGGACATACAGTAGAGCGGATACCAGAGGAAGATCACACAGGCCTTGGCGACACGACGGACCTCATCAACCCACAAGTCATCGAAAGTCATCCATTCGGGCCTGTGGTCAATCTTGCTCGGCTTCGTGTCCTCCCAGAAGGCACGAGACTTGCAGTTGCGAACACTGACATCGTTAGCCACTTGACCCTTCATGCTCTGGGGAAGAGCGAACCTACAGTGTCCTCGGATTCCATGACCACTTCTTCATCAACGCAAGCCACCACAACTTACAAGCCTTTCCCAACACAGACCCCGTAGGCGGCGTAACCGAATAATTATTCCGGCAAACATACAACACAAGCGGACAGAACCCAAACATGATCGTAGGGATCAAAAATGCCAGCCAGAACCCGACATATCGTTCCGCGTAGACCATGGAGATGGAACCTGCCAAAGCACCAACGTTGATCATGCAGTAGAAGTACATGAAGATACGCGAGATGGTCTGGCCTGGGTCGACGATCACTCGTTCGCCAGTTTTGGCGAGGGTTCTGACGTATGGACGTGTTTCTTTGTATTGCTCTGCGATCAGAGGGGAGATGTTTGACCTGTCATTTGTTAGCATCATTCTCAGGGCTTTGAGAGAAAACAAAAAAGGGGGGAGGGGGGAGGAATACTTGAACCCCCCAACGCCAATACCAAAAACAACCAGACCCACGGAGAAGCACCCCAAAGATCCCTGGGGGTGTGTAATAACCGACGGCAACGCAGAGATAATCAAGATGATATGACCCAAAAACGCAAAGACAATCGAGAGCTGGATGGTCTTGAGTCGTCCGAGGAACTCATCGCCAATCCAGGCGCCCACAAGCGGAGTCACGTAGCACCAGAACGTATTGACTGGATCATGAGCAACTGATTTTCGAAAGGTGAGGGTAAAATACTTACACGTCGTAAGACCAGTCGCGGCTTGCTGTCCCATGCCCAGAGCACCAGGCTGGCTAGAACCATCGGCACCGGTCTTCGATCCCTCAGGCAGAGGCTGCTGAATGTAGTTGACAACTGGAACAATAGTTAGGGCCCAGAGCCAAGGTTTCTCGGGGATGAAGACTCACAAACAGCAGCTGTTCCAAAGAACGAGAATCTCTCGCACAACTCCACAAACGCAATCGTGTAAGCAACCCAGGGAACCTTGCCCGACACGCGACGCAAAGTGTTCTCTTCTTCCACCGTAGGGCGCTCGTACACATCATCATCCAAGAACCTAGAAGAAGTAGAGAACACCGTGGACTTGACTGGAGAGACGGTGGCATTAGCACGTTCGGAGGATTTGCGTTCAGACGCCTCGGTTAGATGGGACTTGAAGCTGAGCCAGGACCTGTAGCTGTTTGTAGCTGAGCTTCGTTTTTCTTTCATCATGGTGAGATGGAAGAGGTACACTTTGGCACGAGGTAGAATACAAAGGGGGGGAGTAATGAACGAATGGACATCCACGAGGACTAGGTCGAGGATGGGGAGAAAAAGAGGAAAGCAGAAGAGGAAGAGGAGATGGGAGAGAAAAAAACAACTTTGTTGTGTGTGCGTTATTTCTGAGCAAAAACACACACACACATAAAAATAACATCTTGACCGATGGTGAATGATTGAATGAGGGGGTTTCAGTGAATGGGCAGAGAGATTTCACAGGGGTACTGTTAATGAAGGGCTATGCAGGTAAAGAGGACCATTGGCTACTCTTTTACTAATTGAAGGAGAGAGGCAAAATTCAGGACATGTAGAGTGTAATCGCGCTAGATTTGTTTCAACACAGAAGTTCTATATGACCGTATCCAAGGTTAGGGTAAACAGACTGGGTAGGCTCGCCATGCATACAACAACAAAAAAGCGAAAGGAAGAAACAAGAAACTTATCGTGGATTCTCTAGCAGCTGTATATACTCCGTGGCTGCTTTTTATTCTTGGAACACGGTTTCAATATATACAGAGCAAGGTAAGCTATACTGTCGGGGAGGGTTGATTATTGATGTGATGCTGACTATTTGGCCTTTGACGGTTTCCTATGCTTTCAGTGCCACTCAATTGCATGACAAGTTTCTCAAAAATGCTTTATTCAGGGCTTGGACTCCCACACCCTAGAGTTTATCAGCTCGCCGAACAGAGCTACGCGTTGCTAAGTATTTCAGCCACAATGAGAAACAAAGCGGTATAGGCAAACCTAGAACATAATCGTGACTGCACACACATGTGTTCTGGTCCTTGCAGAAAGGTATGTGGCATATTTTAGAGCTTTATACATCTAAATTTGGAAATGCCTTCCACACTGTCTTTGGCTACTGTTTGTTTGCTGGAGTGAACCATAGATATATGACTCTTTGTGTGGTAAATACAAGCTTGCTGCATGTGTAATGATACTCCTGTCATGATTAGGTTTTCTGGATAATACAAATCAATATTCTATATCAAATACTGCTTGATATCTTCATGTAGTTGCGATTTAGCTAGAAGTCGGCTAACATGCCCGATCTGGAAATCCGCCATCTCCACGCGATAACCTCATGTAAATCTTGCATTTGCCTCCGACCAGCAATACAAAAAACGACACAATAATGGCTCGACGCCAGAAATTAGTTTGCAATGCCTGTCGCCAGCGCAAAAGTAGATGCGATGGGAGCACCCCATCGTGCTCCAATTGTACCGCCACCGGCCGCCAATGTCACTACGACAAGGCGCCATCGTTGGCATACGTGCGCGCATTGCAGGAGCGCATCCAATTGCTAGAAAGCCGGCAAACGGTACCTAAAGAAGGATCCGTACCGCTGAATTTTGCCGGACAAGACGAGGAATCCATCAGTGTGGATGCGCGGGGTGACTTGAGCTACCATAATCTGACTTCCGCCATCCACGAAACTCCGTCTGAGAAGGAGTCTGCTTCAACAATAGGGGCACCACCGTCATCTTCGAGCTTGTCGGCAATAACAGCCACAGCGACGCCGCCGGGAACGGAGCAGGTGAACGGAGCAGAAATTCGACGGGCTTTGGTAGCGCACGCGACGGCGCAAAGGCAGCAAGAGGATCAGCACCTGGATCTCATCGCTAGCCATACAGATATTCCCACTCCACTAGCGAGAACATTGCTGGAACTGTACTGGTGCTGGCTACATACTAGTTTTCTCTTTGTTTACCGCCCCACGTTTACCCGGGACATGCCGTTGTTGGTCGGGCAGGGAAGCCGTTCATATTGCTCAGATACGCTACTGAAAGTGGTTTACGCCCATAGTTGCCGATTTGTGCGAGATCCTGAAAGTACCTGGGATCTATTAGGACGCGATGAGACGTTTCAGCAGTTCGCAGACCGATTAATGTCGGAGGCGCAAGTCGCCTTGGCGATGGAAACGATCAATCCTCCATCGATTCCGACGATTCAAGCACTACTGCAGCAATCAGCGCGCGATATGGCTTATGGACGGTCATCGCAGGCATGGTTGTATTCGGGAATGGCGTTTCGCATGGCGATTGATTTGGGGATACACGTGTCAACAGAGCGGCTGCAGCGATATGCGCGGTGGTTGTCACCGGAGGACATTGAAGTGCGGAAGCGACTCTTTTGGAGCCTGTATGCATGGGATAAGCATATCAGTCTGTACCTGGGGCGTATGCCTAACTTTCTGGCGGGAACGGACAGTATTCCCTTGGAGTTCTTGGATGATTACACCGAGACAGAGTCCTGGAAACCATTTTACGGGTCCGAACGATTGGACAACAGAGGCGGTTATCCCCCGACCCCTGGTTATGTTGTATCATGCTTCACAGCTCTGTGCAAATTGTGCAAGACTCTGAGTCGCTTAATGTTGGAGTTGTACAGTCCCGGTACTCAGAAATCAAAAAGGGAATCTGTTCAGGACTTCCCCAAAATGGCAGTTTTTGTCGCGATAAACGAGGAGCTCCAGGCATGGCGGACTGGATTACCACCATTTCTCAAGATCGACCCTCAGAACATACCTTCCATCAGTCCTCCCCATCACATCACCTCTCTCAACCTTATGTACTATACGACTTTGATCCTGCTACATCGGCCACACGTGGCGGGGCAGAGGGACCTGAACACACCCGCTGTGCAGCGCAGCTGGAAAATCTGCAAGACGGCTATGCGAGCGATCCATGATATTCTACAGCTTTATGTGGGGACATTTGGGTTTTCGCATATCACCTACATGAATAGTTACTGTACCTACACGGCGGCTACGACAGCGGTGTATCAGCTGGAGATTGACGATGAGCAGCAAAAGACAATTGGGCCAACACGGAATTCCATTTGGACGGAGCTGAAGTTCCTACTAGATATCTTGCAGCGCACTGCTGTATCAATGACAGGTCTCAACCGCAGCATTGACATTATCCGCTCACGGCTGAAGAAGATCCTCGACAGACGAGCGGCTTCACAATTACAATCCCTGTTCCCGCCACACCTGAGTTCTGAGCACATGCCATCGCAGATTTCACAGCCTCCTTGTCCTCCATCTTACTTCCCATCACCAGAGCCCGCATTTTCTGATGCTCGTCCGACATCATCCACCACACCTTCTCTTTTTCCTCGACAGTCTCAGTTAAACCCACTAAACTCCGGATTGAAGAACGAGAACCCACTTATTCAGGATAACACAAGCCTTGAAGCATGGGCCAGCTGGCTGCCTGCATTCCCAGGACAGGACGTGTCACTGGGGACAGAGTCGCTCTTTGACTGCGAGGCAGGGTTAAGTCCGGATACGCGATGTGCGTTGATGGGGTCGAATCTTGATCCGCATTTGAGTCTTGATTATCCGTTGACGGGGGAGGCAATGGATGAGTATAGCCGGTTTACGGAGGGGCTGTAGATAATATCCTTATGCATAATGAATCACTTGATGTATTATATATGGTACTGGTAGATAGTAAATAGATCTAATGTTTTATCCCCAAATCGGAGGGGATCGGATACCCCACATTTCCCCGTCCCCTCATCGGTTCCTGTACACAACTCTCATCTTCCTCCTCTATCCCATTCTCATACTATCAACAGCTCTAAAAATGACAGTCTACCACATCGGTACGTAACTCCGTTCCCATCCCACACAGCAGAACTAACATTACTCAGTCCTCTTTCGCCTCAAGCAAGGCGTGACGTCCGCCCAACTCTCCGCCTGGAAGAACACCAGCCAGGGAATGGTAGGCAAGATCCCTGGCTTGATCTCGTTACACGCGAACTCACCGTTGCCGATTTCGGTCCCTCGGGCTAAGGGGTTTGATTATGGGCTTGTGGCGGTCTTGGAGTCGCCGGGGCATGTGGAGGGGTACTCAAAGCACCCGGTGCATTTGGAGTGAGTTTTTGCCCTAGCTTTGCGATTTTCGTTACCTGGGAAGTGATCATTTTGGGGGAATACGAGGGTGACCAATGACTGATGATTGTGATAGGAGCCAGAAGTTGAGGATGGAGTTGTGTGAAGATACATTGGCATACGATTTGGAGTTTGAGCCTCCTACTAGAGAGAAGAAGGATTGAATGGGTTTAAAAGGGACATAAGGCAAAGACTTAGTCTGAACTAGGACGAGACGAGGTATATACAACGCCGGATATGATTGAATTAAGAATGGTTCTCTTGAACTGACATGACTTTTACCCGATACAACACTTTTATAAACCTGTCCCATGTGCTTGCCCGTATGAAGATGAGCTGAAAAGAAAAAGGAAAGAAACGAGATTACCCATATTACTCCTTGGAATCGACCTTCTTAGCCGGTTGCTCGCTGCCCTCTTCTTCGCGAGTGCGCTTCTGGCCAGCTTCGGCGGTGCTTTGGACGACGGGGACGCCGCTGTTATAACTGTTAGTGACATGTTCCTAGAAAGTAAATTTGTGAGTGTGACATACTGAGCATCCTTTTCATCACGGGGCTTCTCATCCGCAAAGCCCTTCTTCTGGTCCTCTTCCCGACGCTCCCTCCAGTCACGGCGGTCATCCCTGTTACCGCCACGGCCACCACGGCCGCCACGACCGCCACGACCGCCGCGACCACCACGTCCGCGCCCACGGTGACCACCACGGCCACGGCTGGGCTGAACGCGACCAGCTTCGATCTCCTTGACCTTCTCTTCACAGTATTCCTTCTTGCTCTTGATGATCAGGTCCTGGCCCTTCCACTGGGGCTTGGGGTCGAGCTCCAGGAAAGCCTTCTGCTTCTCTTCCGACTCGAATTCAACGAAGACACTTCCCTTGAAGCTCTTGTCATGTGTGCGACGGAGACGAATGGCGTTGGTGGGACCGTAGGGTGCGAAGAACGCTTCAATATCGAACTGGGTGCTGGGCTCCTCATTTCCGAATCCCTTAACATAGACGCTCCGGTTCATGGCCTTATCCTCGAAGACCTTGACGATGTTGGGGTCATGGTTGGCGGTGACCGACTCAGGGAGGGGGTTTTTGCGGCGCACGCCGGTGTCGTTGTCGGTAAGCTCGAGCGCATCAGACGACTTGAGAGCCTCGACGACGGCGCTGAACGGCTGGAAGCGACGCATACGCTTGAAGGTGTGTAGGAGGTCAAGAGGGACAGAGTTGTTGGTGCTTCCGCCAACCTTGGAGAGAAGGAACTTGTCCGCGACGAGGTTGGAGTCAGAGAAGTAAAATTCAACTTGCTTGCGAATCTCAACAGGGTCGTCAGTCTCCTGCTGAGTCGAGGGGTCGAACTTGGCGTTTGAACGACCCTTGCGATCCTTGTTATTGTAGTTTCCTTCCTTGGACTTAGTCTCCTCAGCGTTCTCAGACTTCTCGCCCAGCTTTGCGGCAGCCTCAACAATGCGAGCTTCCTCAGCGTCTTCCTTCTGTTCGGGCGCAGCGCCATTCGCAGGAGCTTGCTGTTCAGCCTTCAGCTCGGCCAAGGTGTTCTGGACATCCTGCTCGGCGGCAGCGTTGACGTTGGTGTCAGACATAATTGCGACTGTAACGCGATAGGTTCTGAGTCAGACTATTGCGAAGCACGATATATCTTCTATGTTCAATCCATCGTAAGCACTTTATCAAAACACACCCTGAATATGAAGAGGGTTGCAAAACTGCGTAGAGAAGGTCGGCTCAGCATACAAATTCTTCAATGGCGCGTCCAAAAAGGTTGACACGAAAGCGGAAGAGGAAATAGTAAGAAAGAAGGGACGACCGTTTTGTATCGTCTCTCTCTGGGTATCAAGAATCAAAGACCAAAGAACGCGACAGTAAATAAAAAAAAAATTTGAGTTGCTCCTGGGAGAAAACAATGGCTTGTTCTCTTTTATTTTTTTGATGGGAAAATTATCCTAAAAATGCGCGGCGGGGGAAATTTCTGAGCGCCACAGCAAAGCTTCAGCCACTTTGCCTGAGGCATGGATACCGCACCACGCTACTCCAAATATGGAATGGTGTGGATTTTACACGGAAGATCAATACAGTAATATGGCAGAGTATCACGACTACGAGACAGGAAAGGATGGTACTAGGGAAAGCAAGAGACATATTACTGAAACCGAGCATTTTTATTAATCAATTACCAATGCAAACCAAGTCTGGTTTTTACGAACCACAGATCCTCTATTACCTAGGGAACAGGAGTCTCAAAAAGAAACAGCAGGTAAGTACGCATTGGCAAGTTAGGCATAGGTATTAACTTCTGCATAGTATAATGGCAGCTCTACCCCTGCGCCTTCCCATCATGGCAGACTCGTGTAGTTGCCGTCGCCGCGGAATTGGGGTGCGCGGCGCCTGCCTCTTTCGTGCAGTCCCAACTACAGGCGGCTTTGACCTATCTCCCGCCTCTTCTTCTCTTCTTCTCTCCCATCATGGTGGCCTTTTGATCGGATCCAAGAATAGTTCCTACCGGGCATCTTTACCTGTTGGAAGTTTTGGATAGAGATACTTTCAGCATCATCAGCTTATTTTATTTTACTTCTGCATCGTTTCGATATCAGAATTACCTCGAGGAACTCCTTTCTCAGTCAGGTACATCGAATCGACCATCTATGCTGCTCCAAGAGCGTTGAGGTTTGCTAACTATCCTCTCTCAAGGATCCATTCGAATTGTCTATTGAAGCACCATACGAGCTATTCCCTACAACTGCCCTCATGATGTCTGCCATTGGTGGTCCACCACCGCCGGCGCCATGGCCCATGAAAGATGTAAGTTAGGGTCTATTGACAAATTGAGCCATCGGGCTTACATGGGTGTCCAGATCATATACGTGGCTATAGTCGGTCCGGTCATGCTGGCAGCGTTGTTTGAATGGGTGCTCTGGCTCGTTGCATTCTTGTTCTGCCTTGTCAAGGTCTACAAGAAAGCAGACCATTGGTCTGTAAGATTCCTCGCTATAGTAATTATGATTTTCTTCACGCTGTTGAGGTACGTTGCTATCTGACCCATGTCTGATGCTCCGAGTATACACTAATCACTTCACAGAGTGATCTTCCTCCCGATTATGATTGTCACCCTTCCTCTGCCAGCCCAAATCACCCGGTACTTTCCAGCTCGGGGAGTTGTTATCCTACAATGGTTTGCGTTTTGGTCATTTGCCGGGCTACTTATATTGCCGTTCCTCCTTTGCGTCTATCGGCTCGTCACAAACTCGCTTGGAAGGGCAAAGAGGGTCAAGCAGGTTCTTGACGACCGTACCGCTCCGAAGACAGTTATCGTGATGCCAGTGTACAAAGAAGCACCAGAAGTTCTTATCAAAGCGATCGATTCAGTAGTCGACTGCGACTACCCGGCGAATTGCATTCATGTTTTCCTGTCATACGATGGGGGTGTGGTGGACGAGTCCTATCTTCAGGTTATTCACCATCTCGGGATCCCGATATCTTTGAAGACCTATCCCCAAAGTATCGACGTGACATACAAAAATGCCAGGGTTACTGTGTCTCGGTTCAAGCACGGCGGTAAACGACACTGCCAAAAGCAGACATTCAAGCTTATCGACAAGATATATGCGGAATATCTCAAGCGTCGCGACGATCTCTTTGTGCTGTTCATTGACTCTGACTGCATTCTCGACAGGCTGTGTTTGCAGAACTTCATGTACGACATGGAGTTGAAACCGGGAAGTAAGCACAACATGCTGGCAATGACGGGAGTGATTACATCGACCACGGAGAGAAACTCTCTCATTACAGTCCTCCAGGATATGGAGTATCTGCACGGCCAATTGTTCGAGCGTTCTGTTGAATCGGCGTGCGGCTCTGTGACATGCCTTCCGGGTGCTCTTACAATATTGCGATTCTCTGCATTTCGTAAAATGGCCAAATACTATTTCGCAGACAAAGCGGAGCAATGTGATGATCTCTTCGACTATGGAAAATGTCACCTGGGAGAGGATCGCTGGCTCACGCATCTGTTCATGGTTGGGGCCAAAGAACGCTACCAGATCCAGCTGTGCACTAGTGCATTCTGCAAGACAGAAGCCGTCCAGACGTTTAGAAGCCTTTTGAAACAGCGACGCCGGTGGTTTCTTGGATTTGTCACCAATGAAGTATGCATGCTTACCGATATCAGAATCTGGAAGCAGTATCCTCTTTTGTGCTTCGTTCGCTTTATGCAGCACACAATCCGGACGACTGCCCTGCTCTTCTTTATCCTGGTGATTTCCGTTATAACGACATCCAACAAAGTCGAGAACCTCCCCGTGGGCTTCCTTGCTGTGTCGCTTGGCCTGAACTATTCCCTCATGCTCTATTTCGGTGCAAAACTCAAGCGATTCAAGGCCTGGCTCTATCCGTTGATGTTTATACTGAACCCGTTTTTCAACTGGCTTTACATGGTATATGGCATTTTCACTGCCGGCCAACGAACATGGGGAGGCCCGCGAACTGATGCTGCTGCGGCCGATAAGCACACTACCCCAGAAGAGGCGGTAGAGCAGGCACGAGCCCAAGGTGATGAGTTCAATGTTGATGTCGGCACTTTTCGATTATCGCGATGCGAAGACAGGGGCGTCCCAGTTCATCCTTCAGAGAAAGTCGAGGGACGTTTTGCTCCTGCTGCGCAACTTCCAGAGGGTGGCTATGCCAACGCTTATAACGACTCTGGCGTTGCCGTCACTCAGGTCATGTCTCCACTTCCTGGGGTTCCCCGAATCCATCTCCATCCCCGACAACTCTCTTCGGACTCAGGATTCACCACGGACTCGACTAATCCAATTTCCATGCCGCACAGTGTGGAGAGCCTTATGAACGAAGATGAACAGATCAGGTTATATCTCGCTCGTAAGGGACAGGGGCCTATCAGCCACAAGAGTATGGAGGTGTATGCCGAAATGGGTGACTTGGATGGTCCAAGCGATCACCGTACGCCGCAGCAAGATCCTGAGGCACAGCCTCTCGAAGTGATGCCGGAGGCGGACATTGCCAGCTCGAGATCTCTTTCCACAGAACGACCGGAATCCGCGAGATCTGCATTAAACGCTACTCCCGTCAACGGACCATCCGGACGTAGCTCTCTTGCCGAGCATGCCATTTCAGATTCGCAGTCCTCGAAATCTCGACTTTGGAAGGCAAAGACACGGTCGATGGGGCCTGAAGATATGGTCTGACGGGCATGCAGAAGGAAAAGTAACAAAGGGATACCTGGTATGCAGGGTGACAGCACAAATTGTTTTGGGGGTATATGATTGATCATGCGTTTCTATCCTTTCTTTCTGGCAAATAGTCATTCTTTCCTTGTTTTGTTAGTGCAAAATGTTTAGCGTTTTCAGTACTAGTAGCAAAATTATGAATCCATTGTTTTACGAACGAAGCCCTAAGTATCATGTTGCTGAGCCGAATAGCCAACCAAAGGGACTAAAGCGTATGATAGTATGATGGCATCGAATTGGAATTGCTCTTATCTTTTTATATTCTTGGTATTCCTTCCGACCATGGTTAGCATATGCGATGATAGGTATTCCCGCGTTGATATTGTTCTATTACTCCTACATCATCGGCTATGTCACTCAACTTCAAAGAACTGGTATTCCCATCCAAAGAGCTACTTGACCTGTCAGAGCAACAGCATGATTATTCGCGAGCCAAAAAAAAAAAAAAAAAAAAAAAAAAAAAAAAAAAAAAAAAAAAAAAAAAAAAAAAAAAAAAAAAAAAAAAAAAAAAAAAAAAAAAAAAAAAAGAGAAAAAATAATAATAATAATAATAATAATAAATTATTCCCTTGAGCCAACACGGTGCTCGCTGAATAGTTCACTTCCGTATCTGGTTTATCGGAACGCCCTACAACAACCGATTACAAAGGAATCGGCAGTAGGATGCTCAGAGACACTGATGGAAGTACTCCGTATGATTATGTCCGCGCTTGGTCTGTTATACTCCATCGCCCGGACACACTTTCATCTCTATTCTTATGAATGCGCCAGTATAATCAGTTAAGCATCCTGCATACGCGGTACAACAGTATACCCATAACTACTGAACACATAGGCATCCTAAGCGGCTCTGCAGACATTGAACCACAAACTGTCCCGCCAGGCTCTACAACCAAAGGCCTCCGTCTCCCAGTCTCAGCTGGCGACGCTGTAATCCAACCAGCAGGAACCGCGCACAGTCAAACAAACGCGAAGGATTATCGGTCCATTGCTGCATCTCCCGAGATATGTTTCCCTTGCATACCATGTACCCATGGCAGCGCACATGCAATATGTTACTCATGCGGGATGCTCTGCTGACGTTGCATAGGGAAGCCGGGATGATGGAGTCGCATCCATTGATTTGCCAGTTGAGGACTTGCACGATAGCGGTCCCTCTGCCCGAAAATCCGGTGTTCGGGGAAAGATCGCTGAGGCAGTCGTGGCCTCGGGTGGCGGATAGATTTTGGGCTGAAGGAGAGCTAGAAGCTGCCTAAGATTTTTCTGTGAGTCGAAGGAGTCTAGATCCTGAATTTGATGTCCGATTGATGTCCAAATGCATCGTTAGGCATTTAATGCCTTAGGCTACAGTCACATGAGGTTATCGATAAGCCCCGCGAAAGGCGGCGAGGTTCTGCCGCTGTCTGGATGGCGCCAGAAGGTTCGAAAAAGTGGAAGCCTCTCGAAGCGTCTCCGGGTTGGCATTTGCTAATTGAGTGATTGTAGGCAGTTTAACTGGCCATACTATTTTGGGGGGCGACAAACATTTGGACTTTTAGGAGAATCTTTAGTCAAGAAAACGAAAAGCAGCGTTTACATTGACCGCTGGACTAATTGAGCCCCACGGAGTCAAGCCACACGACGAAAGCTGTGGCGCAGTGCAAATTCTCCCCTCTTTCGCCTTTTCTTTCTCACTTAACCGCAACGCTTCCTCCCCCAACTCTCTCTGTTTTTTGAGAACCCTTTTTATCCACTTATATCCTTTCCCCCCCTCACTTATTCCCCCTTTCTCTCCCGTCTATTAAACCGTTGACCATGAGTGTCGTCGGTATCGATTTCGGTGCCCAGAGCACCAAGATTGGTGTTGCCAGAAATAAGGGTATTGACATTGTGCGTACCCCTCGCCCTCCATATCATATCCGTGATAACTGAAAGGACTGCACTGACTCTGATGCTTTTTTCTTTTGCTATAGATCACCAATGAAGTTTCCAACAGATCGACTCCGTATGTCTCAGTCCATACTTTTTTTTTGAAAAGATTTTTTTTTCTTCATGATGACTAACGGAAACTTTTTTCATTCAGGTCTCTCGTCGGATTCAGCGCGAGAAGCAGAGCCCTCGGTGAGGCCGCAAAGACACAGGAGACCTCGAACCTGAAGAACACTGTCGGCAACCTCAAACGCCTTATCGGCCGTTCCTTCAACGACCCCGATGTTCAGATCGAGCAGGAGTATAACACAGCAGCTCTCTGTGACGTCAATGGCCAGGTCGGTGCCGAAGTCAGCTACCTGGGCAAGAAAGAGAAGTTCTCTGCCGTCCAGCTGGTGGCCATGTACTTGACCAAGATCAGGGACATCACCTCTTCCGAGTTGAGGCTCCCCGTTTCCGATGTCACCATCAGTGTTCCCGCTTGGTTCACCGATGTCCAGCGTCGGGCCATGCTTGACGCCGGTGAGATTGCCGGTCTCAAGGTGCTCCGCTTGGTTAACGACACCACCGCCACCGCCCTTGGATACGGTATCACCAAGCTCGACCTCCCCAACGCCGATGAGAAGCCTCGCCGGGTCATGTTCGTCGACATCGGTCATACCGACTACACTGCTTCGATTGTTGAATTCCGTAAGGGCGAGCTCAACGTCAAGTCGACCGCTTATGACCGTCACTTTGGTGGTCGGAACTTCGACCGTGCTCTGACTGAGCACTTCGCCAACGAGTTCAAGCAGAATTTCAAGATTGACGTCCGCACTCACCCCAAGGCCTGGGCCCGGACTCTCGCCTCTGCTGAGAAAATGAAGAAGGTTCTGTCGGCCAACCCGGCCGCCCCCATGAACATCGAGTCGCTGATGGAGGACGTTGATGTCCGTACCATCGTCAAGCGTGAGGAGCTTGAGGTCATGATCCAGCCCTACCTCGAGCGTGTCACTAGCCCCATTGAGGAGGCTCTTGCTGAGGCTAAGCTGACCACTGACGACATTGATTTCGTCGAGATGGTTGGTGGTAGCACCCGTGTGCCCGCTATCAAGGACGCCGTCTCCAAGTTCTTCGGCGGCAAGACCCTCTCTTTCACTCTCAACCAGGATGAGGCCATTGCTCGCGGCTGTGCCTTCACCTGCGCTATCCTCTCTCCTGTCTTCCGTGTCCGCGACTTCTCGGTGCACGACATTGTGAACTACCCCGTTGAGTTCACCTGGGAGCAGTCTCCCGAGATCCCGGATGAGGACACCAGCCTGACCGTCTTCAACCGGGGCAATGTCATGCCTTCCACCAAGATCCTCACTTTCTACCGCAAGCAGCCTTTCGACCTCGAGGCTCGCTACGCCAACCCCGACCAGCTCCCCGGCAAGATCAACCCTTGGGTTGGTCGCTTCTCCGTCAAGGGTGTCCAGGCTGACGCCAACGACGACTTCATGATCTGCAAGCTCAAGGCTCGTCTGAACCTGCACGGTATTCTCAATGTTGAGTCTGGTTACTACGTTGAGGATATGGAGGTTGAGGAGCCCGTTCCCGAGGAGGGCGATGTAAGTTTTAAATCTTTCACTTCATATACCAGGATGCTGACTGATGATAGGCCATGGAGACCGACAAGGCTGATGGCGAGCAGCCCAAGAAGACCCGCAAGGTCAAGAAGCAGGTCCGCAAGGGCGATTTGCCCATCGCCGCTGGCTCCACTGGCATTGACCAGTCGGTCCGGGAGGCTTTCACTGAGCGTGAGAACGCTATGTATATGGAGGACAAGCTGATTGCCGAGACCGACGAGAAGAAGAACGAGCTCGAGGCCAGCATCTACGAGCTCCGTGACAAGATTGACGGTGTCTACGCCGAGTTCGCCAGTGAGGAGGAGAAGGACAAGCTTAAATCCAAGCTCCTTGACACCGAGGTAAATTTCCGTCATCTATCATTGATATCTGAAAATAATACTAACATGCGATAGGACTGGCTCTACGAAGACGGCGAGGACACTACCAAGTCGGTTTACGTTGCCAAGATGGATGATATCCGCTTCATTGTCGGCCCCATTATCCAGCGTTACAAGGAGAAGGCTGATGCTGAGCGTCAGGCCATCCTGAAGGCCGAGGAGGAAGAGCTCGCCAAGAAGCGTGCTGAGCAGGAGGCCCAGCGTAAGGCCGAGGAGGAGGCCAAGAAGGCGCAGGAAGCCCAGCAGGAGCCCAAGGCCGACTCTGAGATGCAAGACGCACCAGCCGAGGGTGAGGCCGCTTCCACTGAGGAACAGAAGCAGTAAACCAACCGCAAAAAAAAGTTTCGCGCCTATGAGTTGACGTTTTGATATCATTTACGGCACGGTTTTTGAATTCCGTGCGAACTTCATGACAACGGCCATGACAATACAAATTTCTCGTTTCTTTTTCCTTATATTATTTTACGCCCCCTCCTCATTTTGTGATGTTGAAATCTAATGTTGTAGACCGTGAGTTTGCTCTGTTTTTACTTCTCTCGTTTCGGTTGCTGTTTTTATGGACGTTTGGTTCTCTTTCGCAGGAAGGAGTCAGGTTATGATGCATGGATATACGGTAATGTGACCATGGAATGAATAGAGGCAGTTGTTGTTGCTATGGTCCGTTGAGGCGATGATTTTGATATGGATAGATACGAAAAGCATACAGTAATAGAAGAGTTGAGTTGATTACTGCGCTTAAGTAGATCGTAGTTTTGCATGCATTACTCAGCTATAATTTTATCATAGCCTGAGGCAACACTTATAGGCGCTGTTATCTCCGGCTGACAAACGCAATCACCATCGAAGTCGATCGAATGTCGTCTTTGCCTCAGTCGCATCCTTTATTACTTGTCTCTACATAACCCTTTTGAGGACGCTTTGGTTCTTCCAATGCTAACACAAAACACATCCAATCCTAACACCATGGAGCTAACAATCCACCATCACGGCACCCCTCACACCTACCACCTCTCCTCCGACGCAACACTCCAAGACCTATCAACAACATTATCCTCAACCCTCCATATCCCAATCGAGAACCAAAAACTTCTCATTGCCCCGAAACCAGGCATGCAGAAACATCCCTTCCCGCCCACTAGGCTCGACACCATCCTTCAACTCGACTCCCCACGATTTAAAATCACTCTCCTCGGCACTCCGGCAAAGGAAATCGACAATCTAAACGTCGAAGGCGAGGAGACAAAACGGAAACTCGAGGCGCGAGCTGCGGCGAGGGCTGCTGCGGCTGCGAAACTGACGACCTCGCGCCGCGCAGGCGGGATACATACACTCGGCGAATCGAAGGAGTCGTATACATTCCATCGCTTATTACCGCTGTCTTACCTACCAAATCCGGACCGCTCGTTACAGTTTCTCGCGCGTCTGCGCGATGATCCTGGTATTCGCGCTGCGATGGCAAAGCACCGCTTCTCCGTGCCTTTGTTAACAGAAATGAATCCCGCTGAACATACAACCTCCGAGTCGCGGACGTTAGGCCTAAACCGCAATCAAGGCGAAGTTATCGAACTACGACTTCGAACGGACGCGTACGATGGATATCGTGATTATCGAACGATAAGGAAAACGCTATGTCATGAGCTTGCGCATTGTGTGTTCAGTGAACATGATCGGAATTTCTGGGATTTGACGGGGCTTATTGAGAAGGAGGTTGAGAGGGCGGATTGGAAGCATGGGGGACAGAGTGTGAGTGGGGAGGAGTTTTATAACCCGGGGGACTGGGAGGGAGTTCAGGAGGATGGGTTGGTTATTGATGAGAAGGGGTGGACGGGGGGGAGTTTTGTGTTGGGCGGGTTGAGGGAGGACGCTGTTGGTAATGGTAGTGCTAGCAGTGGTGCGAGACCGGTTGGGGTTGAGGGGAGGAGAGAGGTATTAGCGAGGGCTGCAGAGGAGAGGATGCGACGAGAGAAAGAGCAAGGGAAGAGAGAGAATTGACAGATGATACCCATACCCATGTATATAAACAAATTGCATTTTGACATTCACACGATAGTAATAATTTAACTAAGCCTGCTCATTCACAAACAACCCGGCCATCCCCTGTCCAGTTCCAATACACATACTAGTAACCAGAACCTTCTTATTCGTCCTCTTCGCCTCGTTCAACGCCGTGCAAATCTGTCTCGCCCCCGTAGCTCCCAGCGGGTGACCCAGCGCAATCGCGCCACCGCACGGGTTCACCTTAGCATGGTCCAGACCAAGGTTGTTCAAGCAGTACACAGCCATGGAGGCGAATGCCTCGTTGATTTCGAAAAGGTCAATGTCATCCTTGGTCAGATTGAACTTGCCGAGGAGCTTGGGGATGGCCGCTGTAGGTCCGATACCCATGACACGGGGAGGAACACCGGCAACGGTGGCGCCGCAGAATTTGGCGAGGATGGGCTGGTTCAGCTCAATGGCCTTGGAGCGGCGCATGAGGAGGATGGCGGCGGCTACAGAATCATCAATGTCTATTTGATTGAGGTCAAGAGTTGAGGAAGAACTTACCACCATCAGTGACTTGACTGGCATTGCCACCAGTCGTCCTGTTACCGAACTGAGGGAACGCAGGACGGATCTTACCCAATGATTCGGGCGTAGTACCATAGCGAACACCCTCATCTCTCGTCAAAGTAACGTCCTTCTCCTCTCCCGTCTTAGGATCCTTGACCTTGGTCGTAATTGGCACAATCTCATCATCAAACCAACCCGCCTTCTGCGCGGCCTCAGCCCTTCGGAAAGACTCAGCAGCATACCTATCCTGCGTCTCCCGATCGATATTGAAATCCGCACCCACGTTCTCCGACGTCTGCCCCATTGGCTGCATACAATCCGCCGCCTCCTGATTCTTCAACACCTCTTCATGGAACGGCTTCGGAATCCGATCTCCATTCCCACTCATCAACTCCGCCCCCACAGCCAAACCCACATCAATCGCACCCAGCTGGATCTGGTTCGCAATATCCTGCACCGCCTTAAGGCCGGACGAGCAGAACCGATTTACAGAGCTGCCACCAGCGGTATGCGGGATGCCCGCTGCCAGCGCGGCCGCGCGGATGATGTAGGCTGCTTTGCCGTCGCCGACGTTTCCGAGGCAAACGTCTTCGATCAAGGCGGGATCGATGTTGGAGCGTTGGAGAGTTTGTCTGAGGAGGGCATAGATCATGTAGTCGAGGTCTGTGTCTTTGAAGCCGCCTTTCATGGCTTTGGTGAGGGGGGTGCGGTGGGCGAGGGTGATGACTACATCGTCAGGGTTTTTGGAGGTGCTGATGCTATTAGTGCGTGTATTGGCGAAATGGAATAGACAGACTTACATAGCAGACACTCCAGTGTTGCCGGACGGCTTCAGGTGGTTAAGGATCGAGCTCAAGCGGTCCGTCATCTGCGATGGTGAGCTGAGTTCGCCATAGCTGCCACCGGGGACTTACTGTGATGGTTATATGTATTTGGGTACAGAATAATAGAACAGATTATATCAATTAAAAATAAACAGTTAAACCAGAAGAAGTGAAGAGAAATAGAAGAAGTTGAAGTTGTTAAGTTCTCCAATTTATCGAGCGATCAGCCGAAACGAGCCGAGGTCCGTTTCTGGAATGTCCGCCTTTATTCGGAGATCCAGTTGAGTATGATATCAGATGTCCTCGGCTGGTTTGACTTGTTTTATATAAGAGAAGCAAAGAAATCAAATATAGAATGTGTCCTTGTACAGCTGGATATTGAGCTGTAGTTGGTGTTGGCAACAACATAAACATGCATACACTAGCCACCGGGATTCTTCTCCAATTCACACCTGTACCTGTAGTCCCGTGTCTAACAACGACATCATAATAATATGGTTGTCAATGAAATCAAAGTGATTCACGACTTTGTCTGTGCTGTAAGTACTCTGTATGCTGTACCTTCAGTAATGTACACGGTTAACTATCGCAGTGGTGCTACATCGCCAAACGCACCCTTGACCGTGCGATCTCTCTCTGCCATAAAAACCGTCCCAAGCGGACGCTCAGATAGCTTCTCCATAAAATATCGCCCCTACTACCTCAACTACAATCCCCATCCTCACAGCGTCGATAAGAGCGAGCTTATCGATGTCCGACCACGCAACATGACCCCGGAACAGCGCACAGCGCTCGTTAACCGGATGAAGCAGATCGGACGGTCTATGAGTATTCTTTTTAAGACTGGGCGAAAGATTGGCAGTACAAGGGATGCGCATCGGGTTGTTTATTATTGTCAGATGAGTAAAAGTAAGAAGGGTGCTGATACGCCCACTACTAATGATCTTGTCGGGAAGATTTTTGAGGCATATCATGAGAGGGAGATGGATATCTCGGATCCGGTTGTTTTGAGGGAATTGGCTGCTGATGCTGGAATGAGTAGGGAAGAGGTGGATGGGTGGTTGGATGCTTGTCCGGCGGTTGTCGATGAGGAAGCCCGGAGGAATAAGGAGGAAGTGAAGTCGGGAGTTCCTGTTTTTATTGTCCAGGGCGAGCATCGCATTGATGGCTCCAGGGACATAGCTGAGTTTCTGGAATATTCAGTAAGGTGAAAGAGACTGAGATGCAGGGCCTGGGACAATGTGAAGGATTACAGCACGGCTGCAATATATCATGTCTATCATCGGCATTTCAGCAATAAATCACTGCCAGAAAGAAAGAAAGCCACTGCCGATATCCTGTCGACCAACTCGTATTTAATGGGTACCTTCTAATCTGACAGCGAAGAATATTACACTCCCTCGAATCCTTCCTATGCAAAGACGATAAGCCGCAGGCAATGTACCACATCCGCCCGGCTTGCTTCAAATTGTCGCCCCTTTTTGTGACTTTCATTTCTCTATCTAGGCCAGGCATTTGAAAATGCATGCCATTTCGTTGTTGGTCCTTCTTTCCTGTGCAGTTTCAGCACTGGAAAGTAGCACAAAGATCAAATATTCGACTAAGGGCTCTAATATCTCTTATCCGGTCAGCCTCAATGGCATTAATCTGCTGTCAGCGTCGATGCAAGATGTCTCATTTGCATTGTCAGACGGGACGATTACGACTTTAGAACTGGTAGATGCATATATTGCACGGCAGAAGGTGTTGGATCATCATGGTGCGCTTGCACTAGAAGCGTAGTTAACAAAGGAAAGACAATCTGCTCACAACTTCTTAGGACTAACCTTGCGATCTGTCATTGAGATTGCTCCTACTGCTCGCGAAATCGCCCAGCGATTAGACGAGGAGCGTGCGAATGGAACCCTAAGGAGTCATTTGCACGGAGTCCCCATCGTTGTTAAAGACAGTAAGTAGCCACCTTCTATTCTTTATTCAAAGCTAACAATAGAAGACTACAACACAGACCCCGAACTGGGCATGAACACCACTGCCGGCTCATACTCCCTCCTCAATCAAACAGTAACCGGCGATGCATTCGTCGTCTCCAAACTCCGATCTGCAGGCCTCCTCATCCTTGGAAAAGCAAACCTTGACGAATTCGCCGGCATGATGGGAAAGGACAGCTCCTCTGGCTTCAGCTCCCGCGGAGGCCAAGCATCAGCGGCCTACGTCGTTGGCGGCTTCGCAGCAGGGGGCGACCCATCTGGCAGCTCGGGGGGATCCGCGATTGCTGTTTCGGCGGGCTTTGCTGCGGCGTCGCTGGGGACGGATACGGATGATAGTATTGTAAAGCCTGCGTGTCGGGCGGCGTTGTTTGGGCTGAGGCCGTCGACGGGGTTGACTAGTAGGAGTGGTGTTGTGCCGTTGTCGCTTTCGCAGGATAGCACGGGTCCTCTTGCGAAGTCGACGTGGGATGTTGCGGCTTTGTTAAGCATTATGGCTGTTCATGATGAAGAGGATTCATATTCGCAGGCGGCTGAGCCGTTTCGCAAGAAGGACTACACTGCATACCTGAAGAAAGATGGCTTCAAGGGACTTCGAATCGGAGTACCCAGATATCCTTTCTTCAACGCTAGCATTACAGGAGCACGGTCTGAGGCCAACGGTGCTATCGACAAAGCATTACTGGAAATACAAAAACTAGGAGCCACCGTTATCGACCCGGTGACGTTCCCCAATGCAGAGGAATTTACCTATGCATATCCCGGATTACCGGAACGATCCAATAACGAAACAATCCTACTTCGTGAGATACCCTTCCCTATAATTGAAAATATATTCTAAATTTGGGGATATAGAATACGATCTCAAAGAAGACATAGCCATCTTCCTCCAAACCCAACTGATAAACTCCACCATAAGATCTCTCCAAGATATAATAAACTACAACGAAGCCCACAGCGACCTCGAATTCCCCCCAGGTCAATGCTGCCAGGCCACATTCCTAAATGCGAACAATCTTCCTCCGCGCGCCTCGTCAGCTGAGTACTGGATCGCTCAGTATCACCAACAACGTCTTGACGTGGAGGGTATGCAGGCCACCATGCGACAACATGATCTAGATTTGTTCGTTGTGCCGACGGAGGGCTATTCAGCAAGGATGGGGGCTATTGGGAAAAGGCCGGTGGGGACGGTGCCATTGGGGTATGATGGGATTAACTTGCCATTTGGGTTGGCGTTTGTGGGGAGGAGTTATGATGAGGGGACTGTGCTTAGGGCGATGTATGCTTCTGAGAAGGCGTTTCCTAAGAGGCAGGTTCCGCCGACTTTGGATTAGTCTGGTCAGGGTTTGATGCTGGCTCGAAGAGCTAATAGTCCAGTATATTTGTGCTAGAAGGCGATAAAAGTAAGCTAAAAGCAAACTTACTATAATCGCGTTCTTAAAATGACCAACGCCTAACCCACAAGTCCGTCTCATACGAGTACACATGATATATAACCATAATTAGCGCCGTTCCCAAATACCCATTATAAGCAAACCCAACCCCATAAGTCAGCTACTCATGCCAGACATTGTTATGGTTGGCTTCGTCATTACTAATCACGCTACCAATTTCTGACCAGCCGGCCGGGGTGACAGCCCCAGAGCGCAACTGTCCAAGGTCACTCAAGGTACTATCGGACGATTCATCTGCCGCATACTCGTATACATGACTGAAGTCACTAGCGGTCGACGGCGTAGATGGACGCTCGGGGTGTCTTTGGACCACTGACTCGAAGTCGGAAAACTCAGAAAACGGAGACTGGAGGTTTTGGTGCGTATCATTAAGCGGTGGCTGCTCTAGAGGAGCATAGTACTGCGTGGATGAAGTACCCTCTGTATGGCCGACTGACGAGCGCCGAGATTCAGGTCGTGAGCGTATCAAGTCAAAATCTGGTTCTGGTTCTTCGGAAGTAGGGGTCAACTGCACAGGAGTGGCGGATCGGGATTGCGGAGCTGGCGTGTCAGGCAACGGCTTATTCTCGTCTGGGGCTGTGCCTTGTTTGCCACGCTGGACCAGCTGCGATGCTCCAAGGTCTATAGCTGTCGAGTTCGCAAGAAGACCAGTGGCAAGCTCGGTATCATCCTCCAAACCCAACAAACGACCTTCCTGATCGACTATCGCATCGAAACTGGATGGAGGTGAGCCGCTGCTCTTCCTTCTACTCCGCTCCATAAGCAGTGCGCTCCGGCGTTCCAATTCCTCCCGGATAGCCCGTCTTCGCTCCTCAGCCGCCTGCCCAGGCTCTTCAGTCATCGAAATTTCCTCCCGGAGTGGCGATAAGGACTCTCGAGGTTGGACCTCATCCCCTAGATTGTGTAGCGTCTGCGCGAGTTTACGTCGCTGATGGTAAACCCATTGCCGAAACTGGGGAGATTCATAGACTGCGATGCCAGCAGCGACAAGCGCTGAGACAGTGATGATGAATCCTATACATATTAGCCTTAAACAATGAGATTGCGATACTTGTAGATGCAGTTGAAAGACAAGTCCCCATAGATAAGCACACCGCCCGGTTAAACCCGGAGATGGCCATCAAGCATATTAAAGGTAGCATAGAGCAGTAGAAAGAGTAAAGAAACTCACCCTTCGCAACCGGCGACATCGTTACTTGACTCTATCCCCAGATCTTCAACCGTCCGCCTCGACTGCGCAGAAGTACAGGGGAAAGCGAGGAGAGTATCGGCGTCATCCTTCGGCATCCCCGCTGACTACACGTGATGCCAATCTACCCTTATCCCTGGCCCTAATTTGCATCCATTTTTGGAATTCCGTGTTTTTCCCCGCCGCGACAACATCAAGACTTTAACTCTTGATTCACCTATAAGCCACTACAGTGCTACCCTTTATTACTATCCAACATGTCTCGTCCATCGTCAATGACACAGCGTCCACTGACACTGACGGAGGAATTGGAGAAGCTCGAGCAATCAATCACCCTGACGCTGCAAGGTAAACATGCTTGATGTTCAGACTGTAAGCAAGATAGCTAGAGACTGACATGCGCAGAAATCGACCATAACTTCAGTCAAGCCCATCGTATAGTTACGACAAGTATCCTGCCTCTGGTAGAGCAGTATGCCGAGAATTCGCGCGACGTCTGGCAGGGAGCCAAGGTGAGTGATGACGATTTGGCGACCCGAGTCAAGAGCACGGAGAACTAACAGCAACAGTTCTGGAAACAATTCTTCGAAGCAAGCGCCAACGTCTCCCTTTCCGGTTATGAGGAAAAACCCAACGAAGAAGAAACCACCGTGAACGATGAACACACCGCGACGGAAGAAACAGATTCAACCGCCATTTCCGAGAACCCCTCAGCCTCCTACGAGACCCAGTCTTCTCTCGATAACGAAGACAACGACAACGTCGACCTCACCCATAACAAACCTGACGACCTCGATCTGACCTCCCTAACTCTCACCGGCCACAGTACACCCCGAGCTCCGACAGAGAGAGCCGACGGAGACCCAGATCTCACCTCCACATCCTCGATCGCATACTCCTCCACTTCACCCTACGAAACCCTGAAGCAACAGGTCAACGAGTCCGAATCCCCCTTCGGTCTTGAAGACTCGAACCTCCCATCTACACCGCCCGGCAAATCATCGTTCAGGCAATACCACGGAACCCCCATGTCCCCCGGATCCTCGCCATTCGTACCCCCGGCCTCCCATGAAATAGAAACACCAACAACCAATAGAAAGGGCGGGTACTACAACTCCAAACCCTCCGACCCAGTTATGCACCGTATGCCCGATAAAACCTATCGCGTGCAAGCCACCCCACTCGGCAAGGGAGCAGGAGCCGGCCGATCCAAGTTCAACGTGACACCCAAGAACAAACCACCCTCCAGTAAATACGCCTTCGGCGATTCTCCCCTCTCTAGTCCCGAACCAGAAGCTCCGCAATTGAACGATGAGATCTTTTCCTCGCCCATAAAATCAGCCTTCACACCCGGTACGGACCGCAAACGCAGCCGTCCCAGTCTCAGCAGCCATCTACGTGTTACGCCGCAGCCTGGTATCAGTGTCCTGACTCCCGCCAAAGGCGGTACTAGTGGCAAACGACCTGGGTTCTGGGATAGCGACGATGAGGATATGCCCGAGGACTTTGAAGACGACGGGTTCAGCCCCCCGAAGACGATGCAATTTCATATTCCGCAGAGTCGGCTGATGAAGACTCCTGCAAAGGAAGCATCGAAGCGGATCGTGGAGGATCTGCTTGTTACCGCTGGCGCGGATGATATCACGGATTCGGTGGGTGAGCAGAGTCCGAGTCTTATTCGGCGAGCAGAGGGGTTGGAAGATGAGTCGTTTTGATTTTAGTTGATCCTGTCTTAATGTACATCGTAACAATATCAACTATCAAGTGTTCCATACTACGTTGGCAAGTTTCATGAATCAAATCACAAAAAAAAAAAAAAAAAAAAACCGAATTCATCTAGTACTCTATACACGGATATCAAGCACACAGCACACGTGCAGAAGAATCAATCAATAACTAGCTTCGAACCTGCGGAAATTTCTGTTGTGATCAAACGATAACAATTAAGTACTCGTGCATATAAAGGACGGAAGACAAGACGGGGCTGGGGTATCGGTATCGAGCGTGAGGCATCGAGGAAGGAAGGAAGGGAGAAAAAGGAGTGAAGTGAGGAGCAGGAGAAAGGAGGGGGATATCACACCGACATGGTATATGTACATCCTACCAATTGGCGGGAATAGAAAACAAAAAACAGGGTATTTTGTAGAGTAAACCAATCAACTTGCAAATGAAAGGGAAGGAAAAACGAAATGTCCAATCCGCAGACGCCCAAACCAGACAAACCAGCTCCAGGCTAAAAGGCGATTGAATAACACAAAAGATCAAGGAGATAATAAAGAAAGAAAGCCCAGGCGTGTAATTATACACCCGTGGTATTTATAGACACAACTCAAGGCAAGCCCTGCATACCGTTGAAAACTTCCTGGCAAGTTTCGACCAGGAACTTCAAAACCTCATTCTTCTTCTGCACATCAGTCATCTCACGGGCCAGGCTTTCTGGTCTCATGATGGTCGGTGCAAAGACGACGGCGACGTTCTGGCTAGTCATCAGGTTCTCACTTTCACGCTCGACCACCCGCGCCAGATGGAACAAGAGGAATTCGAGTACATCGCGATGGACACGCGGCAATGCTTGGAGACACTTGCGCATGTGATCAACACGAGCCGCGTGGGGTGTGATTTCGCCAGAATCGATGACCATTTCGTAGACTTCGTAAGTGATAAGAGGGGTGGGCAGTTTCCGGAAATACTGTTTCAATGCCGAGGTCACAGCATGGATGTCAAGATCAGGGTCGGATATATCGTAATCTTGAGGTGACTTCTCAAATCCTTCCTTGATTGTTTGAATCGCGGAGCTTGCACCGGACTTGCGGTAGATTCCTTCCATATCCATGCCTAGAAATTGCTAGTTAGCCATGAAAAAAAAAAAAAAAAATCCGCCAGAAACTCACCTCGCAGTTCAACCTCCTGGATACACCGAGTCACAATAGCAGGAATGATGCTCTTTTCATGCTCCATGCGCTGTTCCAAGTCGGTACCGAAAAGGCCTGATGAAAGACTGTTAACATGATCGTGCTTATTATATTAAATGGTCGTGAGCATACTTGGTGTGCCAGTAACATCAGACAATGCCGGAGCACTGTCAGCATGAGCCAACTTTGTACCGCCCTGTCTGTTCCTTTGGTTTCCAAAGAATCCAAATCCTTGACGGCTAGGGTCCTGTGTCTGAGAGCGCGGCAGATTGCCACCGGTCACATCTTGGGAGCCCTCACTAGACATAAAAGCACCCTTGAGACCTTTGGTAACGCCCTTGGCGACGTTCTGACCACCCTTCTTCCAGTTAAACTTGCGCGGCTGGCCTTTACGAATGCTGACCACTTGAGGACCTGGGACAATGGTAGCCTCGGCTTCCTCCGACATGTTGGCGGTTGAAACTGACGAAGGAAGTTCGCTTGCGGCCTTCATGACATCGAATGATGACAGAGATTTATCTTTGCCGTGAGAATAGATGCCCAATCCGTTGGCACCACGGTTACCTTCCGCAGAGTTGGCCTTGTACAGTTCCTGAATCTGGTGGACCAGTTGGTTGTTCAATTCGGCCAACTGAGCGTTCTTCGAGGACAGCTGCTCAAACTCCTGGAAGCTCTTGTCCTTCAGGCGGTTCAGATTGGCAAGCTCTTCCGCTGTATCATTGCGCTTCTGGACCAGCTCTTCGATTTGCGGCGTAAATGTATCCTTTAGTTTTTGAATGGAATCAACAAATTCCCGCAGGACGTGGTTGGTGATTTTGCCCAGATCCAACGAGCCACTAGCTCCATGTTTCTCAGCCTCGAGATGGTCTGTTAGTACGCTAAGCTCCCGCATGACAATCTCCCTCTGCGTATCCAAAACCACTATGGTCGATCGCTTCTCAGAAAGCTCCGTGTTGGCCAACTTGACGTCCGCGGTCGCATTGAGGGCGCCTTCCAGCTCCGCGATCTTCTGCTCCCTCTCCACAATCCGCTGGCGTTCCTTGCGCAGCTCACTTCGAAGCCATGCGATTTCATCTGTTCGGGTCTCCGGAGATCCAGCCGATGGGGTAGGAGGGTCCTGGGAGGGTGTGGCCGTAGCCCCATTGACCGGTGTTCGAGGTAACCTGGTGTCCCGTGAAAGGCGAGAGCCCTTGTCACTGAAGCTCCGACCATGACGGACTGAGTTGGACATCCGACGAAGGAAGGCTTCGTTGTGGATCAATTCGGAGTCGTCCAAGCCCATAATGCGCTGCATATCCTCATCCATTGAGAAGTCCCCTCCCCCACTGTACCGCAGGAACGATGGGGATCCTGCACGATCGCTAGGACGGTTGGCTGTATCCGATTGCACACCGAGAGACGCCTGGCGACCATGCTGTTTACGGGAGGGATCAGTGTAAGAACCGCTGCGTTGACGCCGAGGCGATTCGCCTAGCTTCGGCGTACCCTTGCCGGCACCAGGTCTCTGATCATGCAACGCGCCAAGGGGTGGAGTTGATCGCCCATGCCACTCGTCAAGTTGGCTCAAGCTTACAGAGGGCGGGCGTGGGGAGGTGCCCAATTCCTTCCTAGGGAGGTGATGCAGTTTACTCTCTAATGAGTCGCCTCGTTTCGGGGGATACTGCAGGGCCGATGACGGGAGAGACCGTGACGAGTCCACGGAGTTGTTTTCATGCAATTTGTGAAGTTCGTGAGACGGACGAGAAGGAATGGTGGCCGTGGTTTCCGAACGCTGCGAGTCGAAAGTTGAACCATCCCGGGTTTGAAGTGCAGAAGACCTGGTGCTTTCAGGACTGGGAGTCGAAAAGGAGCTGGTCTCTCGCATATGCATAGGAATGTCAGACTGGGCGCTTAGGACCGATCCTGATCGAGATGGCTTGGTAACATGCTGCCGGGCCGCAGGAGATGAGTCTGGTGTTCCCATCTCTTCCGGGCGATAGCGGACCGGCTCCAGAACGGCGGGCTCGCGTCCTTTCTCTTGGTAGGCGATGTGGGGGGACGCGGTCTCCGACGAGATTGGTGGTTCCAGACCGTCTCTGAACGACTGTCGAGATTCTGAACCATGATTGGGAATGGGAGGCTGCGTGCGAGCAGAAGCGCGTTTATCCTCGTCCGGATCGAATGCGAGAGGTATAAGAAATTCGCCACCACCATCGGCCTCTGATTGTTCGTGGGGGATGCTAGAATTGCGATTGCTGCGATACGTGCTCGAGGGGAGGATAAGGTTGTCTACGGCATTTCAATTAGAATTAAGATGGTAAGACAACGGGGGTAGGTGGGGGAGACTCACCATCGTTGGGTGATTGACGTGGGGTAGAATCGTCGAATTTCGCACTATCGAGTGCAGGCGCCGCTCCGCGGGACGCGACCTCGGTCGTAGCATCCGCATAGGCATCGGCGGCGGGATCGTCGGCCGGCCGGGAGTGGGTCTCCTCTTCTGGGGGTAGAGACGGCAAGGACTTATCCAACTTGACCCCGGGTTGTTTCTTATTAGCAGCAGCGGCGGCGACGCGGTTTCTTTTTCTGCGTCGCTGCATTAAGGACTCGTGGCAATCCATGCAGAAAATACCCTGGGAGGTTCGCGCATAGCGTAGATTGTCGATTTCCTTCTTGCAGTTCCTGCAGCGAAAACAACGTTTGCAGAAAGCCTGCTCGCCTGTCAGGATGGCGAGGTCCTCAATCTTATTTGAGCACGAACTGCAGCTGTAGGTGCAATTGCTGCAGATCAAGGCGCCATCGCCAAGAAGCAGCAGGTGTGCGTCGGAGTCAAGGAGGGTTCCGCATGTGCTGCAACGAAAACAGTCGATATGCCACCTGTTGCCCGCTGAAGAGCCGTTAGTGTAAGCTGTCGAGTCAGATGTGATACCAATGGAAAAGAAACGTACCCAATTCAAATGCCTTTCCCTCTTCAAGAATCTGTCGAACCGCAACTACGTCAGTCCCTTTTCCTACCCCCTTGACACTGACAGATCCGAGCACGTACCTCTCCACAACCCTTGCAAGGATACGGGACATCATCCTGCTCCATGGGCGAATCTGGGTAGATGGCCGGCGATTCCATGGTGTAAATGTCCGGGCGGCGCTTGAACAGCAGCCCAGCGGTGTGTTATCGATGATAGCTCTCCTTTCCCCAGGATCGTCGAGAAGTTGGCCCGCGTGGGTGTAAGACGCAGCGAAGAAGAGTTGTCGGTGGAGTTTCAAAGTTGGGTCAAGCATCCATCTGTTGCGGGATACTAGAACGCGATCGAGACCGTTCACGGAATGATGGATGGAATATGGTCGAGGGGGGATAAAGTAAAAAGTTGGGGAACCGAAGGACACGCACGCCGTTTCCGACGGATAGTTGAGCCAATTCGGGGGGGGTGAAGGGGTAGCAGCAGGACGGGGAGGACACGTAGGAATCGTTCGTTCGCAAATGGGATCTGGACAAGCGAAGCGGAATTAGTGTCAGTTCCGGTGAAGTTCAGGAATGTAGAGCTCGGTGGCCGTCGCCGTCTCAGGGAGAAATAGTTCCGTACCCCAGTCGCAATCACAATCTTGGGCTACTTCAATATGACAAGAAGCAATGGATGAGTGTGAAGGTTCATAAGATAGACTAAAAAATAGAAAAGGAAAAAACCCGATGGGATAGCAGCAAGGGGAAAGATGACAGAGGGGATGCCGGACGAGAATGCACGGCCAAAGAGCACACAGATAGATGGACAACAATAGACAACAGAACGATCAAATCCGGACACCGAATAGGAGATAAAAGAGAGACCGGGAAATGGCGATGCTCAGAACCGCAGCGTGTTAGGGAACTCACCTTCCACGGAGTCGTTTCAGATAGAGGACTCGAGTGCCCCTCTTGACGACAAACAACGGTCGAGACCAGTGCGTGAGGTAGAGCACAGTGGAATGAGAGAGATTGTAAAACAAGAGAGCCGAATTATGACGGATGGGGTCCCAGAAAGAGACTGAGCCGGCAGCGGGGAGGAAGAGAATCTGATATAAGAAAGGGGGAGTCGGGGTGGAAGTTGAGGCTGTACGAATGCGGGAGTCTGGTACGGAGGTACATAGACATCTATGGACGGAGTAGTAAAACTACAAGTACAGCTACACAAAGCTCACAAAAAAGCAATGGCTTGTTCATTCACTTATGGCAACAATAGAATAAGTGTCAACATTGTTTCAAGTATACAGAGTAGTTATCCTTGCTGATATTCTGCATTTCCCTAGTAAATGGGCCCCTGATCATTCACGTGATATTGTGCCTCAGGCCAATAAACTAGTTAACGTAATTCCCAAGCGGGCTGCGCAGCAACCGACTACACAGACCCTTTAGATCAATTTATCTTCATTTCAACACAGTTATTCAAAAGCTATCTATCTTAGTCAATTTAGACATGCAGTTCTTTTATGCCCTATATATCCATATCCACCACACTTTAATAGCGCTCGTTGATGTGGGCTGTAAAGCTGGCGAAGCATGTTCATGAGGGAGTTGTACCAGCTATCTGAACCTTAATTGGCTCTGGTATTATTGCATCGGCCTCTTCAACTGATAAAACACCTTCATGAAATATGTCTTGTTGAGCCAAGCGCTTTTGCTTCTGCTTCTCATTTGCAGCGCGTAATCACAGCCTGAATCCCTACCAAGTCCATCCATCTGGGCTTACTCCGAGTCACCAATCACCTGGGAAGCCATCGGACCAGAGACCCGATAAAGACCTTGCCTTAAAAATTATACATGGAGACAAGGCCCACCCTGAAGCATTGGTTGACTCAATTGCAACGACCCATTCATAATTTCCAGGTTGTAAAACAGCTCACTAACTGTAGTATTCTAAACTTGTTATCACTTTTGCAGTTTCAATTAACTCCATTGCAAAGCCAGTTTTATCAAAGTTGTAGATATCATCGTTGAGAATCCCATATTGAAGGATTGTACGTTGTACACAATAAGACCACTCAAGGATAATCCTTAGGTCTTCACACTCTGTGTGCTTGTAACTAGCATCTTGAAAACTCACATGAGAACACATTTTATCTTGAAGCCTTTTACGCAAGCCAAAGACGCAGTAAAAGAACAGGAGTTCATTTCGACCCTCGTGGTTCGATATCAAGTAATGCAGGAGTCCCATATTTCGCTGTATACTGCAGTCTACAACCAAAGTAGTATATGCGGCAAATCATTCTTGAATGTTGCATTTTCTTGCAGCATGTTTCTGGTTGCTAAAGCTGTGTGCTAATTGCTCTTTATAGTGAATCCGATACTGCTTCTGAACTCATCGCCTCCGTCAGAAAGCTGACCATCGGGCTCTACACGCAGATTCTAGAATAACAGATCTGGCTTTGCAGATAGGTTTCCTGTTCTGAATTTTTGCAGTGCATGAGATGTCGTAACTGCTGATGATTGAAAGGCAGTCTTCTCCGGCATCCAAGGCGCTGATGATTCTATCGTAGATTACTTCAGACCTTGTTCGAAAAGGCTGATAGGGAAATAAACTGCAAAGCTAAATCAATGTCCAAAAAGGTAGATGACTCACTGGCGCTGACTTTGGAGATAAAAGATAGCATTTCTGTAAGTTCCAGAGTCCCTAGTGGATTACTAGGCAAGCCAACTTTGTATAAGGCTCAAAGCAACAAACAAATGCTGGACCAACTCCCTGATGTTACGCGGGCTGTATATGGCTATCATGAGTAAGACCAAGGAGCATGCCTTAAAGGTACCCAGACATCTGTCCTCCAGCAAATCCAAGACTGGAGCAGTGATCCACATGGTCAACCTATCCTTTGGCTTCGGCGAATGGCTGGTACTGGCAAACGTACAATCGCAAGAATCATGGCCACTGCATTCTACAATGGGACAGCCTTAGCTGACCGGGGATGCTTGTTTAATGAATCATGTCTTGGAGACATGTTCTTCTTCAACTACAAGGACTAAGACTGTCGGAACCCGCAACGTTTGCTTCTCACGCTAGTAAGAAACTTGGTTGATGTGATTCCTGGAAGCAGGCAACCTGTATGCGAAGCTATCAATGGCCATCATGATATACAAGACCAGGCTTTGGAGCATCAGTAGAAGCATCTAGCCTTCAAACCCTTGAGATTACTGAGAACAAGACCCTCTTCGATAGTCATCTTCATTCTCGATGCCTTGGATGAGTGCCATGCTGGAACTCGAGACGGGCATGATGCTGCTTGGTCAAGTTCGGGAGCTTGATTCTGTAAGGGTTTGTGTCTTTATAACCAGTCATCCTTTCGTACACAGACGCCCTCACTTAGCTGGAATGTCAGAGGATATACATGGTGAAACATTACATAAGGTATACCGACTTGACGGCGAGGGGGAAAGAAAGGACGACATTCCAACGCTGATCGAGCACAAATTATGCGACATCCCAGAGAAACACAAATTCCGTTCAGACTGACCGGACAATGCATTGGCTTTCCAAATACAGATACAAGGAAGCAGAGTTTCGGGTACACTAAATTGGCCTCATTGCCGGACGGAAGCCTGTTGGCTTTTGGGAACTACAATATCAAGCTCTGGGACGCACTTCATGGAGCTCACATGCATACAGTTGAAGGCTGGAATATTCCGATCAGGTGCCCGGCTATCTCGCCCGACAGAAGCTGCATCGCAGCAATAAGAAAAATTTTGAGGCTTAGAGCATAAGCAATGGGAATTGGCGCCCTCCTTCAATAACAGCTCACGGGAACCCATACTTGCCTTCTCACTAGATGGAAAGATTGTTGCGTCGACTGGGAAGACAATCACGCTTTAGGACATTGCCACTGGGGACTGTCTTGAAAAGCTTTATTGACGGCGAGATAAGTACCATTGTATTCTCCCCGGATGGAAAACGGTTGTGTACGAGGGTCGGTTCGAGGTTGCGTCCATTCTCGGCAACGATATTGGCTTTCCTTCACAGATGAAGGACCCTTTCTACGCGATGGCTGGGCGATGGAGAATGAGAGGAAACTGATGCATATTCCTGATGGATATAAAGCCACCCTTTCGGCCATTCACAGTAGTAAGGTTGCTATGGATCATTCGTCTGGACTTGTTACTATAATTGGATTCAATAAAACAGATGATAAAACGCTATGAGGTTGCTTTCAATTATACTTTGTATCTAAGCATCATAATGCTTTGTCTCAGAATCCCTCTAGGGGCCACTTCTAGGTGAGCTCTGGCGCAATCATAAACCATCCCCATAAAAGAAATCTTGTAAAATCAATACATTGATCTCGGCTTGTCGCCGTATTTTGAGAACTCTAAATTACAAATTACATGTTTCCATCCCTCATATGCCAGATATCAAAGTCATCATGCACAACCCAGGATCTCTCCCGCCACTCGTCGTGCCCTAACCATTTCATCCTTCCGGGCTTTCGAGAATAGAAACACTGTCCGGCAATCAGGCCCAGGAAACCAATGCCCAGAGAGATACAAATTTCCTAGAGGATAGAAGAGAAAGCGCTCGTCACGACCATTCTGTCCCAGTGTGGCAGACTTTCCTGGGATAAGAAACTTGCAGGGGATTCTCTGTCGCTTGGCACGATATTTCCAACGGATTTTCTTGTGGTGGGCTTGGCCAAATTCCCACATGGGCGAGTTGATTACGAAGCGTATTGGGGCGAGACATTTTGGGCATTTGTTGTTTCTTCTGTTGTATGGTACCGATAGTGCGACTATCTTTTCAGTGGGGCTGCCGTTATTATCTTGGGGCGAGGCTTTTTTTCTTTCTCAATGTATCCTGGCTTAAAGCACTGCATCAGTTACTGCAAGGTTGTATGTAGACATTGTTTTGAAGCTTACCTGGACACATCCGGCGTACGCAGTTGGAAAGAACGTGAAAGGGCTCGGGCAATTTGTTTGTATGGCACACCAAGTATGCGAACCTTGGCTCTATACAACATTAGTTGAAGGACACGAAACATGCTTGTCCTGTAGAATCAACATACCTCTTTCAGGAATCAATTCACAGATAAAACATCAACGCCCTTTTCCGTAGCCATATGACGATATTTGCACTTGTCGATCCAGAAGCAAGACTCTTGATTCCAGTAAATGCAAGAACGTTGGTTCTTAATCTTAATGGCACTTTTTGCCAGTTGCTGTCTCTTATTTTCCAGGCTCGTGTACGAAGCGACATCGTTCGCCATGAGCACACGATCCGCTCAGCCAGTTTCTGCGCCGGAAAAGCTTTGATTGCGTTGGTGACAAGTTTGAGATTATTTTGGCGGTCCTGAGATTGCCAGAGAGCAAGGAGAGAACAAAAAGAAAGAGACTTGTGTGTATACAGTTAGTCTACCTTATTCCAAGCTTCTTTCACTTTCACTAAGAAACATATTTGTTGCCTGGGCCACATTTTATCCATTTCTCTTTCTTACGTGCATGTGTACGCGAAGGCTGGGGAAGGAATAGGATAGCAAGAAGCAATATAAAGATGCCCTTGGATTATATCTACTCCGTGCTATGTGCTGTGAAGTGTAGGGTGCTATTTTTGGCGTTCTGCGCTTAGTTGAATATAGCGCTCAGTATACATGGTTCCAACCTGAGAGCCGCGTCGACCTTCTACACCTAGTCCCAGTCTCAATGCTACAAACTGATACTCAAGCCAAGAATTATCTGAGGCTGTTCAATCATAAGACTTATGGGGTCTCGAGTCTGGTCTCCAGAATTCCAGGGAATTGAGAGCGTAAGCGCATATATATATCACACCAGCGGATACCCAAACCCGCAACTTCTACGGTGAATATTTTTCTTTGATTAACCGTTGGGTCGGTGGTATATCGAAGGAAGTAGGGGAGTCTGGAGAGGCCATAACAGTGGCATGTTGCCGCATGGGAAAGTCCTTTCTCCACAGCTTTCTCCAACAAAGCCCGAGCAACTGCAAATAGACTTATCAGCATGTGGATACCAGTCACCGTTGACCCCCAATACTCTGCAGCCACTTGTGAGTATTTGCGTATTAGACTGCGACGGAGCGGTGTTGTAGTCGTTTCTCAAATATTCCACTTTGTGAACGATGGATCCGTCGTTTTTATCTGTAGTCAGCACATACGAAGACTGAAGTCTTTCTTCATCACCTTCGTTCGGTAGTCAGCTTGGAGCGTGGTGTCACAAGACTCCTGATCAGAGTCACTTTCGAGAACACTATCCTTCGGAACATGCCCATCAGTGGAACAGTGTCGACGTGTTACCAGATCTGCATCATACGGTATGCGTGCTGCCCTGGTGGGCTTGAGCGTGAAGAGGGCTTTGCCAACGTACCTGCGGACAGACGGTGCCATGCAAAGGAAACAAGACCATGGTTTCTTGTGCGACAGGCTAGTCGGTTCTCTGGATTGTCGTAGCTGGGTAATGGGCTGGCAAGGCCTTGCACTCATCGGTGACCGTAAAATCAGTCACAATTTCAATACCATTATGGGGGCCGTGCGTGGTCCATTCGGACAGGAGGCTGGCAGCGGTCTGCCTTTATTTCCATGGACACCACGTCTGGTTGTACGTGGAGAAAAATTCATGCAGAAGCATCCGTTTTCCGTCTTTGAGCAAGTCTGTATATTATTCTGACGATGGTGGCTAGCCGCGTGCTTTGTCGAAGTCGCCAGGTCTGGTTCCGACAAAGTTTCGAGCACATGCCAACCAGGACCTTTATCGTAGGTGAAGGACTAGCAGCTGCTCTACCCTATTTTTCGTTCTCTATCATCTGAACAACTCGGATAGTTGTAGTAGAGCATTAGAGTAAGCCTTTGAGTCTAATCCAAAGGAGGTGGTGAGTGATGCCCAGACCTCAATATTCGCACCGAACCCCGGTTATCATTCGCATTTTTTCGCGGCTGTGGTTTCAATGAATAAACGCAGCTCTCGTTCGCCTTGAACTGCGAGTAACGAACATAACAACCGGTATTGTGTCGTCGAGCAAATCCCGATCCGCTGTAGAGCTGTACTCTGCTATTACTAAAACAATCAAGGAAAGATAGCACGAAGGCGGGAGAGCTCTATGCTAAGGTGCGGATGATAGAGACGACGTACTCCGAGAGATTCCCAATCCGGAAATGCGGAGACCTCCGTCGAAAAAATAGAAACACTCGCCCAAACCGTTACCCATAACTGATAGACCGTCACTCAAGGAGTTCAACTCAGCCCGGCTCGAATAATGATGCCTATCCTATATAGGAAGACAATCCACGCACTCCGTCGACAGCAATCTAATTTCCGGCTGAAGTCATATCCAGAAATCCCGCATACACCGACACCGATATTCCGCACTCCGGAAGACAGATCTCGGAACATAAACCCATACACGTATGCACAAACAAGTCCACAAAAGTAGTACATCCCCTGCCAAGTCTCTAGAACAATAGAATGCCAATCAAAACCGGAAATGTATAGGGCATCTCCTGTGATGTCATGATCTTCATTCTATTTTTACCCCTGATTATCGGTCTGTACTACTATGCACAAGTACATGCACTACGGAATATGTGTGCTGTGCAGGAGGAGCATTAGAGTATTCTACGATATGTCAGGAGGGGAAGTATAGGATAGTAGTATAAAGTATAGAGGCAATTGACTCGGCAGTATGGATAGGACACGGAGAGTACGGATACGGAGACAAGGCTACGGGCAGACTACGGACTAGCGTCAATTCAATCACGGGGGCCATCTGATCACGCCTTGCCGATCCCCAGTTGGGGTTGGGATGCTCCATCGGCACCACCATTTGTTCTCCGGAGAAGGTCCGGAGTAGGGTTTGCCTGTTCTCAGTGCAGAGGACGGAGGACGGATACAGAGGACACACGCCCATTACTAGTAGGGAATATGAATGATTGAGACAAATCGAGTATCAGCGCCTATTCAAACTGTCCATGTATGAGCATAGTATGTTTTTTGCTGTGCCAGGAAAGAAAAGAACCACAAACATCTCACCGTCTCGACCAGACCATCCATACTCCATAGTTCCACCGTTCCACAAACGCGTCATCCGAAGCAATAGAAGCAGCGGATCAGGAGATTCTTCTTCCCTTAACTAAGCACATGGTACAGAATAGTTATAAATACCGTTCATCTTCCAGCTCTTCTGTCAACATCAACAACTCATCTCTCAATCCTCTAAACAAATCAATTCAACTTCGCTCCAAACAAACACAATGAAGCTCTCCATCTTCGCCTCTCTCTTCCTCGCCGGCTCTGCCATTGCCGCTGGTGCCGGTGGTAGCGGTGGTTCCAAGACCGTACGTTCCTCTTCCTTTATCTATCCTCTTACCATTCGGAACCCCATATCTAACACATGATAGATCGACGACAACCAGCCCTGCCAGTCCGACAGCAAGACTGACTACTGCAAGAGTGGCCTCTGCATCGTAAGTTCCAGCCCCCTCCCCACTCAACCCAGTCCCAATGGGAGAAAGTAAAGGATAGATGCTAACAATCCCATAGCAAGAGCCCAGCCAGCCCTCGGGCACCTGCAGACCTAAGGGCCAGAACTAAGCGTTTTCTGCGCCTATTATTGTATATAGTGAATGTTAATATTCCTTTTGTTTATTGATTGGATCGTAGTCGCCTACCTGTAGAGTGGTGGTGTAGTAGACAGGATAGTTCATGCAGGGTCGATCTGTACTTCATGCCCCGTACTTAGTACGGGGTTCCGGAGTGCGTCAGGGGTTTGAATCCTGTTGGACGGACCGAGGTAGTCGGGTAGTACGGAGGAACACATTCAACGTGACTACCTGTATATATATATCATATCTCCCATGTAAGAAAAAAAATAAAAAACAGCAAAACACGGCAAGCTCTTTTCTTCTTTTTCTACGCTTAGTTGAAGCAGTCGAGGCCGAGAACATATAATTGAACTCTTGAAAGGTGGAAATATATATTGACCAACTAATACAGTAAATACCACAAGGTATCAATTCCCAAACGCCAATAATGCTCTAATAAAGAGACAATAACAAAACTATTTAATATATTCGGAGTGTTTTTTTAAGTCTCCAACGACTGGTGAATTACACTCGTGCGATACGTCTCACTCCGCTGGATCAACTCCGTATGCGTCCCCTGCTCCACACAAACACCATCCTCAATAAGGAAAATGCAATCCGCCCGATGGATCGTGTTCAACCGATGCGCGATCGCGACGACTGTTGTCCTGCCAGCGAGCGTTGCGAGCGCTTCTTGAATGCGCTTTTCAGATTCCACATCGAGGGCGCTAGTAGACTCGTCCAACAGTAACATCCGGGGTTTCCGGACAAGCGCGCGAGCAATAGACAAGCGTTGCCGCTGACCACCGGAGAATTGCTTTCCGTCGTGGCTGCACAGTGTATCGTAGCCCTGGGGCAGGGATGTGATGACATCGTGGATGTTGGCCATTTTGCATGCGGTTTCGATCTCTGCCTGGCTGGGTTCGTGATTTGGTTTCGCGCCGAGACCGATGTTGAACGCGACGCTGCCTTCGAACATGACGTTCTCCTGCGGGACGAGGGCAATGTCATCGCGGAAGGACGTGTCCAGTTGGCGGGTGATGTCTGTCCCGTCGATAACCACGGAACCTTGGGCTGGGCGGTAGAAGCGCTCAAGCATGGCAAAGGTGGTGGATTTACCAGATCCCGAGGGACCGACGAGCGCGCAGAATTGACCCGGTTGGATGTCGATGTTCAAACCGCGCAGGATAGGACGTTCCGGGCGAGAGGGGTAGGTGAAGTGGACGTTGCGGAGTTGGGCAGCGATGCCGTTCTCCGGAGGTATGAGGAGGCCGGTGCTGTCGCCTGGGGAGGAGGATGGCGGAGACGAGGTTGTGGTGGAGGCGGCTTTTTCGTTGGCTTCGACGTCGGGAAGTTTTTCGTCGAGGAGTCGGCTGGAGGGTTGGACGTTGGCGGTTGAGCCGGGGGAGATTTCTTCTTCGGCAGAGCGGGTGGTGAGCAGCTCGACGATGTTGCTGGATGCCACGCGGGCCTTGGAGATATCGGGGGCCAGAGCGAACATCTGTCCGCAGGACTGGGTACTGAAGAGCAGTGCTGGGAGGACGGTGAAGAAATCTGTCTGCGAGTATAGATTCGCTGCGATCTGCTTCGATCCCCACCAGTATGCCAGTGCATACACAAGGTTACTGATACTGAACGCGGCCGCAAGCCAGATATTTCCCCATGCAATGGCCTTCATAGTCGCGTGGTAGGGCTTGATCAGTGCGCGGCCGAACACGGCGTACGACTGCTTCTCGAGGGAGAAGGCAGCCACGGCGCGGATGTTGTCGACGGCTTCGACGGTGATGGCAGTCGCATTGGCAAAGGCCTTCTGGTGACGCTCAGCGAACTTGGCTTGCACGCGTAGCTTCATCATACCGGCAACCAGCAGCACGGGGATAGTCGGGAGCAAAACGACGGTAATCTTCCAGGCAATGGCAAGCGAAATCACCAGACCAGCAATCAAGTTAACAGCAGTCGCTAGCAACAATCCAATCGTTGTACCGGTAATTCCACTCAACGCCGACGCATCACCCGTAATATAAGTAAGCAGTGTCCCCGGCGACCGACCCTCACTATGATGCCACTCGACAGTCTGATTCAACAGCGACCGCAATGAAAGCACCCGAATCCGATACAGAACCTTATCCGCAGCCCAGCCAAACGCACATCCACCAGCGACGTTGGCGAACATCTCGACCAGCGCCATGATGAAGAACAACAGACCGTACAGGTCTCCGCTGGAGCTGATGCTCTCGGGCGAGAGGCACGGGTTCAGGGCACCGACGGTGTGACCAAAGATGACGGCTTCGGCAGAGTAGCTGCCACCGATAATGGCGGACATACACAGGCCGGCGATGATGAACATCATGTTGGGGCGGAGGAGGGAGAAGATGTATTTGGTGGTGAACCAGCCGGAGCGTTTGGTCTTGGCCTTGAGGTCTTTGTCTTCTTCTTCGTTGTCCTTCTTTTTCCAGATCTTCCATTTGCTTTCCTTTTCTAGGGCAGGGGCCGAGACATCGGCGGACTTGGAGGCAGGAGGCGTCTCGCTGATTTCAGTGTCACTGACACCGGCTTCCTTCTTCTCATCCACGATGTTAGTGTTGGTGTTGCTGTTGGCAGGTCCGGCCTTTCCGATCATGTCCTGCGGGATGGCGGCATCCTCGGCGCTCAGCTTGCCCAGGTTCTGCAAGCGGACCATTTCAGCGTAGACACCACCCTTGGCGACAAGCTCAGCGTGCGATCCTTCCTCAGTAACACGACCAGTCTGCACGACGACAATCTTATGCGCGTCCTTGGCGGTCGCCAAACGATGCGCAATCGAAACCGTAGTAAGACTCTCCGAAACCTTCGCAAGCGCCTGCTGGATCAGTTTCTCAGAAGTCGAGTCAAGTGCTGCTGTAGCTTCATCGAGAACAAGCAAGCAGGGCTGACGAACGAGAGCTCGTGCCAATGCGATACGCTGCTTCTGTCCACCGGAAAGCTGGTTACCCGCAGAACCAACGCCGGTTGCAAGACCGTACGGAAGACCGGCGATGAAGTTCATGGCGTTGGCATCACTGGCAGCCTGCTTGACGCGGGCAACAATGTCGGCAACTTCAGCAGGGAATCTGGCCAGGGCTTCTTCTTCAGAGACACCAGAGCAGATCATTTCAGCCAGATCGGGGAGGGTCGAGTCGTAGATGTACTGGGACAGGGGCTGGTGCGCCTCGTTGGAGGAGGCGACCATACCGTATGCGATGTTTTCGAGGATAGACCGGTCGAGCAAGGAGGGTTCCTGCTGCACAAAACCAATGTTGCCGCGCAGGTAGCGCACATTCAGGTCGCGGAAGTTGGTGTCTCCGATCATCACATTGCCGGACTTGGGGTCGTAGAAACGTTCCAGCAGGGCGACAACGGTGGACTTGCCTCCACCAGACGGACCGACGATGGCAGTGTGCTTGCGCGGGGGGATGGTGAAGTTGACGCCCTGCAGGACGGGGACATCTGGCCGTGAGGGATAGGTGAAGTGAACGTTGTCGAAGACGATGTTCTCCTCGCGGAAGCCAGCAGACTTATCTCCCTCATCGGAAGTCGCGTCGATGCAAGACGGCCGGTTGATAACCGTCAGCAGACGCTCCGACGCACCAGCCGCAGAAGCGAAAACGTGAATGAACGGCGCGACCTGAGACAGAATAAACGAGGCATCGATCAACACGAAGATAACCGTGTAAACAGAACCAACAGACACGCCACCATCCTCGCCCACGGACTTGGAAATCATCTGCGCACCCTCCCAGAAAGCAAGCGCGTTGGCGGAATACGCAATAAAATACAAGAAACCCAACTGCCAGGCATGCGTGGCGGCCTTCTTCAACGCATCCATCCGTGCACCAGCCAGATACGTCGCAAACCGCTTCTCCAAGCGGTCATTGGCGTTGAAGGCTTGCACAAGCATGAGATGCGACAGACTCGACGACGCAATCGATGTCGCCGCGTTAATGTTGTCCGAAATCTTGCCGGCAAACTTCTTCACATAGTGTCCACCAACCAGCGACATGATGAAGAAACAGGGCACAACGGAGATCAACATGGCGGCAATCTTGGGCACCTTGATGAATGCGACGATATACGCCGTCACAAAGTAGGAAATGGTGGTAAGCACCAAACCCACCTTTTCGGAGGTACCGGCCTGCACGACCTCGATATCGCCGACCAGTCGCGAAACGACATCGCCAGAGGGCAGCGACTCGATAAACGAGGCTTCCTGCTTAATCACACTCTCAAAGTAGGCTTTCCGGTAGCGGCGTGCCAGACGTTCACTGACCAAACACCAGCAGCAGGTATAGATGTAGATAGAGCAGAAGTTTCCAATGGTAATGTAGATGACGTACAACACCTCGGTTTCCACATGGCTGGACAGGTCCGAGGTACTGGTGCCGGAACTGGCGCTGCAGGTGGTGGAGTTCATATCGTTGATCAGGTCACCGAAGACGATACCAAGCAGCGGAAAAGGGATACCACCAGCGATACCGAAGATGACACCGAGGATAATGAGAATGACATCGACGTAGGTGTAGTCGAGGGAGAAGAGGAGGCGGATGTAGGAGAAGGACCTGCCCCAGATTTCCTTGGTGGGGAGGTAGCGTTTGACCTGATCATTAGCTACTGCTTTTCCAGCGAGGACAAGAAGAGAGAAGATACCTTCTGAGCAAAGCCATCCTTGCGGACGTCTTCGATTTGGGACATGGTGATGAAGCACCGGAGACCGGGGGTCTCTTTTCTGTGTCTAGACGGAATGCAGCAAGAATGCAGGTTACATTCCAATCCTAGCAGCGAAAGGTAGTGAATATGAACGAGAGTCAATCCATCAATCGATTGCAAAAGAATGGCATCCGTTGGACAGAAGAGAATGGAAGTAGAATAAAAGAAGAGAAGTGAGGAAAAGAAGAGAAAACAGACCCGAGGAAAAATAACCAGAGTTCAGACTCCGTTGCCGGCATGGACTAATGAGGAATGGTTCCGACGACGGGTGGGATGTGGATTTGTGACAGTCAATATTTTAGCGTGGGGCGTCTTCATTTCAAGTGTTATTCAGAGATTGATACAGAGTATTGTTATGAGTATCGTTTGCACAATCCCACTTCGCGCCCCCATTGCCATCCCATTGAGTCTTGAGTACAAGTACAAGAACCCCGTACTCCCATTACTCCTACACTCCCACAGTATGGAGTACAACTCCCACAGTGTAGTGCAACAGAGCACCCTGCAGCTGAAAAACACAAAATGTCGATCGGCGGTTTAATCCGCTGGTGGGTATATTAATATTAGTGCAAGCGAAGGCCAGCGGTCTGGTCAAAGTGGACATTCCCCTGACCGGATCTAATCTGATTGATTGATAACTTTTTCTTGGTTTTTCCACCCGAGTCGGATTCATTATTGCATACGGTTCTGCATACGAGTACTTTTACCCTGGCCACTACTAGTACATGTATGTTGATTTACATTTCATCTCTCTGCTGTATAGGCAGAATACACGTAGCAGTGATTATGCGTGTTGCATGGACGTACTTATTCCGTACCTGTACTGACACTGCAGAGTTTTCACTTACACTGCATCCGTTCATGCGCATCGCTCCGAAAAAATACAGCCATGGGTACCCATCCATGGATACTCCATCCCCATAATAGCAGTCTACTATCCAACTAGTTCGTTTCTCGCCCCTCGGTCTCTGAATATACGTACAGTGACTCCGAGTCCGAGAAATGATCTAATCTGATCCGCATCTAATCAGATTCTCCAACGCCCCTTAATTGGGTCCGATGATCGGCCGTCGTTGCTGTCATGGATGCCGGATGCATACGTGTATGGAGTAGTAGAACACGGATGATAATTGCCAATGGTCTCCTATTCGAGAATAGAGTGGTTCTAGAATGGATCCCTGCATATGTCGCTGTCCAACCTGGTATTATTCTAACCTAACGTATGTACAACGCCTCCAATCCCCGATTTCCAATCCCAACAGACTAAAAGAGTAAGAGTAATAAAACAGACACGAAGAATACAACAACACACAAACACAAACACAAACACAGAAAAGACACTACTTGTGAATATAATAGATTAACAAGTTTCGCGAATTCTCCCTTGGCGACCCCATCACCTCCCAATATCGGCTCTCGTCCTCCATCCCCCGGTACAGCGCCACACTCAGATCCGTAACCTGCCGTCGGACATCCGGCTGCCGGTCCGTCAGGTGACGTCCACAGAACCCTCCAATCCGTTCCACCAGTTCACTTTCCATTTTCTCCTTGCTCGGTCCGCTGTTGATCCGCTTCACCAGACGACTGACCACGCTCGTGCCCATTGTCACTGCGCGATAGCCTTCTTCGTCGTGCGTTTCGTGCTCGATCTGGTCGAGGACGGCTTCGATGACTTCGGCCGCTGGGCAGCCGGCGATGATCTCCTCTGCCGTTTCCTCCAGGCCGCTGACAATGTGGCAACTCGAGGCGTAGCGCTTGCGGGCACTGACCAGCGCGGTCATGGCTTTCGGGTAGTATGCTGCAAAATACTCTTCGTTCTGACGTAACAGGAACCGAATCGTCACCAAAACCTGTGTCTTCACGTCCTGCGACCGGCTTGCTCGTCTCTCCTCAGGCGCGCTCTCCAATTCGTTCAGCAAAGCCACCAGCATCTCGTCGTACTTGGCTTCGTCGTCGAAAATCGCATCGTGATACTCAATCAGTCCTTGTAGCTTGCGGTAGCCCAGGATATCCATTGTCTTCGTCCGGATCCGCTGCATTCCTTTGTCGAGCATCTCCCGTGCCTTGGCTGGGTCCTTGGACCGTGGGCTAATGCTTCGCTTTCGATCCTTGGTCGACTCCAGTTTCTTCCAACGGCGCGACACGTCCGGTGTTGCCGTCGGTATAGTTTCAGGCGACCGAAGTTTTCCCGCGATAGGCCGAGGGGTCCTGTTGTCACGCGCTGGTTCATTGTTCGGGATCTCTCCCAACACATTGTGTCTCGGTGCGGAGCGGATCTCAGGAGAGATGTTGATACTCTTGTTGGCAAGCGGCGTAGCGTTCTCGTTGGTTCTCGCACGAGGCGATGGCGTAGGTGATTCGTGGTAATCCACATCTGTAACCGTAACGGGGTGGTGAATCACCGACGAAGGACTATCCGGGTCTTCCTCGTGAGTAGCCAAGTCGGGCTGTTCAATGTCGGTTTCTGGAGCCGCAGCCGCAGCTACCGGAGACTCGACGTGCCGTGAAACGGGCTCCGGCTCGGGCGTAACAGCCGGGACTTCATGCGCAACAATCTCCGGAGATGCGCTGCTTGGGGCTGGTTGTTCCACGTCAATCTGAGCGGGTTCACGCTCATACTCGTGAGGGCTTTCTGGCTCAGTCACGACCGGTACATCAGGTATGACCCCGGCGTCATCACCATCCTTGTGCTCTTCATCACGAGCCAATGTATCAGCAGAGATATAGTATTCGTTAGGAACAGCTTCCGCATGGTTCTCTGTTTCCACTGGGGTCTCTGCTGGGGTCTCCGCAGGGGCAGGAGCAGGGTCTTCGTAAATTTGCACCGGAGCAGGTTGTTTTCGGACGCTGTTCGGAATAACATCCGGGGGTGGCACATGGTCATCGGCCAGATCTGCGGTGGGCTCCCGTGAAGGCTCCGGGGTGCTACGTTCTACAGATTGCATCCGCGGCGGGGGCAGTGTAGGTAGACTGGGAACGGGCTCTTCCACAGCTGGAACAGGACGCTGGATCGTCGATCCAGGAGGACTTTCCAATTGGATCGAAGCTGGTGACTCCCGTCCATGATGTGCCATACTATCATGCGAACCGCTGCGCGAATGATTCGCACTCCGGTCATGCAGACGGGACTTGGAAATGTCCAGCTTCTTAGGCTTGCTCATCGCAGGGCCCAGATGCGCAGGGTCCCGGCGAGGGGTCTTTGACGACGGTGTAGCCGCTGATCTAGCCTTCACGGCCCGCGGTGAGCTATCTACCTTAGGAGCAGAACTTGCTTTGGTGGATCGCGAGTCTTCACCAGTTCGACGAGCGTACGGGTCTGCCGTTGCCGGGCGAGTTATTTCTGGTCTTCGAGGCCTCGAACCCGGGCGCATGGGCGCAGACGACAGAGAAGAGACGGAGGTTCCAGTAGGAACAGTCCGGACAGCAGAAGTAGAAGTAGAAGATTTGGACAGCGGGTCCGTCGTTCTGGCATCCGAAAAGGTTGACTGCGCCGATTCCGGCCTTGGAGGCAAGGAGCGTCCAGGTGTCAGACGTGCTCTCTTCTGTGCAGCAATGGCCTCCTTAAGAGCAGAGCGGCTAGACATGGCAGACGATGTGCTGCTGGAAAGGCCTTTCTGAGATGTCGAAGGAGTCTTCAACGAGGACTGATCCGCATTTGGATTTTCCTTCTCTAACAAGGATCTTGACTTGCTATCGAGAGTAGAGATGATCCTGTTTCGTGTCAGACCAGATATCAGACAAAACTGTAAAAGGAAACTTACTCATCGCCTTTCCTTGGCCAAACACTATTGAACACCCAGAATGTGACACGCATCGTCTCCCGAACAGACGGATTGGCGTCTGAGAGGCCCTTCCTGATGCTCTTGTCAAGGTTATCAAGCCCCCCGCCGTGCTCCATGCTATTCTTGTGACGCGCTTGCCTCTGAATGATAGTCTTGATCCAGCCCGCTGCAAACAGGCGCAGTTGAGCATTTCTGTCCTGGGCAGCACTCGTAATGTGCTGCAGAATACGTGACGAGAAGGTCACATTACCAATAACGACATCGACCGTAGTGTTGCCGCTTTGCGCACTAATCTTTTTCATCCCAGAGCAGAGCTTGATGAGGTTCTGCATGATAATCTCGACCATTGAATCGATGCGAGGACCGCAGGTCTTAGCCAGGTCCTGCATCATAAGACAACCAGCAGTGCACAGTGTTGTCCGCAGAGAGTTAACCACCTTGAAAATGCCATCCAACAATGTCTTAATGCCGGTCAGGAACTGGGTGGGGAACGAGTGCGGTGCGTTGCCGCGGGTAAGACGTCGAAGGGTAATGACATTGCGTTCACGCGAAATCCAGTTCTGTTCGGTTTCCCGACCTTCGAAACTAGGAAGCATGTCGCGCACCATGTCGTCGAGATCGCGGGATGACGCCACAATGAGAGGCTCAATGTCGTCAGAGCCATTTTGGGAACCATGCGCCTCGTCAGGATATTCATCTGCTGCGGCGTGCTGCGGCGGGGGAGCACTTCGCTCGCGGTCCATTCTGGACATGGGGCGTTGCGGTCTAACAGGTTCGGGCTCTAAACACGACATCAGTGACCCGGTTTCCTCATATAGCCAGGACGGGGGTGTACCTGGTGAATCAACACGATAGTGCGAACGTGAAGACATGACCGAAACTGGGCGTTGGTGCAAAGCCTCAGCCCGAGATGCAGGACGCGAAGGCGCCGAATGGTCTCCATCCATGGAGCTTAGTCCGATGCTCGTGAGGATCGAGTTTGCGATGGATTTTCGAACATTGTGGGCGGTTATCTGCTTGGTTAAATCTGATTTGGCACGCGCGGGGGCATTCCTAGTTATGTTAGACCGCCGAAAAGTAATCAACCGCAAATATCACGTACTGGAATAGTTCGACCACGGTCATCTTTGCCGTGTCGCGGACCGCGCTGTCAGCGTCTTCTAGACAGCCAACCAGACTAGGGACGTATGCACGGAACAACAGTCCATGAGATTTTGTCATCTGCATGTGAATGTAAGACATTACTGCATAAAGGTGTGGGAAAAGGACGGACATACATTCGCCAGCCAAATCATACTCATTTCCCTGGCTCTAGCATTCTTGCCAACCAGCGCAATTTCCAGCACGTAGTGTTCGACATCACCATTCGCAGCCGGCCACATATCGGTGAAAGCTTGTGCCGCTTGGGCGCGAGTACGTTCTTTGCGGTCTCCCAGCCTTTCCAACAGGATAGGATAGAGCATCCGACCCTGGCCCGAGATCAGATGATGTTGATCCTGAATAAACAATCGTTTCAAGAAGTGGCTCAGGGTAGAGAACCCGCCACCAAGCAGCGACGAGTGCTGAGATGCAAGGGCCAGGCGCAGCGCTTCGAAGACCGGCGTAACGGCAGACTCGGGGACATTTTTCTGTTTGATGTCGGATTTGACGCTTGTCAGATGCGCAGCCTTGGCATCAATGGATAGGTTGACATTCTTCAGCGCAGCTAATAGCTCTGCAGCCTTTGACTCCATGATCGCGACGGGGACTTAGCGACACGCGGACATAGAGGAGGGTAACCGGAGCAGACGACTGCGTTCAGCGAGATGGTAGCGTAGGGAATTGACACTATGCGCGTAAAACCGGAAAGATCTGTCCAAGCCAACGCGAATGATTAGCGCAATGTACTTTTTGGTACTCTGGAGAGCGCAAACAATGGAAAAATCCGGAAGGAGAGATGAGGGGAAAGCCAAGATATGTCATCAAAGATTTTCAACAGCAGAAAGTCCGACTGGGCCTGAGGATTACTTGCGACAATAAGCATAACGACCAATAAAATAGCTCATACCTGTTTGCGACGCTCTGGGTCTCGTTCAGCCGGCGCTCACAAGAATGTTCGCGGGGGGTACGAAGGAGGGGAAGCGAACGAGAGGACGGCGAGATGCGATGGAACGCGGCGGATCAAACAAGCCGGTGAGAAGTAATCGATTGCGAGGAGTATATTCGTAGCAACGCGATCTTGGGTGAGAAATCGCAGATTCGACGAAGGGTGAAGAAGTTGAGTGGTGAGTAAGAGGGTGGGAGAGTGGGAGGACGGAGAAAGAAGCGGCGACGAGGAGAAGTAAAAGACAGCAACAGTAAGCGACGGACACGATGTCACAAATTAATATTATGTCCCCCGTAGCAAGAATCTTTCTGTGTACTATTATAGTGTATTTTTTAAGAAAGAAAAAGAACTGAATGATGTCAGTCCAAATAGCCATTTCACAGGCTTAGGAATCAGGGATGGCCGAAAAAGGAGAACGCGAGGAGCAAAAATACCTCTACTGGGGATGTTAGTGTTGTATCTTGATTATTCTTCCTTTGGCTTCTTCTTCTTCTTCTTCTTCTTTTTTTTCTTTTCCCTCTTTATCCTGTTGCGTGTTTATTCATTGGGCTTCTTTCCTAGTTCTTCTGTTTTGTTTATACCCGACGGCGTGTGGTTGTGAGGGTGACAGACCAAGTGGGGTGTCAGTGCTGATGCTGTATGGAGTAGAGGCACAGAAAGGAGGCAATTATATTATTGAAGAAATCAATTAGCTTAGATCCAATGTTTTGCTAATGCGTGTTCTAATAATTATTTCTCTGCACAGTGACATGGTTCCACGTAAACAAACAGTAAACAACCAAAGCTCAACTCCAGTGAAACTCACAACTGCCTCACATATACAGGGGCGTTAATAGTCAATAGAAGAGAAACTAAATGAGCACTGGCAAATACTGGCAGTTGCAAATGTCATGCTGTGATCGTCCCTTGTGGATCGCTGCTAGACACTTGGGCCAGATGGAGCATAGTGCATCGTCCACCTCCAAAGAATGCAATTGAAATCGGGGAGTTGAGTAGCCTTTCTCGGATGAGCATCACTTGCAGATGCTACCTACGAGCTCAGGATATCATGGGCAATCTTCTCAGCAAGGGCGTCTGTCAAAGTCAGTCACTCCTCCATCATCAATTCGAGGACAAGAGACTCACAAATAGTAGCCACCGGATGCCCCGGAGGCAGGATCGGGAACGACGAGGCATCCACTACCCGCAGTCCCTTGACCCCGTATACTCGCGCCTTGGTGTCAATGACAGCCTTTTTGTCGTCCTCCTTACCCATAGCACACGTGCACGCAGCATGATACACCGTACTCGCTGTCTTGCGAATAACTTCCAGAATCTCCGCATCACTCTGCACATCTTCCCCGGGGAAGTACTCTGGCCCGATCAGGACATCCTCCATGACAGTGCTATTGAACATCTCCCGCACGCGCTTGTACCCCGCCACCACAATCTCCTGGTCCGCAGGATGGGTGAGCCAGTTAGGATTAATGAGCGGCGCGTCAGCCATATCGGCCGAAGAGATATCGATAGTCCCTCGGGACGATGGTGCGACTAGCGCTGTGGACACAGTCGCATAGTTATATCCGTCCGTGGGGGCGTCGCGCTGGTAGTTCTGCTGGTAGCCCAAGAACCCGCTCATGCTGAGGTACTCGACTTCAGGCCAGTCGCTGGGGAACTGGGTTAGAGCGGAGAGGGTATTGTTAGGCCAGGAGGATCGGTAGGATGAGGGGATTTTTTCCCAGGCAAGGAAGTCGCCGCCGGAGTTAGTAAGGATGCCTTCTTGTTTGTTGATAAAGAGGTCGTTGGCTTCGTTTAGGGCGTCGGGGTTTGCTAGTGAGGATGAAGTTATGGCGTTGACGCGGTAGGTTGGGCCCATTAGGACGTGATCCTAGCATGTCAGTTAGTTTCCGTTCATATTGCTTACGGTTTCTAGGGATACTCACCCACATGTTCTGGCCTACACCAGGCCGATCTGCCACAACGGGAATATTGTGCTTCTCAAGACTAGCCTTGGGTCCCACACCAGATACCATCAACAGCTGAGGAGACTGGAAAGCCCCAGCTGAGACAATGACCTCTCTGTTAGCGGACAAAACATAGTGCACGCCGTCCGACTCAACCAGCACTCCATTTGCAGTCTTCTCAGAATCAAACAGCACCTTCTTCGCCAAGGTAGATTGGTAAACCTTCAACGAAGTCGACTCCAGCGCAGGCTGCAGAAACGCAGTCTCAGAAGACTCGCGAGTCTGATCAGCCGCATTGATGGTCTCCAGCACATAAGCAGATCCATTAAGTGCACCGCTGGTAAACCCCTGGATCGGCTTAATTCCAATCGCTGCGAAACCCTTTTCAACCCAAGAGGACACAGCATTGGCGTAGTTGGAGAAAGTCACAGACAGTGGCCCGTCGCCCGGTCCTAACGATGCCTCATCATAGTTGGGTGTTGCATTAGTAGCCCTAGACGGTCCCGGCGGTGTAAAGTTGAGACTCTTCTGGAAGTAGGGCAGTAGGCCATCGTAGGTGTAGCTGTAATCACCGACCTGATTCGCCCATTTCTCGTAGGACTCAATGGTTCCCATGTGGTACGCCATGTAGTTCCGGGCGGAGCATCCACCTAGGGCTTTTCCACGGGCATAATGAACACTGGCGTTAAGGAGGCCGTTCTGCGGTGTCGTGACAAACCCCCAATCAACCGGACTGTCGTTGTCAGGATCCTTTCCGCTCCAGTATGTATCATAGGCTGGGATCTGGCTGAGATTGCCGTTGGCAATTTCATAGAAGGTGCCTGCTTCGATGACGGCAACGGATATTGAGGAATCTTCGGCCAAACGAGCGGCTACTGTTAAGCCGGCATTTCCACCCCCGACGACGATGTAGTCATAGGTAGCGTTTTGGGGGACACCGAATGAGGAACCGATTAGGCGAGAGCTGTCCTCGGTGGATAACGGAGCGGACTGAGCCAATGATGCCCATAGTGTGAAAGTTGCCAAGTGAATGGGACGCATATTGCAGGGATACCACATGGCTTATGTTAGGTGTGTTTTTAATGGAGGGACGAGCTCAAGAATAGAATATCATCCTGGTTATTGGGTCATTGGGTACTTTTATATGATTGTCAAGAGAGTCAATATCTGAAATTTTCGCGTTCATTCTGGGTGAAACGAGCCGCGAATTCTCCCTCGTACCCAAATTTAGCATTACAAGTAGTATCAACAGTGGTTTCTTCCTACAATATGCGGTATCAGTTGGTGAGCATGATTCTGAAGATAATGTTAGATCCATCAAGGCTTAGGATGATGACTCTGCCCCCATCTCACCGTAAGATCATGACTCTCTCTCTCTAATCAGTTTAACCATGATCCAAGTCAACAGCCGAACAAACATCTCGGTGTGACATTTTGGATGAGAATAATACGAAGCTATCAAAGTTCTGGCGCCAGTGGGGCCGAGGCTTGGTGATGACCATAATCAGTATAAGGCTCCATGTCAGAGTGTGGAGCCAATGTCAGCATCCAATGTCTTAGTGCTGACGGTTGTGTTGCTGCATTACCGGGAAGGATCTTGTTGAAGAGAGCTGAACAAGAATCATGTCGCTGCCTATTGAAAGCTGTTGCAGGTGGATCCTTACTTTAGCTTCGCCTGGAGATCCGTTCTTTCCATGAATTATGTTGAGAATTCTCAAGTACCACATCTTACGGCTCTCCCGTATTATCGCCACTCTCACTCTCGTTTCCAGAAATAGTTGGAAAAAAGTACCTTGCATTGCCAGAGCTAGTGAAGTTCACAAGAAATACAAACTATGGCGGTAACTACAGAGTAACAACAATTTTCTTCCCAGACACACCAGCTTTCTGCACGTCAAATGCATGCTGAATCTTATCCAATCCATGCCCAACAACGACCGGATCGGGCTTGGCCTGCAGCTGTCCACTGGCGAGTGCTTTGGGCACATAGTCCTCCCAGATAGCTTGGCCAATCTTGTCGTTCGGCGGTGTGAATACGGCAATAGCACTCACTAGCATCTGTCAGTCTCAGTTGTCTTCTTATTATTCGAGTCAACAGGCATACCAGGTTTAGGCTTGAATGCCTCGGAGGGATTCTTGTAAGGCAGTACAGAGGCAACCGGGAGACCGCCGAGTTCTTCCGCAATGGCGGAAAGCGGTCCAAAAGTGGCTTCCTCCGAAATAGCATCATAGGCTCCAGCAATCTCCTTTCCTCTGAGCTCGTTCACAATGTCATTCACGACCGTAGGAGACCTGTAGTCGAAGACAACGCTTGCCCCCAAGTCCTTGACGAACTGATGGTTAGCAGGAGAAGCCGTCGCAATGACTCTCAAGCCCGAGGCAACGGCAAGCTGAACGGCCGTTGCGCCAACAGAAGATGCTGCGCCCCAGACCAAGAGAGTCTGTTCAGTGGACTCAGGACTGGTTGATGGAAGTGGAAGACCTAGATAGTCTGGGAGATACAGTCCCACGGAAGCAGTTGAGACGGCCAGTGGCAAGGTGGTGGCTTTCTCGAAGGTCAGTGAGTCGGGAATCGCAGCTGTTGCGTTCTCTTGGGCCACTGGATACAATTGGAAACCGGAATAAGCGGCATTCGCAGTCTTCAGCGACAGGAGATGTCTTCAGAGGAATTCGTTTGGTTTCAATACAATTGGGGTAGGTTCCAACTAACGTGATTACTCTCTGGCCCTTCTCGAACCGAGTCACTCCCTCACCGACTTCCTCAACGACGCCAGCAACATCCTCCCCCAAAATAAAGGGATAGTTCCGGATGAAGATGCCATAATCCCTGCTAAATTAGCAGCTGAGGAGAATTGCGTGGAATGAGAATAGCTCACTGGATCTTCCAGTCAACAGGATTCTAGGATAAATTATTAGCAACCAACGCAGAGACAAGGACGAATAGTGAAACTCACAATTGCAACCGCATGGCTTCGAATAATCAACTCGCCAGGCCCTGGCTTTGGCGTTGGAGCGGGGCCAACAGTCAACTGTTGACGGGCCTCTGGGATCCAAGCAGCTTGGTTAGACATGTTGGAGTATGGATTGTGAATGTGAATTGAGAGGAAAGGTCTCAGGGGGGAGAATTTTATAACTGCGTGTCAGCTTACAAATTCAATCCTGGCTACTGTCGTCAGCCCACTACCTGATTATGCACATTGAAGAGGGGTCGTTTGTTCCTCGTATTTAGATTAGCCAGTGGAAACAAAGAAATCGTGGTACACGATATACCTCCATGCCAACATAGTTTCATGTCACGCCTAGGCCGTAGGGATGCTTGTGTATACGCCGCACCATACGATATGTACTATCCTGTACCTGTTGGTCGAGCACGTTGGATTTCATTGATTGACGTGATGAGCTGATGCGAAGTGTCAAATGAGATGATGGGATACGGATTTACAATCATGTCTGTTTCGGAAAAGCATATTTTATGGGCTTTCACTATAGTTAAGTCTTTTTAAACTTCTGCAAGCTCACCAGCAAGCAATCGGAATTCACAATCTCTAATCGTTCAACTACGCGATTCCCAACCAACACGAAGGCGACTCCGAAGGACTGCCTCTATACTAGCGCTTTTTGGTCCTTCCATTTCGAGAAACAAAGGCTTTCGATTGCAACGTCTCCGGGTCATGATGGTCATACCGAGATCTGAAAATACGAGGTTATTTAGATCAGTTCCGTAGAGCCACCTCGGCATCTAATGCACAATCCGGAAGGTTCACTCTTAGGGCCTCAAAAAATGTTCCACAACGCTAAAAATTTCTATATAGTTTCATACATATTGACGTAACCAATGCAGGGTATCTACCAAGGATACTGGAGACCATCGTAACGGTTAAGTCCCTCCGCATTCTCCCATCCGGGCACTTTGATGTTGTAGAATTTCCCGTTGTCTGCCTTGGTTGCGTTATCAATAATCTCCAGAACGCCCGTCGAGCTTTGCTCAACCGAGAGATCGGCCGCGTCGCCACCGAGGTTGGTTCGAACCCACTGGACAGCATTAGTACGGAGTACAGAGGGTTATATTGGGGAAACATACACCGGGGGAGATAGCCAGGAAAGTAAATCCTTGCTCGGCAAAGGACTGGGCGTATTGTACAGTCAACATGTTCAGGGCGGCCTTGGAGACCTTGTATGCTGGGACGGGGAACAGGGCGTAGTGGGAGGACGTCTCGATGGAGCCCAGGGTTGTGGAGCTAGGATCTTGAGCATGGACGCACTCCAATTAACCATAACTCGAGACTTACATGTTGGCAACCTTCTTCAGGCTACCCTTCTTGAGCAGCGGCAGGAAAGCAGCAGTGACCAGGTGAGCGCTGGTAACATTAGTCTTAAATGTCGATTCGAGGTCCGTCCTTTTCTAGTCAGCTTTCCGTGAGAACTCTGTGAGTAATAATGAGAACCTACATAGTTTCAATTCCATTGGCAGTGAAGTTCATAATCCCGGCTCCGTTCACAAGCACATCGAGGCCCTTGCCGTCGAGCTGCTTCTCCACCTCAGCAGCGGCCTGCTTGGTGCTGGATTCGTCGGTCACATCGATCTTGACCTGCTGCACCCGACCAGAGTGCTTGGAGACCAACTGCTTGAGCTCCTCGGTCTCGGTGCGGAACGCGGCGATGATAGTAGACACCTCCGAAACGGGCTTGGAGGCAAGGAGGTCGGCCATGGCAAGGCCAATGCCTCGCGAGGCTCCGGTGATCAAGTAGGAGGCCATCTTAAATGTCTATGCAAGGAATTTGTTGAACGAAGTAGTGATTGTAGGTGGATTTGAATGGAACTGGGAATGAGAAATTGAACATGAGGGCGGGGGAGATATATATACTTGTATATTTTCAAGTCCAGCATAGTATAGTTCTTCGTCCTTCTATGTGCTTTGAAATCAACAGTCTTTGTTCCAACAGACATGACTCTCATTGGCAAAATCTCCAGACACTAGCGCTTATAGAAATTCCCCACGCTGACACCCGCCGTGGTTGAGAAATATTCATGATTCTTGCATGACTGGCTCTCGTGTCCGTGTCAAAAATACGAGAAAGGCCCGCCTGGAACTTTACAGCATCACGATATGCCGCAGCAGCCATGTGCCGGCATGAGGCTAGTCGGATGCGTTTGTAATGTACATTTGTGAGATGTGAGATGTAGGTAGGTTCATTCTACTTTCTAAGTGTAGTCACATAGATCGGATATTGTCAATTTGCCGGCAGTCCTTAGATAATTTTCCTAAATCTTGAAAAGTCTAGAAGCAGGGTATCTCAAGTACCTTCTTTCATTATCTCGTGCGATACTGTCTCATCATGTTCTTGGGCACAATTTCCACTCCGTACACTTCATAAAGGCCATTACTGTTTCTACCATGGACAATGCCATAAATAGGACTATCTATTAATCTAGCTTGTCCACGGTGAACTCGGAAAGCCTCTATTTAACAAAGTAATTATTCGGATCTGGCCCCTGCAGATCGAAATCCACCTTGGTGATTCCTCCAATTCCCACCAAAAACAGCGTCTTCAAATCCTCGCCGGCCCACGCAATATTCTCAACCGGATGATTCGTCTGAATCCTCGCGATAACCGATCCATGCTGATCCAATATATCAACTCCATTCGACAACCCCGACCCAACAACCAGATACCCATTAGCCGCCACCTTGATCCCATCGGGACTTCCCTCCAGCGACTGAAAGATGTTTCGCTTGTTCTTGAGAATCGGCGCTCCCGTATCAGTAGTGCGCTCCACGTCCCACGCATACACGTTGCGCGCGTTCGTCGACGTGAAGTAGATCCGAATTGGGTAGTCGTAGAAGCCCTGCGTGCTGGCGTCCGGGCCGACCGTTTCCAGGCCCGAGTCTGTCACGTAGAGGGTTTTGCCATCTCGGGAGAAGGTGATGCCGTTGGGGTGCTGGAGGCTGGCGTCGGCGATTTGGACTTCGCCGGTGGATGGGCGGAAACGGTATGTGGCTAGTTGGTTTTGGTTGGACATGTTGGAGAGGCCCAGGCCGTAGGCGTAGTCTAATCGGGTCAGCAGGCGTATTTCATTTCAAGTGTGTCAGAAGAAGGCATACCGCTGTCAGTAAACCAGACGTCGCCGACATTGTCGACCGTCAGGTCATTCAAGCCTCCGTAGAAGAATCCGTAGTAGTTGTTCAGCAGCCATTCGGCCTTGAGAGTCTTGGGATCAACCCTCGCGACACCAGGACGCTGCTTCAGTCCATTGGGAAGAGTCACGTTGTTGCCCTGGACGGCCCAGTAGATCATTCCATCATGCAGGATACCTCCTGTTGGTTGGTAAATGGGTGGGTCCGTCACGAAGGCCTCAACCTTGGGAGGATCGACATTCAAATCGATCATGATGTTGGTCAGATTCCCCGGAGGTCCATCTTGGGTGGTGAACAGCTTGTTGATCTCGGGAACATAGATCGGGGCTTCGTGGATGACATTCAGCACGGGGATGTAGTTGTGGATGATTTTCGGAGACGCGCCCAGCAGCTCGAGTCCGCGCTTCTTGTCGAAAATAACGAAATCTGCGTCGGGGACGAGGGATGCCCATGACGGGTCATCAGGGACCAATGTGCCAGAGTATCCGACAGTTGGATCGGCGTCGCGCGAGAAAGACGGAGGGAGAACACTCTGGTATCGATTGATGCAGGTGATGTTGGCAGTCTTGGGTCCACAAATGTAGGCCACAGGTGCGCTCTGGCTAGAGGAGTTTCTAGCGTGAATTGTGCTGGCAGAAACACCTGCCGTGAAGAGAGTGGCAGTGGCCAGCGGGAGGAGAGAGAGGGCAGACATGTTGTTGACCGGTGCTCATGCGAAGCTCAGGCGGACAGACTTGAATGATAGAACCAAGCCAGACACGGGGCTTTTATTGCGCTCGGCTGGCAATGGCTGCCACCTCTCTCATCATGAATGCCACTCTCATGCCCAATGGCCCCATTGAAGGAGCCGAACAGCTCAAGCAGTCAGCTTCGTTCCTGATGAATTAAGCTCTTACATGACAATGCGAAAATGCTTACGGCTTACAGACGACCGTTAGGGCTTATGATCTAGCCCGACCCTACGACTATTCGCATTCGTGGGGGCTCATATTTGAATAACGGAGATGTATTTAGATCCGGACAGACCACTAATTATCAGTTCGTATTCCCGTCCGGAACATCACCCGGTGTGGATCAACGTGAATCACCCGCGCATTAGTGCTGACTCTGGCGCCGTAAGGAAGAAGTACCAAAACCATTAGTTCTAATTAATCTGAAGCCTATTCGTACAGGGGTCTATGTGCCTTCCCGCGCTAACGGACGCGTGCAGGTTTTCACAGGCTTGATTTCTAATCATTCTTTGTTGAGGATACGAGGAGCCATCACGAAATCAGTGCAAAAAGCCTGCATGCAGCTTATTTGATTACCAATTCACCTTAACATTCCGGAATCCTCAAGAAAGATGAGGGTCTCTTGTCTTTTGTTGAAGTGAGCAGATTTTTTCCTGCTTTCCATCCTTCGTCAATTTCAGTTCCGACAACAATTACACCATGATCAATACCTTGGACCATGCCCACGAGGCGGCGGTCTCTGAGCCCAAGCGTCCTAACGACACCGATGTCGAGCAATTGGCTGCCCCCGTGCCCCGGAAAGTGCAAGGCTTCGCGGTATAGCAGGCCCCTGTCTAAGAGACGGAATAGAACTAATTTGCGGCCATCTAGTGGTTCCTCGTTGTCGTCAGTATCCTGTCCAGCATCTTCCTCTATGCGCTGGACAACACCATTGTCGCCGACATCTTGCCGGTAAGTGCATCTTGAAAACCATTCAATAAATTCACTCGTAACTCTCATCGCAGGCAATGATCAACGACTTTTCCTCGGTTGATCAATTGGGGTGGCTCTCCGTTGGGTTTCAGATTGGAGGTGTCGCGGTCATCATGCCTTTGAGCAAGATTTATGGCCTCTTCCGCGTCAAATTTCTCTACCTGCTTTCCTGCATCATATTCATGGCCGCGTCGGCGCTGTGTGGCGCTGCCCCGGATATCAATGCGGAAATCGTGGGTCGTGTCTTCACAGGCGCTGGGGGCATTGGTCTTTACATCGGAGTGATGATTCTGCTGTCTGTCAATACCACCGAGCAAGAACGGCCCATGTATCTGAGTCTTGTGTGAGTTTCGTCAACCGCCTAATGTTTTCAAGCTAACCCAAATCAGTGGTCTGGTCTGGGGTATCGGAACTGTCCTCGGCCCCGTCATTGGCGGTGCATTTGAGAAGGTTACCTGGCGCTGGGCTTTCTATATCAACCTCATCATCGGTGCCGTCCTAGCTCCCATCTGGGTCTTCCTCCTCCCCAACACCGCTCACCCATGCAAACATCTTTCTCTCGGCCAGCGACTGCGCAGCTTCGACTCAGTAGGATGTATCCTGAGCATGGGAGCCATCATCACCACGATCATGCCGATCAACTTTGGCGGAGGTCTATATGAGTGGAGGAGTGCGGCTATCATCGCTCTGTTTACTGTCGGCGGAGTCCTTTGGATCTTGTTTGGTATTCAGCAGACCTTCAACATCTTCACTTCCACAACAAATCGCATGTTCCCGGTCCAATTTCTGTGGAACAAGGAGGCCGTGCTGCTGTTTATTCTGGCAGCAACGTGCAATGCCGCGGTGTTTATTCCTGTCTACTACATTCCTATCTTCTTCCAGTTTACCTGGGGCGACGACGCTTTGGCTTCTGCCGTGCGTCTGTTGCCGCTCATCTTTCTGCTTTGTGCGACCATCTTAACCAATGGGTGGTTGATGTCCAAGCTGGGCTACTACATGCCCTGGTATGCCATTGGGGCTGCCCTGATGCTTATCGCGAATGTTTGTCTCTGTAAGTCTTTATAAACTGAACCCCAAAATTGAATATTCAACTGACAACCAACCAGCGCGAATCGACATCTACACCTCCACCTCTTACATCTACGGCTTCGAAGCCCTCCTCGGCATTGGCGGTGGGGCGTTCGTTCAAGCCGGCTACGCCGTAATCCAAGCAGTCGTTGCCCCCGAAGACTTGGGATACGCAGTCAGCTTCATGATGGTCGGTATGTATAACCCTAATCATCTCTTCCCTCGAGCCTACTACATTAACGAACTAACCAAACCAGCGCAAATCGGCGGCATCGCACTAGGCCTAGCCATTGCCAGTGCTGTATTCGTCAATGGCGCCACACTCCAGCTCCAAGACCTCCTCCCACAGTATCCGAAGGATCAGCTGCAGGCTGCGATTTCGGGGACGAGTAGCCAGGTGCTGCAGACGTTGTCGCCTGAGTTGCGGGAGAGGGCGCTGACTTTGATTGTGTCGAATATGGATAAGGTGTATGTTTGCATCTCCGTAACCATTGCTGATGTTTCAGGGCTGGGCTGACAGTTAACTAGGTTTATTGTGGCGTATGCTGGGTCCGCGGTTGCTTTGGTGGGGTCACTTGCTCTTTCGGTACGTTTATTTCTGCATCTGGCTGTGCTTTGTGAAATCAATGATGATGGGCTAACAATGACTCTAGAGGAAGCGGGTTTTCCTGCCTGCTGCGGCGGCGGCTTAGGGTTTTATCTGTTGAATCATACGTGTATCATTTTGGTCTTGAAAGTTGAAACATCATTTCTTACGGTATAATATTTCAATAGCAATATCTGAGTTTTCTCATAATTGGCGTAGGACTGCAGTGCTGCACTAACTGCCGAGGTATATCGGATAAGAGTTCGAGTTCTTAGCGTGTCCTATTGGTCTTGAGTAACATATATGACTGGCAAAATACACAAGTGCTGATGTTGCGTGATCATATCTCATATTCAGACTTGGGAGGGTATACTCGTAGACTAATGCTGCAAACATCAATTCATTGCTATTCAGTCGATAAACTACCAAAACATCGAACTTGTACAAACGAAGCACATTAACACATAAAGAGAATAGAAATAGTAGATTTACCCATACTGTACAGCTTCCTGGTCTTTTGGCAAAGTAAGAGTGACTCCATACATAAAAAAACTTCTTTGCAACCAACCGGGGTCCTCTTCTTTTTCCCAAGCAGAAAAGGAAGAAAAAAAAAAAAAAAAAAAAAAAGCAGACATCAAACACGTGAAATGAAGAAAATATTTCTAGATCCCCTCTTACACAATCACCTCGCCCAGATCCACATAGACGGGCTTCCATGGTGCTGCACTTTCTTCCTCCATCGAACTGGGCACACGCACATTCAGCGGGCTATACATGTACCATCCCTTAAGCGCCGAAACCGCTGCCCGGGATCGGGCCTCAAGCAGACTGGCGCCAGCGCCCTCGCCCAGCTTATCCTCACCCGAGTAGATGCCAACCACGAAGACCGGGTGCCGACTCTTGCGACCAGTCTCACTTATGATCTTCGCTACGGGGGGCTCGAAGCTCTCCCGCGCACACAACCGACTGAGATCCCGGGCCGGTTGTGAAAAGTCGAACAGTTCTGTGATGCTCAGGTGTCGCGACAGGAAGTGTTGCTCGAAGAACCGCTTGGCCGCCGGACGGCCGGCGTGCAGGTAGATGGAGCCCATGACGGCCCGCACGAAGTTGGAACTGGCCTGTTCCGCAGTGACACCCTGCGGGAGCGGCGTCGATTGCCCATCAGCCTTGGTGGGGTCTTGGACCGGCTCACCGAATTCGTTGTCGTACACAACCCGCGAGCTCATCGACACTCTCCATCTCCGCTGGTCATTGGGCCGTGTCGACCCGTTCACTTGTCCCTCCCTGATCTCGGTCCCCGGGTCGATCCTCTTGAACTGCAAGAAACCGGGGTCGACCTCGCCTCCGGGAGTGGCAGCGTGCTCCACACCCCATTCCTTAGTCATTGCCGCTAAAGTCTTAGGTCCGACGTACGCATACATCGCTGCAAACACAACCGCCATGGGAAGTCGAGGATATGTGCAGATGAGATGCTCGGAGGTGTAGTAGGTCAAAAGGTCATGGCCTAGCGTGGCCAGCGATGCATTGTTGAAATTCGAATTTGGTTCCGCCGAGGCATCCACCAACGATCGTGCTAGGGTCTCGAGGGGTAACCGTGAGGGCAGGTAAAGACGAGCGTGGAGGGCAGCCAATTTTGCCGACTCGCGTGCGGCTTCTACCGGCGGGGAGGGGAGAGTATATTTCGACTTTTGGGGGTTGGGGGAAGGAATTGGCGACACGGGCGATTGTTCATGCATCAATGGTTCGTTCTCGACCTGGGGAACAGGCGAAACAGTCGATTGGTACCGGGGTCCTGTGTAGAGATGGTGCTGCAGGCGGCTACTACCAGTCCGGACCCGCGGCGAAAGGACCGAACTGCTCCATCGTTGGAGCTGCAGCCTTTTCATCTGGGCGAATGTGCGAAAATTGAGCCTTAAAGAGCGGCGGGAAGTCAAGTATCAGAAGCGCAAGCAGAAAAGTTAAAGCGTGGAGGGAGCACAGTCAATTAACTCGGGCAGAAAAGCAACTTTTTTGCTTTGCTGGAAAGAGAAAATGTTCGACTGGCGCAGGTCACGGGATCCGGGCGGTCTCGTGGGAAGAGAGGGGCGCTAAACCATATTAGGAAATAGGGTCACGGGACTGAGGGACGTCGACGGCCAATTCGGCTGCAACGACTGAGCTGCCGCCCATTAATAACCTCCCCGTTATACCATCTTCCCCATTCCCTTTTTCCCTCTCCCAATTCCTCTATAACGCCAAAATGGGTGGTGGCGGCAAGATCCCGTGAGTTTCTGGTTTACAATAATGCTTGTCCCGGTTGAAGGACTAACGGCATCATCTTGGAAGGTACCCCAAGGAAGTCTGGTCTCCCGCCGGAGGCTGGTACGCTCAACCCGCGAACTGGAAAGCCAACACGGCTATCATCGGTGCTGCTGTCATCGGAATCGTTGCTGCGACCTGGAGCCTCAGCGCCGAGCGTGAGCACCGCGACAAGATGCCCGAGCCCGGCAGATTCTTTCCCAGTCGCTAGTTAGTTACTCCTCCGGAATCGATCCTATTTGATCTCCCCCTACTGACGGGCTCAATTTTCGTTGTATCTAGCTGGAGCAAGCAAATTATCGAACACGAGAGACAGCAGAAGAACGAGTCATAGAACGATATCCGGGTCCGGAGAATACGAAGCAAAGGGAAAATCCGTGAAAGGGATTCTATGATGAAATGGCTGGCTGTTTCTGTTTTCATAATTCATTGTGGGCTGTACGACAATAGAAAAGGCGTTCTTCTATCAGTTGGTCAATTGACCACGCAGGTGTCTCTGCGGGGACTCCTCCAGTGTTCGATATAATCGCTCTGTGTACAGACGGACCCGTTCCGTGAATTCAGTTTCGTTCCAAAGTTCTTTTGCGCCGTCAGATATTGTTGATAATCGTGGCACGCCAATCTGTTCCACCACAAAACTTGCTGCGACAGTAGCGAATATCAACGCGGGGAGATAGTGATTCTGCTTTCCCCAGTCTTGGGTAGCCTTGCGCCAGTCCTCAGACCCTGCAAGGGTAGACTCAATGACCTTGGCTGGATCCCTACCTGCACTCACCATCCCCTGGGCCAATGCTCCCAAGTATGAATTGCCAGCACCCGTGGGATCGACCACTTTTGTAGTTCCAGACGATCCCGGCTGGTGATATGCGGGCAACCAAACCCTCTGCGATCTAGTATATGAGTAGCTGCCATCCTTGCCTGCCCGAATGGACAGCAGCCCCTCTCCTTGAGGCCCAATTCCAAAGTCCAGAATGCGTTTTACAATGTCTCGTCCGAATTCGCTCTCTTCACTCCAACCAGGCTGACCGAACATCATTCCCAACTCTAGTTCGTTGGGGCTTACAACATCCACGACCTTGTTCGCCGCAAAGAATTTGTCTTGTTCCTCCGGGGTACACAAGTTAGGAACCGGTTCCCAAATGAAGAATGGCCTCTCCGAGGAATCGACCCCTGGGGGTGCTTTGTCATCTTGTCGTAGTTGCTCACGCCGATGCATAATCTCTTCCACGATGGAAATGCAACGAGATGCTGAGCAAACCATGTGGACCGTCTTGGAGAATACCTGACGTTCAGACAGCATTGATGGCTCCAGGCGTAGTTTCGGAGTCAAATATTCAAAGTCTGTCTTTGTTACCATGTGTGCTTTCTTACATCTGTTATCTTCTACTTACCTCGCTTCTCGTTGGGCCCATAGCCATTCCATGCTCTTGTAGTCAATCGGTTCTGGTCCTCGCGGAAAACACAATCTGTATCCCACGATTTCAATAGATCTAAGACCTCTTGAGGGAAGTCAGACCCCACGTCCACAATCCAGCTCACAGCCTGGGCGTCCTTCTTTCCGGTGACCAGACGTGCGCCCACCACTGCGAAAGAGGCTGCACCACCCAGGACATTCTTCACATTTGGTTGTGGCCCTTCGAAATCAATGTCATCTACATAAGATGGAGATATGTGGTGAGCCTTGTCCTAGAAAACACTCCCATTCATCAATCCCAGACGGAAAAGATAGGTATATATCAGAGCATACCGAGAATGAACATGCCCATGGTGACAAACTCGACCGGGGCCTGCCCAGGTGTCTTGCTAGATGCCATGATCAAGTAGTAGTGTATAAACAGCGAGAAATAGGGAAATGACAGTAGCTGTACAGAGGATGCAGAAGATATGAAGTGAAGGAGAGAAGCTGGTGATAAGAGTGTATCTTAAATTACTATTTGATACCGCCAACGTCATGAGGGTCCACAGTAAAGTGGGAGTCCCGCTGTACGGTACGGTAATGGCCCACCAGCGTCAGGAACGGCTCAGGAGCATCGAAGACAGACACCTTGCAACATTCTCCTGTCTTGCTTCTTCTCTCTATTACTGCTCTACTATACCTGAGTCGACGCTCACTGCGACTCTCTGCTTGTTGCATCTCTTCTACTCCCATCCCTCCACGAGCTTCCAAGGGTCCTCCGTCTCCTTGCTGGAGCAGCCGTCAAGATGGCAAGCGGCGGCCATATGCACAACTTGACCACCCTCATCAAGCGGTATGCTTTATTACCCTGGACCTTGCTATAGCCCTGACAGAGATGCGTTACGACTCCGTTATCTTCAATTCCCCGGACTTGGTAAGCCTGTGGTTGACCATGCTGACCTGTATACTTGCACAGGCTCGAAGCCGCAACCTCCCGTCTGGAGGACATGGCCATGGCGCTTGATGACCCCAATGCCCCCAAGCCCGTTGATGACAACGCCGGTGCAGTTGCCCAGCCTTCAGTTCCCGCGCAACCCCAACCACCAGCTCCCCCGGCACCTCCCGCAGCCCCTCAGTCACCGCCCCAAATCGACGACTTCGATGCTTTGATCAAGAATGAGGTCATGACCTTTGTGGATTTGGGTGGGAAGATTGGGGGTCTGGTTGAGGAGCAATCCAAAGCAGTCCTGCAAGCTTTCCAGGCTGAGCGGACCTTCGTCTACGTTTCGCTCAAGGCCCGCAAACCATCACCGCAGCCTCCTGAGCTTATGACGGACCTGCACAATGCTTCTGACACCATCGACAACCTCCGCGAGGCGCACCGTGATTCGCCATATTTCAGCCACCTCAGCGCCGTCGCAGAGGGTATCGTTGCGCTGGGCTGGTTCTTCCAGCCCAAGCCCGCCGATTTCGTCAATGAGATGATTAGCGGTATTGAATATTACGGAAATAAGGTTATGAAGGAGTACAAGGACAAGTAAGAGGCTTCGAATGGAGTAAATGGGTCAATTGCTAACAGTATTTCTCTGCTAGGGACCGTACTCACGTTGAATACATTCAAGCGTACTCTAAAATCTTTAAGGCACTTGCGGCGTATCTTAAGAAGCACTATGCCAATGGTTTGACCTGGAACGAAAAGGGCGGCGTCGACGCGCAGGACGCTCTGAGACAAATCAAGGGTGGCTCTTCTGCTGGCACTGGCAGCGCCGTGCCACCACCCCCTCCGCCGCCGGTGCCATCCCTCAATGTGCCAGGCGGTGCTCCTCCGCCGCCTCCGCCGCCGGGTGCACTCCTCAATCCTGCCCCGTCAGCGGCTCCGGCCGCTGATATGACCGCCGTCTTTGACCAGCTTAACCAAGGGGATGCGATCACATCCAGTCTCCGTAAGGTCGACAAATCGCAGATGACACACAAGAACCCATCCCTCCGGCAAGGCTCGACGGTCCCAGGAGAGCGAGAGCGCCCCGGTTCCTCAGACAGCGTGTCTCGCGCCCGGTCCCCCATGCCAAGCAAGAAGCCCAAGCCGGAGAGCATGCGCGGCCGCAAGCCCCCGCGCAAGGACTTCGAAGGCAACAAGTGGCTTATCGAAAACTACGATAACCCAGGGGAGATAATTGATATTCCCGCGGCGCAGAACCACTCCATCCTCATCTCCCGGTGTAACAAGACCGTCATCAAGATCAACAACAAGGCAAACGCCATCTCCATCGACAACTGCACCGGCCTCTCCATCATCGTCGACTCGCTGGTTAGCAGTCTGGACGTCATCAAGTCACTCAAGTTCGCTCTCCAGATCGACGGTATCGTTCCTACTCTTCTGTTGGACCAGGTCGACGGTGCTACTGTCTACCTGGGCCAGCAGAGCTTGAACACGGAGGTGTTCTCGAGTAAGAGCACGGCTGTTAACATCATGCTTCCGCCGAAGGAGGGGTCTGATGAAGACACCAAGGAGTGCCCTCTCCCTGAACAGATCAAGACGTACATTAAGGACGGCAAGGTTATTAATGAAATTGTTGAGCATGCTGGTTAGATGCGTCACAGGGGGGGTACATAGGGTAAAATGTGTAGATAGTACTAGGAATACATTGACTTGCTAGCCTTTCAAGTTAATTTTATCTATACTTATCCATATACTCCATATCTAACCTAATTAATCCAAAGAGCAGATGCCGAAACCCGATGCCGTCCAAGTCAAGAAACGAATGTCAAAAATGGAAACCTCATGAAGGAGTATGAAAAGCAGGTATAGCATGTTTCATCCACTCACTTCACATATAAAATGAACGAAAAAGAACGGGGTATATTGCCTATTCTGTGCGCCTTGTCTAGTCTGTAAACGCCCCAAGAAAGAAAAGAAAGAAAGAAAAAAGCATATCCAATGCTTCAATGAGGGAGGTGGTGAGCCTGCACCTGGTCCAAAAGTCCTGTATGGTTAGTCAACGCCAACGCCAACGCCATTGTGTATATAATGGAATAAAAAAGGAAAAGCAAAGCCTGTACTCGGGGTACAAGCATAAAACATCATTGTCGTTGTGGTTTTGAAGACCCTGTTCAGTTGATATACCGCGCGTCATGTTTCTGGACATCCAGCCCACGTAATCTCTTGGCTAATAGACTTTCTCCAACCTCAGAGCCAGTGGGCAAAAACGGATAACTACCGTATCTAGTATTTCCCCTGCGGAGTTTGTTATACATCCCGGCTTCAATATGCTGTCCAGGCCCAGCTAATTCCGAGCCAGGAGAGGTAAGTGGAGTTTCTCTTAGAGACGGGATAGGTTGGAACGGATGCCGCGTAGGTACGGGCTCGTGTTCTCCCACTCCCTGAGAATGATTTTGTATCGTACTTTGACCTGCTATACCTCGTCTGTGATCTATATTTTCTGAGGTAGACTTTGTGCCGGGATCCCGAGCAGGTTTGTAGGGTGTGTACTTTGGATCAGGATGTTGGATCTCGTTGCGTAACTTCTCTTTGCCATCCGGGACTCGGTTGGCGAAGACAACGCGGATGCTGGAATGGAGGTAGAAACGACCTTTGGACGGACAGCAGATGTTCAAGTGAACCAAGTATCTTAGGATAGGCTTATCCTTGGGATCTTCTGATACACTTAATGATGCCTCTGGGCGATCAGTGCCATAATTTTTTCGTGCACTGAGAGGCATATCAATTATGGGACCCGCTGAATAGCTTCTTTGCCGGATAAATGTCTTTGTACCCGGTTCCATATCGCTCAGATCATACGGAACGAGAAACAGCTTGACGGCAGTCTTATTCGGGTTCTTGATCATGATTTGAAGCTGACCTTGTTGGGGGATTCTGTAACACCCACCAGGTGGACACTTTGGTGAGTCTGCCCTTCTGTTCTTCTTCTCTCGTCGGCGCAGTGTGTCTTGGTTGCTGTATTTATGCGCAGCTGTATCGTCGGCGACGACATCATTGTTCGTTTCTGCTGGACTTTGATGTCGTTTGCGCCGCTTATTCGTAGCCGGATCGTCTTTCGGAAGTGAGTTTTCCAAATCAATATGACCAACATAAGGACTTGGGTTATCATCCGAAATAGACCGCCCAGAACCCGAAGTAGGATAACTATAAAACACAGCAGGAAACGGTATCGACACATGCGGCGGACATTTGAGATTTGACTTGCATTTACTTTTCCCCAGAACACCAATTTGCGCCGTGAAATCTAGAGGCTTCGAAGGGTTCATCGACATCCGCCCGCGGAGTATAGACTCTTCGTATGATCCGACCATCGGAGCATGCCCCTTCAAAGGTACATCAAAAGAAGGCCTTCTGGCCCGTTGCGCAGGCGCCTGGGTCGATGAGGCAAGTTGAAGACTGTATCCGGACGTCAATGTCCGTCGTGAGCTGGACTGGTATGGATGTGCTTCCTCACGTCGCCGATGGACGTCAAAAGCGCCATAGTTGATTTGGTCTGCAGGCGACGACTGTAGATACCGAAAAGTCTCTGGGGGTAAAGTGCGACGACGGTTGGCTTTCTCTTGAAACTCTGAGATCTCCATGGCATCAACCTTGGGAGAAAAGTCCAGGTCTGTGTTATTCGCTTGGTGCACCAGAGGGCTGGTTGGGGCCTTCAGAACGTAGCTGGATCCAAAGGACGGTGCCCGCGACCTATTTACCGGACCTCTCGGCCCCGGATCATGCGTGGGGGTGTTCAGCGACAGCGACGAGGAGAATACTGGGGCGTTGAACCAAGGAGTGGTGGGGGATGATCCAAGCAGAGAGATATTGGAAGGGCCATGTTCATGTTCAGTATAAAGAGACTGCAGTTGTCCCTTTATCTGTTGTCCACCACCTCCCTCCCTGAAATCACCAGAATGTAACGCTGAGCGAGGCCTTTCTATACTAGTTGGTGATGCTAGGTCTTGGGATTCATTTCCTTGTCGCCCACTACCGGTATTCTGGCCAAAACTGTCTATATGTGAGTGTTCGCATTGCATATCATGTATCGAGTAATCACTTGAGTTGTCCGCCTATTGTCCGGTTAGAAAAATGCTAGATCACGTAGAAAAACATGACGCTTAAACGTACTAGACGGCCTTGCATCCAAGTCGACGACTCAGACCTCTTAAGGTACTGTATCAACTCCCCACGATCACTGGTATGTAACTTGGGGAGCTGAGGACCCGGGATTCGGGAGTAACCAAAGTCCCTGACTTCTGGATTCGAGGATTTGGATTCAATATCTCCGTAATCAAAACTGTTCTTCCATGAAGGTTTACGATCCCACGGCCTATTCTCTCGATCCTGCTGGTGCTGGTAGTCATGGGGCCGGCGGTCATCGGACCATAAATCATAGAAGCGTTGATAATCCGGATCTTGAAAAATGGGCATGTTTGCAACGAAAATCGCAGACTATGAAGCGGGATTCGGAATGTAGGGCATCGCAAGATACCCGCAAGGTGGCCGGCACAGTATATAACGAGCAAAAAATGACGAGAGAGGCGAGGGAATCAGGCCGAAGTGGCGGGCAGTATGCGTTGTATAACGGCAGTTATACGTAGTGATGCGCTGATGGCGGGGAGACAAGATGCAAGGATTGGTTATTGGCGAAGTAGCAGACTAAGCACAAAAGCGACGCTGAATACACAAATTTAGATGGTATAATTAGAGAATTAGAGAGAAAAAGTGAGGAAGAGAGAAGAGAAGTTGGAAGAGAGACTGACTCGGAAACGGCAGAAACGGAATGGGATGATGAATCATCGCCTGATAAATAAGGCCAGCGCACTATTGGCCACTATATAGCTCAGCAACACTGGGGAATGCAAATAAAACGACTATTCGGGCGTTATATCGCTCGTAATCATTCGAATAAGAAGCAAAGGAGCATAATTAACTATATCAATACTGTCTGATAGTAGACGCATACTTCTTTCCCCTCCGCTTATCGCCGTTGAATCCCCGGCTCACCGCCTTGCAAAAAATCGAGATCAAAAACCGTTAGAACCTTCTTCACAAATGTTCGATAAGCACAATTATTGCAATCCATATTCATCATGTCGGCCAAGCGTTCGCGCGATACAGAAGACCGTCCTGGGGGCTCTGCGACAGCCGAACCCCCAGTCAAGAAGAACAAGAAGAAGGGCTTCTCTGTCGCGCCTGATAACCTTCCCGATGGCACATATCGTCGGAAAGGTGAGCATCACAGACAAAGGAATGGGAAGAAAATGAATTCTAACGATAGTCACAGCCCAAAAAATAAAAGCCGACCTGATCCAAAAAGCCAAAGTCAAAAAAGCCTACGCTAAAGTGAAATCCCAAGAGGAAGCCCCGACCAAACCCTCCGTCTACGAACTCGAAGAACAGCGCCAACGCGAAGAAAACGAGCGGCGACAAAATGAACATGCCGATCCTGATGGGCCCCAAGAAGCTGGTGCTGGCATGGAGCTTCACCCGGACCGAGTGGCTATGCTGAATGAACCACAACCCGAACCCGCACCTGAACGGAAACCTAGGCCAGAACGTGCGCAGAACCGTCGCGAGGGCGGTAGAAACAAGAAGGGAAAGCGTACTGCTTTTGACAAGGAGTTAGAGATTGCGCGGAAGCGCCAAGAGGAAGCTGAGAGGAGAAGGGAACAGAGGGAGTTCAGGCAGAAGGATCGCGATGCCATGGCGAAGGCTAAACGACCGGATCAGAATGGGAAGAAAAGGTTGGGGAGGGAGAGTACGGTGCTTCTTAGTCGTGTACAGCGGATGGTTGGTTAGACCTAGATGGCCTTGTGGCAGTGTGCATTGAAAAGTTTCGGATTAAAAGTGATACCCATTACCTGGTTTTGATTTATATGGAGACAGCTTGTGAATAATTGCAAATGCTATTCAAAATTAAGTGACTAATTACTGAGGTGACTTCAGTCCTGTCCCAGTCTTGGGTTTCCGGAAGCAGGCAAACTCTCCCTTCGTCCTATCACGTAAATTCCTCAAAACTCCTCTCATTTCCCCAAGCTCCGCCTGAAGCTTGGCGCGCGCTTCATGCGTAGTCCGCTGGTCCAATTCAACATAGATCTGGCTTTGCGCCATAGATGACTCGTCCGTCGAGTACTGCGAAAGGGTCTGCGCAATGAACTCTGTGTCCAGGGTCGCTTGCATTAGTGCCGCAAGCGTGTACTCCGGCCGTGCACTAAATGAGGATAACAGAGACGAAGATACCTTGGATAGGAGGTAGGTGAGAATCGTTTTCATTAGCGGAGACGGGATGCCAGAGGATGATCGACTCGAGGCTGAGAGGGAGGTGGACGGAATGGTGGTTGAGATCTCGGTGTGGACAAGGACCAAAGTTAGCATTGTGTTGTATACGTAGGGCCGGACTTGTTGGGGCCGGTTGGTCGATGGTTCCCAATCTGGGGCAGTAATGCCGTTGAAGATTGTGGATTTTAGTGTCTCGACGGTTGGGTTGGTGTAAGATTGGAAGAGGCGGTCATCAATCTGGTGGAGTGCATCTCGTATGGTCTTGGCTTCGTCGGTCAACTTGACAGAGAAGGATGTTTCGAAGTTAGAGATGAGCTGTGGTACTAGAACGGCCTGGAGTTCCTTGATATTGGAGAGTGTGAGGAGTATGCGCACGTTCTGTAGTGGTCAGCCACAATTCGCGCAACAATAGGGAAGAAATCGTAACCTACCCTGTTATCAGCATCCACAGCATCTGCTGCGAGCACAGACGATGCACTATCTGGTCCGCTGACCGATGTCGCATGTCCAACAAGAACCCACTCGTTATCCTCTTCTGGCGCCGCAGGATGCTCCGCATTTTCCACCAGTCCGCTGAGTGCCTTGTACACGCTCGACACAAACTGCATGCGCACCATCTGGAGAAGTTTGGCCGGAGGTTGCGTGACAACTTCCACCTGAAGAGGCTTGGCCATGGCCTCTGGAATATATAAGATCTTCTGCATCCCGCCAAGGATCGCACTTTCATATGCAACGAACAGCCCCGGCATCTTGGTCAAGTCTCGCTTCTCAGGATCTCTTGTCCAATCCTCCAGCATCTTGCAAGTCTCCGCATCCTTACCCCAGGCGGCACATACGACGCGGACCGATCGCTCACGAGCAGTACTCACAAGCGACCTGAGAAGATCGGGGGTGTTACCGCTGTGGGCCACGGGACCCAATGCAGCCATTTCGCCAGCTGCCATACCGATTATGGCCAAAAATTTGTCGAGATAGTGTATGCCACTGAGTGAGTTTGAGAAAGGCGGCCAGAAGGCGAAGTCTTCCCAATGCTCCCCCCGTTTGGGGATCGGAAAAGGCATATTTTTGGGGTCGAGTTTGAAGCGAGATTCGGTGGGTGTAACCCCAAAGCTTGGGGTGCTTGGGCTGGGTGGTGATATTGGAGTTGCGAGAATCGAGAGATCGTCCGTTGGGGGAGACGAAAATAGTGCCAACACGCTCTCGCGGATAAGATTGATCAACTCAACCACACCATTTTCTAAAGTCAACATCTCCTCCGAAGAGAGTCGATGGTGTCTACGGCTCTCTCCTTCGAATCCAACAGGCAGCATCCTTTGCTTGCTGCCATCAATAAACGATTGTGCAGCTTCCCAGAAATCCAACACTTCGCCCAGAACTCCTCCATGGGGAGACAATAATCTGTTCAGGTAAGTATGGATGCATTCCCAGAGCTCAGTGACTTGATCCGTGTCTAGCATTGCTTGCGCATCTAGTGAGCTCTCGCGAGGGGCTAGTCGAAGGTACGATGCCACTTGTTGTGGGGACGGGATCTCACCACTGGCCAGTCTGCGCCGGAGGATCTCGAGTTCGACTTTGCAACGTTCACAGAACGATGTAATCTTGGTCTTGAGGAAGTCATAGCGGTTTATGAGCCATATCCAGATCGGATTGTCTTCAACGCCCAGTTCCAGCAAGGCCCCAATCAATTCCATGTGTTCCTCGACCGGGCCAGATGCTGTGGCCGTCGTGGATGTTGTAGGTGCATCACCCAGACGCCTCCAGAGATCACGCGTAAAGGCTTGGATTTGCTGATCCACGTCCATCCACATTCGACCCATGGCCAGAATCGTATGCGTTTCCTCGTCGGTCAACGACCGGCCATCGCTGCTCGCCATGCCTGCAATATTCCTAGCATTGTTGGCTAGTGTCCTTGCATTCGTGTACAGCTCAAAAACCGATTCGTAGTCCCTTTGCTTGATCGCTTTGGAAAGTTGGCCGCCAATTTCATAGACGTCCCGATGTCTTTCCATCGTGTCGACCACAGATTTCAGTACCTGTTCTCTTTCACGACCCCCCAAGGCTGGACCCCATACTTCCTCTGCCTTCACAGAAGCTTCTACCAGGGGAGCACGGATTCCCTTCATACCATATTCACTCTCCTTGGTCAAAGCATTCTTACTACTCTCCAACATCGTTGGCGCGGGGGAATCGCCGCGCATCATTGCTGAGCTGCTCCTAAAATGTGCCGACCGGCGACGAATCTGAGCCAAAGGAACGTCATCCTGTGGTGGTGCGCCCTGGTTTCTCATTTCTGTGTAGACGCTATCAATGGTCGCCTTGGCGCGGACGAAACGCTCGAAGTTGGCCTCAACCAGCACCTTTAGCGACGCGGATTTTTGGTCAATGGACCGCGACAGGTAGCCTAATCCATCGAGAAGTGATTGAATTGAGTCATTCGAATGAGCTTGAGAGAGGAATAGCGCTGGTGAGAACGACGTTGACGAGAGAAGGAACCTGTTTCGTAGCCGGGTCTCTTCATCTAAGGGCAACCCCCTCTTCTTGAGAACCTTCAGAACGCTATCTCCAGAGCCTAGAGGATCAGGTTCATCCTTCTGGGCTAGACTGTCCTTCCCATTACCCCCTCTTTGTGACCCCAGATTCTTCCGTTGGCTCCCACTGCGCTCCAAAGCAAAGTATCGGGACTTGTGCGACCGTGCCCCGTCACCGCGCAGGCTCTCCGTGTCGGATTCATCGCTCTCGTCGAGTACTGCCGGCCATGTATCTGGAGATTCTGACGGCAGACCGTAATGGTTTGCGATATCGGTATCGTTCATGGCCTCGAGGGGTGGTAGACGAGTTAAGGGAGGGGACAGGTAGACCGGTAGAACGGCGCACGCACGATCGAGCTAGATGGATCTCATGCAGACATCTGCAGCTGCAAGGATGTGAGCAAGCAGTGTTGAGGCCGGTTATGTATATGTACCCCAGTATACAAAAAGTATGCAATTGTACCCCGTAGTAGGCGTATGTTATCAGATCAACCGACTCGGCCCAAAGCGGTATTCTGCCCGGTCGGATCGGGCGGCGCTGCCGAGACGTTGACGATGGACTGACTGAGGCTTTTCTCTCCCGCGCACAACTCCCCTTCTTCCTACTCTTCCCCTCTCCCCTTTCAACCCTCCACTCTCACTTTCTTCTTTTTAGATTTATCCTCCGGTAGCGATCCCCGGGTTCTGCCACCATGATCTCTGCTAGAACCTTCATTGCCCCCGCGCGTCAGTGCTTGCGGACAACACGGATGTCCCCAAGCTTTGCGTCGCCGGTTTCGCAGGTATTTAGCCCTCCTGGTTTGGTGGACTATACAAGCTAACCATGGCCTTAGTTCCGTCGCTACGCCTCTGCTGCTGATGAACGGGTTGCCAAGTTCAAGGGTCAGAAGGGTGCCGATGTATGTGCCGCCGTTAAAATATTTTATTTTTCTCCCACCCCATTTCGCCTTATATCGGAGGTTGTTTCCACTACGGTCGACAAGGCATTGGTGCCTCGAATCGAGTCGCAACGATACGGACAGAACACGTGTGAGAATGGAAAGCCTGACAGACTTGTTTCGATAGGGAAAATACACCGTGACCATGATCGAGGGTGACGGTATCGGTCCTGAGATTGCCCAGTCCGTCAAGGACATCTTCTCCGCCGCAAATGTAAACCCCGCCCCAAGCCTTCGAGGTATCTGACAACAAAAGAGAGAAGAATTATGGCTAAGTGGATAATAGGCCCCCATCAAGTGGGAGCCGGTCGACGTCACTCCCATCCTCAAGGACGGCAAGACCGCAATTCCCGATGATGCCATCGAGAGTGTTAAGCGCAACTATGTCGCGCTTAAGGGTCCTCTCGCTGTAGGTTATTTCTCGATTCGACAATGGATTCGCTTATACTCATACAAAACGCTTTTAGACTCCCGTCGGAAAGGGCCATGTCTCTCTCAACCTTACTCTCCGTCGTACCTTTAACCTCTTTGCCAACGTCCGTCCTTGCCGCTCGGTTGCTGGCTACAAGACCCCCTATGACAACGTCGATACTGTCCTGATCCGTGAGAACACCGAGGGTGAATACTCTGGTATCGAGCACGTTGTTGTCGACGGTGTCGTCCAGAGCATTAAGCTTATCACCAAGGAGGCTTCCGAGCGTGTGCTCCGTTTCGCCTTTCAGTACGCCCGCTCCATCAACAAGAAGAAGGTCCGCGTGGTGCACAAGGCCACCATCATGAAGATGTCCGACGGTCTCTTCCTCAATCTCGCCCGCGACATCGCCAAGGAGTTCCCCGATGTTGAGTTCGACGCTGAGCTGCTGGACAACTCGTGCTTGAAGATCGTTACCGACCCCACCCCCTACAACGACAAGGTCCTTGTCATGCCCAACCTGTACGGTGACATTTTGTCCGACATGTGCGCCGGTCTCATCGGTGGTCTCGGTCTCACTCCCTCTGGTAACATTGGTGACGAGTGCTCGATCTTCGAGGCTGTCCACGGTTCCGCCCCCGACATTGCTGGCAAGGGTCTTGCCAACCCCACTGCTTTGCTTCTGAGCAGTATCATGATGCTTCAGCACATGGGTCTGACCGAGCACGCTGCTCGTATCCAGAAGGCCACTTTCGACACTCTTTCTGAGGGCAAGGTGAGTTCTATCCGATCCAATCGATACTCCTATAAATTGATATTAACGCTATACAGGCCCTCACTGGAGACCTTGGCGGTAAGGCCAAGACCGCTGAGTACGCTGAGGCTATCATGAAGCGTCTCTAAGCGGTTTTTGTCACTTTGATTGTACTATTCCCCTTTGTTACTCTCTATAACCCGCGAACGACCTAGATATAGTATCTCCATGTAGCACTTGAAATGCTTGTCATTATACTTTAACGTACCAGTGAAAAATAGACATGACAGTTAAATCTTACTGTACATTTCCTATTTCAAAATATATTGAGAAATAACAAGTGCCCCACTGCAAATGGAAAATAAATCCGTACAAAACCCGAGAAAACGCCGTTTAACACCTTTTGAGGTATCTCGATCATTATTGCAACTTAAACAAGGAATCTCAACGTCGCCGCCCTGTCCTTCTCGTTCCTGTCCCTGTACCTCTCCTCGACCGTGATGTCTGAGCCCTTGTACTCCTCGGATTCGGAGAATCACCCGCGTCCTCTTCTTCATCGTCTTCGATATCACTATCATCTTTCGCAGCGTCCGAAGCGTCCTCATCAACTTCTTCCTGTTCTTCTTCTTCTTCTTCGTCATCGACGATAGCTGCACTTTTCCGGAATTCCTCAGCTTGGAACCGCTTCGCGCGCGTGCCGCGTGTTCCTGGAGGACGGCCGCGGGTACTCTTTCGTCCACGGGAGGGCGCGGGAGAGGAGCGTGCTTCTGTAGACGAAACAAATTAGTAAATAAGGGCATAAAATGATTTATAGGAAGGGAAATAGATACCATCCGTATCAGCCACGGTGCTCCCTCGTCTCGACTCTGCACGGCCACTGATAGGCGATACAGATTCCTCTGTCGCCAACCTCCTCTCAAACATCATATAACCGTATTCGTCATCTGGGAGTTGGAAGGGACAATATCGTTCGCTCGAGGGATCGCCATCATCCGCGGCATCTGATATTAATGAATCTTCCTGTTATAGTCAAACTCCACCGTCAGCAACGTGCACAATTGGACACAGGCCGGATACGCTTACCCGCTCATCGAGCGCTGGGAGATTGTAGAGTGTGTTGAGCTTTCTCCATATCCCGGGGATTCGCGTGTGGAGTGCGTTCGCGGGCGCATAGCCTTGGGTTTTAAGGAATTCGGAGATTGCGATCATGCGGAAGTGTTTGTGCATGCCTTGAGAGAGAAAATGTTATCTTTCCTGGCTAGCGCAATAGTGTTTTGTAGTAGTGAGCCATACCAACAGGCTTCCATTTGATAATGGCCTTCAATAAAGCCGTCTCCTGCTCATCCGTCCAAGGGTCCGCGACAATGTCGTAGTCTGTCTCTGGCTTCGCGCTCTCACTCTCACCTGAAGCTGGCGTTGAAGATGCCTGTCCATTCTCTGCCTCCGGAGCTTCTGCAAGCTTAGGCTTCTTCTTCGGAGGCATATTGACGATATTGCGGAGTGAAGAAGTGCAGTGTTTACAGCAACAGTTTGACCGCACGGCTGCGTCGGTTTCCCGAACAAGCAGTGGCCCGTGCACGGTACTGGAGATGACCTAATCCTATCCGGGCCTAGTGCGGCGCGTCGCACGTTGTCAACGCGAACATTGCGATAAAGACTTTGGACCATTTGAGATAAATGGCGACGTCCTGGCATGATGGAGGGTGACTATGGGATAGATCCCTTCTCTAGTGAGGATTTATGGAGGCTCTCCAGGTTTACCCTGCAATCGCTGCAGCCATTAGAACCTTTACCGTGGAACGAGGAGTTATCTGGTGAGTAGTCAGCGGCCACGCTGAACTCAGGAAACTAACGGCATTGGAAGATCTGACAGATGAATTCTTCAAGAGCCCGGTTGGTCTGTTTAATATCGGGGGTGACAAGTTACATCAGTTGGATATCGTGGGAAACGAACTCGTTAGCGAACCTGAACTGTTACTCGAACCTATCACCGATTCGTCGAGCGAGAGCCAATTCGAAGAACATACTACCGAACCCCACGATGATACTTATAAACTGAAAGATGATATTGGGTTACTCGACCGTCTGAACGGAGATGTGAGCTACAAGCCGCCGCTACAATCGTGGGAGACTTATCACGACCGATCGCATAACGAACCGGTTTCCGCATACTTTAGCGAGTCGGGTGCAAAGAGTTTCGATGCAGCACTGGCACACCATTCGGCGAAAGAGAAGGTCAACATTGCGGGACGGCTGGTTCGAAGCGACGTTTTCTTCCAGGCTTCTATTCGGCTTGGGCTAGGATGGAGTTCCGCGTTCTTTCGCTACAACGTGGAGACGAAGAAATTCGAGAGAGCTTTAGACGATGTGCGAGTCTCAGGCGTTAGTCTTCCGATACTCAACCAGATTACGGACGAGCTACTTCAATGTGGAACGGACATGCAACGAATACGGACCTTTGTTTGCAGCACCTCGATCAAGAAGGTGAAGCTTTCAGCTTTGTCCACTTTTGCTAGCACTGCAGCCGTGATTATTTACACCCTTGAGCGGCAACTAGCAAGTCAATCGAGCAATGTGGTGTCAATACTACAGATCAAGTCCTTGTTCTCGCAGGGCGGCGAATTAGTTAACGCTTTAGCGGGCATGGTCGATGCAACTGAAAAGGTTTCATCGGACGCTCAGATTATGTCCATTATTATGCAGGAAGCTGCATATCTATCTCATAGATTCGGTTGGATAGAGAATCTGATGCGCGAAGTGGTCGTTCGTGTTACTGAACCTTGGCTCGAACATCTGGAGGCCTGGGTTGGGCTTCGTCCGGAAACGCCTATGTTGAATGAAATGTTAGTGGGTGGTAAGGGATTTGCGTTGTTGGAACGACAAGAAGAAAACGGACGGGCCAAGACAGGACCTGCGAGTCAGCACTACAAGTACCAGTCTGATCAAATGCCATCTTTTATCCCCGACGACCAGGCTTTATTAATCTTCGAGAGCGGAAGAAGCTTGCGACTCCTCAAGCAATCTCATCCGCAACACCCTCTTGCGGATTATATGGTCTGCAACGCTGAGCTTCCGAGACTTCGCTGTGCGGATTCTTGGACCGACATCGAGAGGATACAGATGAAGGCTCACGAGTATGAATCGCTACTTCGCATGGAGATACTTAAGTACAACCGCGGCGAGCGTGTTGATCCAGAAGTTAGCAGAGGTAGCACCTCTGAAACTGCTAGAAGCGACAATGCCGGCACTCTTGAGGGGATATACGATCTATATGATATGGATGAACAACGTACAACCGGACTATTGACTCACCCTGACTCCCTGCAGAAAGACAAACTCGATCTCCTGAACTCTGACATCGGACAATTCGAAAGCCATAATAGAAAGTTTGGACCGGAGATGGCCTCCTCGCTCTATCTTTCGTTTGCACCACTCCTTTCATCGCAGGCTCTACTAATTGACTTCTCATGTCTTCATGTGCTATTCAAAGAACACAAGCTTAGAAACCATCTTACGCTTCAATGGAGGTACCAACTCCTCGGTGATGGTTTTTTCGTTTCTCGCCTCTCCCACGCTCTATTCGACCCGGAGATGGAGAGCGGCGAGCGAAAATCCGGCGTCGTGCGCAGTGGTGTGCACACTGGTCTTCGTCTTGGAAACCGTGATACATGGCCTCCAGCAAGCTCGGAGCTGCGGCTGGTGCTTATTGGACTTCTCAGTGAAAGCTACAATGCGGCGGGCGGCTCGAGCAATATGGACGATGCCCAGCATCACAGAGAAAAGGAACTGCCTGGTGGCTTGAGCTTCGCCATTCGAGAGCTGACCACTGAAGATATAGCCAAATGCAAGGACCCGAACGCCATTCAAGCGTTAGATTTCGTCCGTCTCCAATACAAACCACCAAGTGTTCTGGAGATAATCATCACCCAACAGTCTCTCGACAAATACGACCGTCTCTTCAAGCATCTCCTCCGTCTTCTCCGCATGGTCTCCGTTGTCAAATCCATCGTCCGCGATTCAACCGCAAGAAACTCCCTCTCAGGAGATACGCACAACGTATTCCAAAAATTCCGCATCCATGCGCAACATTTTGTCCTAGCCGTGAGCGACTACTGCTTCCATGTCGGCGTCGGGTCCACCTGGAAACGTTTTCAGGATACCCTCTCTCGAATTGAATACTGTCTCGACCGCGGCGACATCGATAGCACCATCGAAGCCGCACACTCAGTCCCTAGACTTCGCGATTACCATGAAGACATCCTCGACGAGATCATCTTCGCATTGTTCCTTAGCAAGCGCCACACGCAAGCGGCCAAATTGCTCGAGAGCATTTTCGGCACTATTCTTGTCTTTGCTCCCATTTCGAGAATGGATGGAGTGAAGGGCGTACGGCAGGAGAGCGAGGCTACTGTTTCTCATATATACAAGACTTTCAGGAAGCAGGCTTCTGCTTTTGTGAATTATTTGCGCGGACTAGATGGAAGTACGGGGTCGGCAAAGTCAGTTGGGAAAGCTGATGCAACGTTTGCTACACGTTCAGGGCCTACGGGTGTTTTTGATCATCTTCTTTCCCGGTTGGATATAAATGGTTATTATTGACGACTTTGATGAGATAGTACAAATCATGGATTTATATCATTCCAAGCTGGTACATTTAAAACATTTCCTGCAAACACCAATACCCTGTCCCATCATTATTCATAAATCCAACGATATTCCAATCAGAAGACATGCAAACTCGACTCCTCCCATCCCAACCCCAAAAGAACCTCCTTCGCAGACTTCTCCATAGCTCCCGGCCCACAAATAAGCACCATACTCTCACCATCAGCAGGCGCATACTCCTTCAACAGGTCTTCCGAAATCCGTCCCCGCCTTCCACTCCAAGCATCCGACGCCTTGCTCAGCGTATGGACAATCTGGCACTTCTCCCCATCCATCGCCTCAAACGCATCAAGCTCGTCCCGACAAAGGATATCTTCCTCCTGCCTATTCCCGTCGAGCACCACGCAACTCGTCGGATCGGATGTATTCTGCATGACTGCGCGGAGGACCTGGAAGATAGGCGTGATGCCTGTCCCACCGCAGATCATCTTGAACGAGCGGATATAGCGTTGCTTGCCGCTTATGAAGACTTGTCCGTTTCCGAGGTACTCGAAGCGGCCTGTTGGGCCTTTGCATTCGATGACTGATTCCAGGGGGAGGGCTTCTAGGGCCAGTGTCATCTTGCCGCCTGGGATAGTGGGTGTTGCGAAATAGACTTTGACAAGTAGGTCGACGGATCCTTCTTTTTCAATTTCAGAGATGGGTGTGTATGACCGGATGATTGATTCGCGGGTTAATGGGTCGGTGACCTTAATCATGAAGTGTTGGCCGATGGGGAGACCTAGTTTCTGTTGTTTGTGCTCGAGTCTGAAGGTGAAGATGCGGGTGTCCCAGGAGACTTTTTTGATTGCTGAGAAGGTGGCTTTTGTCCATGAGCGTGGTTGGAGGAATGTTGGACGGGATTCGATTGATTCTTCTTGGGGAGTGATGTTTTTTAGGACGGCTAGGTCTGTTGGACTTAATGTACCGATGTGATAGTCGGGCATCATTTTCTTTGCTGTTTCGCTGTCTGTTGTGTGTTAACAGACTGTCTGAGATCTGGGTTATCAAATCACTCACGAATTTCGTTGAAATCATCGGAAACATCCTGGCCAGCAGACGAAATGATACTCTGAGCACCGCCGGGATGACCTTCCAAGAAACCCGTGCCATCATACACTTCCCCATTGACAACAAACCAAGGCACACCCTTGGCACTTTGACTCTGTAACTCCCGCAGACTTATCTCCTTATTTAGCTCATTCTTCTTCATATTAATCTCCTGCACTGGCTCTGGCACCACCGGTTCCTCACCCTCTTGTCTCTCACCCCAATTCCCATTCGTCAAATCACCACCCGCTTTCTTAACCCGCTCCATCCATCCCCCAGGCAAAACTGGATGCGACGGATGTTCAAATTTCAACACCCCATCTTCCTTCGTAATAGCAACCCGGAACCACGGATTATTCATCATCCCCAGAACCGACCAGTACATATCGCGCGGTTGAATGGCTAGCGATTCATCCATTGCGCGAACAAGAATCGCAGAGCTGTCAGCTAGCTCCGAGATGGCGATATCCAGGGACCAGAAGCACCAGCAGAAACATGTCTCGCGCCAGTACATATCGACTTTGCCGCCGAAGAGGTCGCCTTCGAAGTCGCGGTATTTGTCTTCGGCGTATTGGATGTTTGCTAGGCGCCAGGCTGGGATATTTAGTATGTATAATATAGGATGATTGGCTTATGGGGACGCACATTTGCCTTTGTCGAGGGAAATTTCGACTCTGGTGATTCGTCGTCCGCCACCTGCGTATGCGTAGCCTTTGGCTGTGTATGTGGGTCCAGCTGATGAGAGCTCTAGTTCTTCATTGTGCTGGGGATATACGGCGGCAGAGTTGACGTTGAGGTCATAAATCGCATATCGATCGTCTGTCCACCACTTCGGGTTACTCGATGCTTCGTCGGGAGAAACTGATGCTCTGTCCAATGTTAGTTTGTGTAATCCAACCACCATTAGAGCGGACATACGGCAACACTCTGTTATCATAAATATGGTACCAATTGTCACTAGGGGCGTCGGTAAGGATCAATTTCTTCAACCACTTGACACTCCGGCCTCCGATTTGGCCTGGGACCACAGCTCTCAAGGGACGGCCGTGGTCCGGCCGGAGGTCCTCCCCGTTCATTTTATGCGCAAGCATGATTCCTCTGTTAGGATCCATGGCCCAGTTCAACTTAATGGAAGTTCCATAGTAGCCATTGGGCTGCTTAAGTTAGCCTGTCTCCCATCATCATACCCACAGCGAGGATAGCAAAAGACTTACCAGTTTATCTGCACCCTCCATGCACAGATACTTAGCCCTCCGAAGCGGCTTCGCAGCCTTCAACACATCCGCCATCATGGGGCCTGTGAACAGAGCCGTCGAGAGACCGGCAGGACCCCACGAGAAACCTTTTGACTTCCGTACTATGTTCTGTTCTTTCCGTCGATTTCCAGCGCAGACGAGAGTGATGGGCGATGTAATTTGGTCGAATTGTTGTAATATTTCTCGGAAGTTTAGGATCAGGGGTTCTTCGACAAGTCTGGTGCAGTTAGTACAATAAGAGTCGAAGTATATAGAATGTACTGACCCTTCAATTGAGATTTTCCAGTTAGGGATGTCCTCGTCACGGACATGTGGTACTGGGCCATGGTTTCTGACATAGAAGAGCTCCGGTGATGTTAAGAAGCCTTTCCTTTGAGTCAACCTTCACATGAAAACAATAATACTCAGGGTCAATGGCAACATACCCTCTTTATACAAATCCGTAAGCGGCGGCTCAACATTGAACGGATGTACACCCGTCAACCTGATAAGGCGTGGATCCCGAGGAACATGTTCATCCGGCGTCCCCTTATCAGCGCTCAATATCTGTGTTGGATTTTTCGATGGAGGAGGCAAGGGGATATCCGGCAATCCGGGCGATGGGGATGCTTCGAGTCTGATCTGGTCCGGGAAAATGGACAAGGAAGTCTCTGTTTGGACCGTGGTGGTCATTTTATACGGTATGGCTATACTGGCCCAGGGCAATGGACTGGGTTTGACTAGTCTGGATGAGGAGTCAAGTCAGGGCTTGTATATATACCCTGGGTCCAGTGACAAGGAGGTAGGTAGAGTAGACTGAGTCGGGGAATGACGATTGTTATTCCAATAAAGTAAATCCAATTGAGCAAACAACTACTGGACTTTACATTTTCAGAGTAAACAAGCTTACCAATACGGATACGGATAGGGTACCCGCCGTTCTCCATATCCATAGCCATAGTTGGCCATCCCGGCTTACTCCCTACAAAAGCAGAATCTCCGCGGCCCGGAATTTGGGACGGCATAGATAATGCTAACAAGCTTCACGAGTTATCGCAATGGTCATACAGCCCTAGCGTAATGGCAAAAAGCTTGGCCAAAGGACCGAAAGTATGTCTCAAAGGCCGAAATAAGCTAACGACGAATGATTGCAGGATCAGCCACACCTCCCTGGAATGCGGGATTTTTCGGGGAAGCAATGAGATTCGATCACCATGTTACACCTCAGTATTAGTGATTGTTTTTGTTTTCCAAATTATTCGTTACCGCTCGTGGCTATGGTGTCGTGTCCGGACCGAAAATATTTATGGAACGTTGCTTATCTCCCGGAACGACAACTCAGGATCCGCCGATAAGCCACTAATAGCAGCTACACAGATCTCCGCGGAGTTGCTGCAGTTGGTCTGTGTCAGGGCATGTTGTTGATAACGGAGACTAACGGGGAGAACAGAGACTCCCTTGTTAGGGCTTGTGGTGTGGTCCCTTTTTGTCTCTCATGGTGCATGCGACATCGCTGATTAGAAACTCGCATTTGTCGATTCGATAGAATCATGACTTGATAGTCGCCGCATCCTCGTGTAATGCTGCGTCACGTCGGTCGTGTGGCTTGATGTATATGAGTAGAGGGGGTCCCGTGTGCGCGTAGAAGCTGTCGTACTGCATTTTGCTCAGACACATAGGACTCCGCGATCATAATGCCGTTGCTCGATGGTTTAAGGAGCCACAATGATGTTGCTGGCAGCGTTAGCCGTGATGTTTCCCACGTGGAGGATATTCATACCGAAAGTGTAGGAAATGGCTCAGGGAACCATGGCGCCCGACGACAGAAGATCGTGGTTGTGGGATTGGGAATGGTGGCCATTTCGTTCATGTTAGTGTTCTACATGGAATATACGACAATGGTGTGCTAACTCTCTGTAGTGAGAAAGTCATCAAGCAAGACGCTGAACGACGCCAATTCGACATCCTTGTCATCGGTGAAGAGCCTCACGTCGCATACAACCGTGTCGGTCTTTCGTCTTTTTTTGAGCATCGTCAGATCGAGAATCTATACCTCAATCCCAAGGAATGGGTAGGCACTGCGAACAAACCGGACATGGTCGCAATTTTCTGACAGATATCTAGTACGGCTCATTCCCAGACCGATCATTCGATTACCACCTCAACACCCGAGTCACCGACATATACCCCGACGACAAGATCGTCAAAACTTCTACCGGCGACGTGATATCCTACGACACCCTCGTTCTCGCGACCGGCTCCGATGCTGTCCTTCCCACGCATACTCCCGGCCACGATGCCAAGGGCATCTTCGTCTACAGAACGATTCAAGACCTGGAACGTCTGATCGAGTTTGCTTCACAACATAAGGGCGAGACGGGTGTCACGGTTGGAGGAGGTCTGCTGGGATTGGAAGCTGCCAAGGCGATGACCGATTTAGAAGACTTTGGGAGTGTCAAGCTCATCGATCGCAATAAATGGGTTCTGGCAAGACAACTCGATGGCGATGCCGGTACGCTAGTTACGCGGAAGATTAGAGATCTTGGGCTTGAGGTTCTGCACGAGAAGAGGGTGCGACTCATCAAGACTGATGAAGATAATAATGTGACTGGGATCGTGTTCGAGGATGGAGAAGAGATCAGTTGCTCTTGCATATGTTTTGCTGTATGCCACTCCTTCAATCCTTGAGATTTCAACTCTAACGTCCTTACAGATCGGTATAAAGCCGCGTGATGAATTAGGGTTTGGAGCTGGCATCCAACGCGCCGGAAGGGGTGGTTTTGCCATCGACGAGAGGTACTTTATCCATGGAGCAGCTCCCTCGGCTCGTGCTGAATTCTTCTAGGTTACAAACATCAGTACCTGGTATTTACGCCGTCGGAGAATGTGCCAGCTGGGATAACCAAACATTTGGCATTATCGCGCCCGGTATCGAAATGGCCGACGTTCTGGCTTTCAATCTGACGAACTCCGACAAAGCACCAAAACGCTTCAAGCGACCCGATCTGAGCACCAAATTGAAGCTGCTCGGTGTGGACGTCGCTAGCTTTGGCGATTTCTTCGCGGACAGAGATGGTCCGAAGTTCATGCCAGGACAACGACCATCCCTTAGAACTGAGCAGAGAAATGGAGAAGAAGAGCCTGTTAAGGCTCTCACCTACAAGGATCCATTTGGTGGTGTCTACAAAAAATATCTCTTCACCATGGATGGAAAATACTTGCTTGGAGGAATGATGATCGGAGATACGAAGGACTACCTGAAATTGAACCAGATGGTCAAGGCCCAGAAAGAACTCGAAGTACCTCCCAGCCAGTTCATTCTAGGTGCTCAAAACGGTGGTGAAGAGAATGCAGATGATCTGTTAGTACTCATATATCAGCCTGTCTTTTCCTGGTACTAATGGTGGTTGAAACAGAGACGACAGTACTCAGATTTGCTCGTGTCACAACGTGACGAAAGGCGACGTCGTTGAAAACATCCAGAGCGGCACATGCAAGTCCATTGGCGAGGTAAAGTCGTGTACCAAGGCAGGGACTGGATGCGGTGGTTGTATGCCTCTGGTCCAGTCGATCTTTAACAAGACAATGCTTGATATGGGACAGGAAGTTTCTAACAACCGTAAGTGCCCTGAACCCAAGGCTATGAATATTACTAACTCGCCCAGTGTGCATTCACATCCCCTACTCGCGAGCCGATCTATATAACATTGTCGCAGTCAAGCAACTGCGGACCTTCGTCGATGTCATGAAAGCAGTCGGAAAGAACCCAGACTCCCTTGGATGCGAAATTTGCAAGCCTGCCATCGCTTCCATTCTCTCTAGCTTGTTCAACCAACACATCATGGACAAAGAGCTCCACGACCTGCAAGAAACAAACGACCGATTCCTCGCCAACATTCAGAGAAACGGCACATTCTCCGTCGTGCCACGAGTCCCTGGTGGTGAAATCACTGCGGAAAAGTTGATTACCATCGGTCAAGTGGCACAGAAATATGGATTGTATTGCAAGATTACTGGAGCTCAGCGTATCGATATGTTTGGTGCTAAGAAACAGGATCTTCTTGACATCTGGACAGCGCTTGTTGATGTTGGCATGGAGAGTGGTCATGCTTATGCTAAGTCTCTGCGGACAGTCAAGGTACGTCCCAGCCCATTTCCCGGAGGGTTTTCAAACTGACAATGCGTTCAGAGTTGCGTTGGAACCACATGGTGTCGGTTTGGTATCGGTGACAGTGTCGGTATGGCAATTCGACTAGAAGAGCGATACAAGAGTCTTCGGGCACCCCACAAGCTCAAGGGTGCTGTGTCTGGTTGCGTGAGAGAATGCGCCGAAGCACAAAACAAAGAGTGAGTTTGAAGCCCACCACAGATACAGCAATTATGCTAACTGTATCAGCTTCGGCCTAATTGCAACCGAAAAAGGCTTCAACATCTTCGTTGGAGGCAATGGAGGCGCAAAACCCCGACACTCTGAGCTCCTCGCAAAAGACGTCCCACCAGAGAAAGTCTTTTCCGTAATCGACCGTTACCTCATTTTCTATATCCGCACTGCGGACAAACTTCAACGAACAGCACGATGGATCGAGAACCTACCTGGCGGAATCAACTACCTGCGCGAAGTAGTCATCGATGACAGACTCGGCATCGGCGCTGACCTCGAGCAACAGATGCAAGACCTAGTCGACGGATACTTCTGCGAATGGACTGAGACAGTGAAGAACCCAGATCGCCGTAAATTCTTCCAGCAATTCGCCAATACAGATGAGGCCGTCGATACCGTCGAAGTTGTCAAGGAGCGTGGCCAGAAGCGTCCCGCATACTGGCCCAAGGATGCTCCCGCCAACGAAGACTTTATAGGACACCAGTGGTCCAGCACATCATGGCAGCCCATGATCAAGGCAGACTACTTCTCGGATGAGCATCCACAGATCTCGTCCGCCAACGTCAAACGCGGGGATACGCAGATAGCCATCTTCAAAATCAAAGGCAAATACTACTCCACACAACAAATGTGCCCCCACAAACGTGCCTTCGTACTCTCCGACGGCCTCATCGGCGACGACGACGCAGGTAAATACTGGGTTTCATGCCCATATCACAAACGCAACTTCGACCTCAACGGCGAACAAGCAGGTCGTTGTTCTAATGACGAAGCCATGAACATTGCCACTTTCCCTGTTGATGAGCGGGATGACGGTTGGATTTATCTGAAACTCCCTCCTGTCGAAGAGCTGGACTCTTTGCTGGGTACGAAGAAGTGGGCAGTGAAGAAGGAGGAGTCTACGGATCCGTTCCAGAGGATGGATAAGAGGTATAGGGGTATGAGGGGGAAGAAGGCAGGTGAGATTGAGAGTAATGGGCAAAAGGGTGTTCAGACAAATGCCATTGATTGGTAGTGGTTCGTGGCCTTGGTTTCATGGCGTTTGTGTTTGTTTTTGGTATTGGGTGATATCACGCAGCATGTAATTATTCTTAGCAATTAATCTCAATGATGAAAATGACAATTAGTAGTATTTCCATGTTTACCTAGATCAACGACTGAAAAATCCCTGCAATACGGATTTGGCACCTTTTGGAACAGCACGTCCAAGTTTGTTTAAAACATCTTTATTTCTTGTGGACATTTGAGGTTTATCATATTTCCCAAGTGCCTGTAACTAGTATTGCCAATAAAAAGTCTTTCCGCTGATTTCCCTTCTGACATCTCATGTATGTACGAAAATGGAGAAAATAAAAAACATGCTTGAAATAGTGATCAAGAAGAGAGTCCTATAATAAAGGACAGATACTCTGACCAGGCTACAGATAGTCTACTTGTATATTCTCTATCATTCGCCCACGGCTTGGATAGATGGGTGGTGAAGTGAATAGACACCTCTGCCATCTTCCATACTCTGAAAGCATCTTAGGGTCACTACTATCACGTGCACTACTCAACTCTAATTGGCTTGCAGTTCATATCTCTCCGTATCTCTCACTATCTTTGTCTTTTCCAACACCTCAACATCGACTCGCTAGAGATACATGGTGGAGTCTCATCTTATCTTCTAGACGGTCCACCGGCGGCTCCATCGCAGGATATAAATAATCGTCAGCATCCATCGAGTTCAGTATTTCCGCGGAGGTGTTTTTGACAGTCCTTATTACTCTTAGGTCCAATGAAACGCCCGAGAGTTATCGGAACACCCTCTGTGGGCCACTATCACTGACACCGGCCATTCTCGGGTCCAGGCCCGGCATGTTTGACGCACACTCCGACGAAACGGTCAATAGTTCGGTGAACTTAGTCGGTCTTATCTACTGCCTACTGTCCGATACGATCTTCCCCGGGCCCGGTCTATCATACACTGTCTTATCTTTGGTCGTTGCGCATGGGCCATGATGTTTGCTGCAGAGCGCAGACAGCGTTCTGACAATGATCGCTGATACCAAATGGGTCTGCGTCATGGACCAATCCTGAAGATCTGGTTTGTCAAGATCCGACAGAATGGCCGTGGACAAATCAGAGGAGAGTGAGAGGTTGGGGTCCGGGGAGAGATAGGGTTTGTGTTACGATTTTCCAAAAGAGACGAATTGCTGACAGGATCTGATTGTGCGTGGTCTGTTGGCGATAGTCTGGACAGAGTCGGGCAGGATGCTCGCTGCAGTAACGGTTTGGTTGGAGATAACTGGGATTCGTGTGCTCCGTTGTGTGAATCATGGATATCCAAATGGCTTGGTTATCTCTTGGTATGGAATCCTTGGACGTGTTTCAAGATCTATATAGAGCTGCCTTTTGTGCCTTGTTTATATGCTTCCTCTTTCAGGATATCAATATCATCAATAAACTCCGCTTAATTCGAACATAGCATCTCCGCGCAGCTACCCTACCCCTATCTCTTTTGGTCTTTCTCCGCGGCCTATATACACCCTTACATACAATTGACAGGGAAAGTGGAACGCAGGAAATGGACTTTGTGAAACTGCTTTTCGTTTCTCCAGAAGTCAACCCCAGCAACCGGAAAGCCTTGTCGATTCCTGTCTTCAATCCCTTTGACAAGTATGGCCGTGTTTTCACGTTTTCATGGTTGGGGTTCATGGTTGCGTTCCTCTCGTGGTACGCATTTCCGCCTCTGGTACGTCTCAATGTTCTCATCTTGTGTGTGTTGGACAACCGCTAACATACATGGTCATAGTTGACGGCCACGATCAAAGATGATCTGGGCATGACCCAACAGCAAGTTTCAAATTCAAACATCGTTGCTCTTCTTGCTACGTAAGTTCCCCGAAAGACAAGGGGGAAAGACAAGGACAATGAGCGAGTAACTAACTCCCGCAGACTCATAGTTAGACTCATCGCCGGACCACTATGCGACCGATTCGGCCCCCGTCTCGTCTTCGTTGGTCTTCTCCTCTGTGGCTCCATCCCAACCGCCATGGCCGGTCTTGTCACCAATCCTCAAGGTCTGATCGCATTGCGCTTCTTCGTTGGCATTCTTGGAGGCACATTTGTCCCTTGCCAGGTCTGGTGCACCGGCTTTTTTGATAAGAAGATTGTTGGAACAGCCAATTCCTTGGCCGGTGGCTGGGGGAACTCTGGTGGTGGCATCACATATTTTATCATGCCTGCTGTGTATGACTCCCTAGTCCATTCTCAGGGCCTCGCGCCACACAAGGCATGGCGAGTCGCCTATGTGATTCCATTCATCATCATCGTGGTCCTGGCTGTGACTATGCTCTTCACCTGCGATGACACACCCATGGGTAAATGGTCCGAACGCCACATTTGGATGAAAGAGTACAATCCCCAAAAAGGTAACGCCGATATCGTCGACATCATCTCCGGAAACCCTTCCAGTCGCACATCCGGCACACCCTCTATCAGCCAAATTGTTGCTGTTTCCGACGCCGAAAAGAAAGGCGCAGAAATCCCCAACAACAACATCGACACCGAAGCTCAAACAACAGGGCAGGTTGGCATCCTTGACACAACCACGACATCCCCTCCCCCTTCCCACAAAGAAACCCTCAGCATCATGTTCAGCCTCTCCACCCTTGCCGTCGCACTCCCCTACGCCTGCTCCTTCGGCTCCGAGCTCTCCATAAACTCCATCCTCGGCGACTACTACGCGCAGAACTTCCCCTACATGAGCCAGACCCAGACAGGGCAGTGGGCCGCCATGTTCGGGTTACTGAACATTGTCTGTCGTCCGGCCGGTGGTTTCGTCGCGGATCTTGTGTACCGGTATACGGAGACAGTATGGTCGAAGAAGATCCTTCTTGTGTTCCTGGGTGTCATTATGGGAGCGTTTCAACTTGCGATGGGTCTTTCGAATCCGAAAGATGAGGCTACAATGTTTGGGCTTACGGCTGGCCTCGCATTTTTCTTGGAGGCATGTAACGGAGCGAACTTTGCGCTTGTGCCGCATGTGCATTCGTTTGCTAATGGCATCGTCTCCGGTACTGTCGGCGGAATGGGGAATCTCGGAGGTATTATCTTTGCCATCATATTCCGGTACAACGGAAGTCACTATGCGCGTTCGTTATGGATCATCGGGGTTATTTGCATTGCTGGAAACATGCTTCTTTCTTGGATCCGGCCTGTACCTAGGGGCCAGACTACACGGCCATGATCGATTTCCTTCTGATATGCATGTTTTAGGTTTTCTATTGTTTTGGTTAGCATTGGCGTTTAGATTTGTTTCTGTCAAGATGGATATGGGATATGTACGGAGTCTGGGTGTGAGTTAATCTATGGGCTATACCAGGAGTTATTCAATGAAGGTTGTTATTAACAAGAGCTGGTCTGGTTCATGGCTTGTAGATGTGCTGCCCCTGGTTGACCGCATCACATTGACATAAACCTCCTTTTTCCCTCCCTTTGGTATCGTATCGTCTCGCTATATTCTTCATCTTAGTCTAGCTAGCAACATGGGTAAACCAATTCGAGAAAGGCGTGGAAATTGTTGAGCCATGTATGCCGAATCTGTACGCAAGTTACGCGACAACATACAATCTACACATCTCTGGAGCAAGATCTCAATGTCAAGGTCCGAGCTACAGGAGCTTATCATGGAACTCAGAGATTTCGGTCCATATGATGGTGCCTTCCTAAATTCTAACCATTTTTTCTTCGGGTCTATGCCCCTTCAAAAACTGTAAACTACCCATGCCATCAACTACCGCATGCTTGAAAAGGAATAATATGGATCCCTGGAGCTTGACTAGTGTGACCCCAACAAGATCCCTACGACTAATTAAGAGTTTATCGGCATGGATCCATTTGAGGGGGCAGCAATGCTGCGTCAGTACTTTGAAACTCAGCTTTTCCACCTTTCACGAGAGAACCGTCACGGAATGACCGAGGGAGCCTGGGACACAATACAATCTGGGATCTGATCACGTACGTACAAATCTTAAGAGGCTTATCAATCATTATGGCTGGAACTTACTGATAACACTTTAGGATTAATTATCCATTTGTTCCAGATGATGGAGATGGCTTGTTACAAGGTGTGGCATGGCATGGAAGCCAATTACTTTTGGACCACTGAAAAATATTTGAACATTTCACAAAGAAAGTGCCTGGGATTATATACAAGCCCCATATAAACCTGGCCACTCTACATGAGAAAAACGGTGATGATGGGACACTGCTTCTGCGAGACTTGGCTGCACTGGTGCAAGCAATCCATAACTGGCTTGCCCAGGATGAATACAAGCATACATCGTTATCTCCGTCAAGATAATCCTTTCTCTTTCTCTATATGTCCCTCTTCAGTCTCTTTTTACAGGAACGTGTAACCTATAAGGTATTAATGATATCCGTCCTTGGTCCCCAACATGGCCACATTCACCAGGCGAGCTATAATGAATCTGGGAAATTCCAGGTGTAGAAGACCAAATGTTTTAACCTTATTATCAAAAATGATGAATATGTCAACCTTTACTTATCCTCCATCATGAGTTAACCACGTGTGGGCATGAAGTTGGAGTTTCCAGACAGAGGAAGCTCTGTGTTATTGGACCAAGGAGAATGTGGCACTTGAAAAAAAGGTTGATGACATTGGCGGGCCGCGAGTTGGTTATGTATCTGTCTATATTAGCCAGAGCTTTTCGGGTTCACGTTGATAGCCACAATGACGAACTTTCACGTCCTCTGCATCCTAAAGGCCAACGGTTCCCTTTTTGTCGATGGCCAAACTGGTCTGTCAGAAAGAGCACATGGCCGAGCGCATGAGCCTGGGGAAGGTGCAATTCAATTCAGCAACGTACACAACGTTGGTTGATGGATACTTCAAACGAAAGGAGGCCGGGATCTCTTTCCAAGAGCCCACGAGAGTAGTTACAGTATTAATAAGATGAGAATCCAGGAGTATGGTACAGGTGAGCACTTCGAAAATACACTACAAAGCAACGAAGATTAGCTAACAACAATAGGGCATTTTTAGGCTTCTCAGAGTGCCGGTGAGCTTCACCTTGCCAGCACAGCATATACATTTAACTACATGGGATATCTGCGAGAATGGAAGGCTATTGTGGCTTAAAGCGATTCATGCGAATGCAAAGATATGGCCCGTGGCGCATATGCACCACGCACAAATCAAACAGCTAAGCTGGTGCTTGCACCCTAGCTTTGAGCAGTGAAGTAGAGCTTGGCAGCGTGCAATTTAACATACTATAGAGAAGCTTGGCGAGGGCTATGGGACTTTTGAATTGGGCTTGTTGTTTTTCTGCAGATATTGCTCGGGTTAAAGCACCCCGAACGATTGAGGGGATGCTATGGATATTGATCAGATAAGTACGGTCTCCAATTCCAAGGATATAAATGATCTAGGCAATTTATCGTCCATACCATTTCTGAAGATACACTGAGCTCCAATTGCAAGTTAAACCACAGCAACCACACACGGACCGTAACCCCTACACAACCGAACACCCTGATCTCCACTACAAACCCCAACCCCAAACCGAAGAAACAAGAAACCAAGCAAGACATAACAAAATGGTCCGTCGTATCGCCCAGATAGTCCACCTCAAGCCCTCCTCCATCGAGGCCTACAGGAGATGTCACGCAGCCGTCTGGCCCGAAGTCCTCCAACAGATTCAAGACTGCAACATTACGGATTGTACTTTCTATCATTCTGATCCCGTAATGGAAGGAACTTTGCTAATGAGAGGCGCTGACAGACTCGATATTCTTCGATAATGATCGGACGATTTTTGCTACATTCAAGTGGGTTGGGAACGATTGGGAGAGCGATATGAAGCGGATGAGCGAGAATCCGAAAGTGAGGGAATGGTGGGCTATGACGGATGGGATGCAGGTGTGTATTTTTAGGCTTTGTTTTGGTTGTCTTGATGCTGACTCTGCACAGGAGAGTCCTATCTCCGGTGCCCTGAGCAGTGCAGAAGGCCCCGGGTGGTGGAAGGTATTGGAGGAGGTGTTCCATATGGATTAATCTACGGACGCATAGAATGGCTCACAAGCTTTGTTCATTGCGGATTATTTTGTACATGGAAAATATCCCGCTGCTGGCTGTCAGCAGGAAATGAATAGGCCCAGCCATCGACGAAGACTTCCGGATATCCAAACAATTCCAAGACTTCCGGATCGAAGCCAACATTCCGAACATCCAAACTATCCAGGAACGTTCCAGAACACCAGAGCTCCGGACATCCAGAAGATCCAAGGATGTTTCAGATCGCAGCTGCAATCCAGATATTCTAGAACCAGACTTCTAGAAACCTTGCACAGGTAAAGGGGGAATGACAACTAGTGTACACAAAACATAGATTGGGGTATCTTCACCAGGAAAATCTTGAAAGAAATTCGCTCAAAACGGCCTGTCGTAGAAAAGAGAAGGACTTTTATCGTAACTCGTGGACGCTCATAAATATCGACGTGAGGTATGGCGCTCAAATTGCCTTTTACTCAACGCTGGGCGGAACATCCTTCAGGATCTCCCAGCCGTACTCTTCCTCGGGCTTCTCCGGCTCCATGCCCAGGGCGTCACGGTAGGCGCGCACCTCATTCTGAAGGCCGGCGACGACACGGATAGGCACCTCTTCCTCTTCGCAGCGGAGCCGATACGCGGTGCGGATCATTTCAGAGCACCTCATTGTCTGGGCGTGCCAGTAATCGCGGTCGAGGCGACTCTCAAGATGCGCGTCACGCTCAGCCTGAAGAAGGTTGTTGTACTGGCGCTTCTGAGCCAAGAAGTGCAAGTTGTTATTTTGGCAATAGTTGCGAATTTGCTCAACCATAGTGCCGACCGCAGCCTCGTATTCACCGATCAATCTAGCGTTCTCGTCTTGCTCGTGCTTTAAAATCTCGACTGTGCGTTTTTCTTTGGCGAGGGCACGTTCGAGTTCCGCAATACGGGCAGCTATTTTCATCAGTTCCCTATCTATAATGAGTTTGGAAAAATGGAAACTCACCACTGATCTCGGTGCTGACTTGCTGAATGCTAGGGGTCGTGCCTTCGGTAGCAGCACGGTTCTAAGTCGCTGTCAGTCCAGTCCTGAACCGGTGGGGGTTGTCTAAAATACCATAAGGTCCTCCGCACTCGTAACAATGTTCTTAGTCATATCACGGTTATTCTTGAGCACATCACTCAACTCCAAGACCATATCGTACAACTGCTGGAGATCCATCTGGTGGCCAGCGTTCATTGGGAGACCACCGTTCATACCAGGCATGGCACCACCATTTACCTGTCCAGCCGCATGAGGCATGCCTCCCGAAACCGATTGACGAGGACCGTTACCAACGTTGCTGGGGTTCTCAACGTAGCCCGAGAACATGCCCGAGCTGGGGCTGCTTCCGCTGTTAAGAGACATATTGGCACTCTCGAAAGCCTGATTCAGCTGCTCGAACTGGGGATCCAAAGAAGGATTCTGTCTGGGTCGGGACTGAGTCTCTTCTTCTGGGACGATAGAAGGAGTAGATTCAATTCCCAACACTTCCCGTCGAAAGCTCTCGAGATCGGCGGGGGTTACGTGTGTGGAGCGACGACGGTGTCCACGTCTCGGGTTCGGACGCGGCAGACCAGACTCGTCGAAAACAATGTCACCTCGACGGATGGTTGCGAATCGGTCGGGGTACAGATGGACGCGAGATAGGGTGCCCTGAGGACGTGGAAGAGGGTTCTCAGAGGACTGCTCACGCGTTCTCTGAGAATGAATTTCAGGACGGCGCTCAGAATCACCAATGGCGTTATCGTCGCGAGCAATAGAAGAAGAATGACGACGACGAATAGGAGGGGCAGATGAGGAACGAGGAGGAGACGAGGAGCTCGAGGCGGTTCCTGAGGAAGCCAACGGGCGGTGGGTTGGTGCAGAACTCTGTCCCTGGGATCCCGTGACTGAGGCGGTGAGAGAAGGATTATGATTCTCCATATTGAAAGGGTGGGCTGTTATGGCTATCACAGAGCGAGGTGGAAGAGGAGAAATTGAAAAAGAAAAAGAAAGAAAGTGTCACTGCTTGTTTTTGTTTTCTTATTCTGGGCAATTCCGAGCAAGAAAGGTGTGTGTGGATGTTATTTTCTTCACTCCTCGATCTCAGTTACTAGAAGCCATTCTGAGAATCTGCTCATCTATCCCTTGCACTCTTTAGGTATGGAACTGCTTTTACTTAGAACGTGTCTGTTGCTGTACTGAGGAGATCGTCGCTTATATTCAACAAATGTCATGATAATTTGTCGTTTTCGTATGAGACAGCTTGTGCATAGTTGCAACACCCAAAACGTACATTTCCCATTATTCCCACATCACGAATCCAGATCAAGCAGTGCCTCCAACTTTTGGTCAGACCTGGTCGGGTACGAGACATTCTCAGTCTGCAAAGAGCCATCACTTGGCCCTTTCTTCTGCCCAATCCGACCCCCGACCCGAGCAACCAACATCCTCATCTTCTCCAGTTCTTGTGCCAATTCTCCATCTCGAGTAATAAGGTTCGGTTGTATGTTCCGCTGTGGTTCTAGGAATGGTTCCAAGAGGCGTTGTAATCGTCGTAGCTCATCCAGGCGTCGCTGTCGCTGCTGTCGTTGCTCATTAAGTTCCGTAAGACGTTCTCGTAACTGTCGATATCTGCATGTCCTGTCGTTAGTCTAGGGAAATTATAACCAATGACATTGCTTATCCTGACCTCATGCGCTCTTCTTCGCTGGCATATGGGTGTTCTAGGCGCGTCGATAATTTCACGATGTTCCTAAGAGAGAAGACATGTCAGTCGATGGTTGGTTGTTTTTTAGCCATGCAGACGTACAGCTGATTTGACAGATCCAATGTCTTCTCGACTCCCTTTCCATTTGATCCTAAGCTGTGCGCCTCCTGGCTAACGGCAGACCAATAGAGACTTGCGACCTGCTGCGTGACATGGTGAATAGCCTGAGAGGAATAAACAATGCGATTATGCTGCTTCAGCGTCGCATTTACTTTTTCAAGTCAGCCTGAGCCCATACAGCATATAATAACCAAAAATTGGCAACACTAAACAGCACCTTTCTGCATAACATCGTCAACCACCTTATTGCTCAGATCGGCCTCCTCTGTTTCTACCGCATAATCCCGCCAATTCTCCGCCGGCTCGAGACTCTCTGACAGGATTCGCACCTGGGCCCGAATGAAGGACGCTTTCAATTCGGAAACTGTGCGCGTCGAGTCCATTGCCCCATCTCGGCTGCTGTTTTTTTCTGGAGGTTATGCTAGCGCTGTCCATTCGAGCCGTTGGCGCATGGCTTGGCGCGTCGTGATTTTCTAATCGATAAGGTCACGTGGGTTTCTTGCGAATGCCGAGGGTGAGTGAGCGTGTTTCTTGATGTAGTAAAATGCCAGAGGCTGGGTTAACTAGAGTATCGAATGGTAATTTATAGGTCTGTTTACCGTAAGCCATAGTTTCATCGCTGCACTCGGTCGACATGGCATAACTGAACGACCTCATCTACCCTAGATATATATCTAACCTCGGCAACTTGGGTAAACCGAGAACTCCGCATATCACTTTGACCTCCCTACTTAAACTTGACCACAGGAGCCTAAATTACCAAAATCACTGCATTTTCTATACAATACCATTATCCTGCAAGCATATTTGAGCCAAACGCCAGCAATGGTGGAGAACAAGCAACCAGTGGGCCTGCTCTTCGATATCGGGGGAGTCTGTGTAAGCGCTGATACCAATTCCAATTCAGAAGAGAGAAACTAATAATATACAGGTTGTATCCCCCTTCCAAGCAATTTTAGATTACGAGATTGCCCAAAACATCCCCCCAGGATGGGTGAACTTCAGCATTTCCAGAACATCGCCTCACGGCAGCTGGCATAAGCTAGAGCGCGGCGAGATAAAAATGGACGCCAATTTCTTCGCAAATTTCAACAAGGACCTACGAAGGCCAGACCTCTGGGAGCATTTTAACGCCAGATTACGACAGAACAAAGCACACAGTACTGCTGCTACGCTTCCGCCAATACCTGAAGTAGATGCGGAGTGGCTTTTCTGGGAGATGATGCGGATATCCCGCACGCCGGATCCGTATATGTTTCCGACGCTGAAGAAGTTACGGGAGTCGGGGAAGTTCGTTGTTGGGGCTTTGTCGAATACGGTCATATATCCTGAAGGGCACTCGTATAATGAGGATGCAATTGGGCTCAAGTCGCAGTTCGATTTCTTCATCTCGTCGGCGCATACGGGGCTCAGAAAGCCGGATCCAAAAATCTACGAGGCAGCGTTGAGGGAGATGGATGCGTTAGCAAAGAAGAAGGGAATGGGGGGCGCTGGTGCTTCGGATGTTGTCTTTTTCGATGACATTGGCGAGAATCTGAAGGCTGCTAAGAAGGCTGGGATGCAGACTGTTAAAGTCACGCTTGGGAAGACACAGGATGCAGTTGGGGAGTTGGAAAAGATTACTGGGCTTAAATTGCTGGAGGCTCAAGGTAAAGCGAGGTTGTAGATCGGCGGCGGCCCCAGGCACCCGTTCTAATTTAGGGCCCTTAACGTCATTGCCGCAGTCCGAAGTATTAATTAAAAAAGATCGATTCTTCCTTTTGTCCTTGCCGTTTTGAGCAGACCTGTTAATTTTCTCGCGTTGTTCTTGTTATTTCCTGCTATTCGACATGGAAGACTCAGTTTTGGTACGAGCGTGTCGACGAACTGGCCGCCCAGGGCCTCCTGGCTCTCACTCGGATTATTGAACGGGACGTGTTAGATGAAGAAACAGAGCCTCGGTATCTTCGCAAGACCTTGGACACTTTTGGTACTGAGGAAAGTGGCACCAAAAGACTCACTCAGTCCGCATTTCTGTCCTTCCTTGAGTCCTCTGGCTTTCTTCCACCATCCATGAGAGATGCAGGTGCCCTTGTGTACTGCAGTCTTCTATACCTATCTAATTATCCATTCTAACAATCAATCCCCGAGGCTCTCACCAACGACGATTTGGTCCGTACGCTGGCATGGATCTTGCCTGAAAGAACAAGGCGTATCTATGATGAAAGTTATGACACTCGGTCCAGGTCACCTGCTGATTTGAGAAGAAAGCTATTCCAGAGCTTTGCAACAACCCAGGATGGCAAGCCTGCTGATTTTAATACAGAGGATGCAAAGAAGCAGGCTGAGCGAAGAGCTTTTAATTTCACTGGTGCTGATCGCCCAGACTCTCGCCATTTTGCTGCTATGAATCATGATAATGACGGTGGTGAAATGTTCTATAACATTCTTGATGTGCTGTATGATACCCAGCCCAAGGAGATTGGGTGGAGGGCGCCTCCCGAGGATTTCTTCCGGCCGATAGCAAGGGAACTTGCAGGGGACAGACGCGTCCATGTCCATCATCTCAACATCCCTCAGGATGAGTTTCGAGCTGTTGTGCAGCTGATGGTGATTACTTACTTTGGAAAGCCCAGAGTTGCAGTTGAGCAGCTGGCTGACTTAGACCATGTTGTGGACTGTATTACTCGGCCTGTCGTTCAGAGGTTTGACATGGGGATTACCTGGGACATGTTTGAGCAGGCTGCAAGTAATGGGATGGTAAGCCCAGTGATTCTTCTATCTGATAATGGGCAGGGCACTGACTGATCCAGCCAATGCTTATGAGAGGTCTTCAGCGTTTCTTGGGGCCACTCTATAGAGACCCCAAAAATGAAGATATCTCAATTGTCCCCTTATAGCGAGGAAAGATTGCCACTTGACCTGTTCTGGCACAGTTGGGCTATGATAGCGCTACGGCAGGATTCAAAGAAGGCGATTGTTTCTCACAACATCTCTGGACAACATGAACCAATGTATGCTGCTACTGCCTGGAGGGGAGACTGGCAGGTCGAGGTCGAGGTTGAGGATATTGCGCTGTGGATTGAGCCGCCACTCGAAGACAGCGACGAAGAGGAAGAGGAAGAACAATGAACGCGATGTATTATACCCTGTTTTCAAGCCCAGATATTTTGACAATATCCTACGCAGTGCGATGCCTTTCAATTTATTCTGTACCGAATCTATCCGCTCGTGGGAAACAACTTCCGAGCAGGAATACATCTCGAACATATAAACAGTAGAATCAGAGATGCCATTATCAACCGGATGAGGAAATCCACTGTCCAGTTACAAACCCCCCATGCGCAAGACTTATTGCGGATATGCGCGTGCGTTACGACTGGATCTCAGCTGATGTAGAGTAGTCGTATGATAGCTGTTTTACCGAATATCTTCGCTCAGCGAGTGCTCGGGCATTCGAAAATATAGCTATTGTAAAGGGAACTGTTGACGCGGTAGTACCTGCCTATATATTTACAGATCTGGGTATCGTTAATCGTTGGCCATTGCAAATAGAAAAACGAGCAGGACCCATGTAATTTGGTAGGAGCACCAAACCAACCATCTACTTCAATTTGTATTGCTTCTGGGTGCAGGCATCCTTTTTCATAGCACTCTTGCATTCCCCGAAGATCTTGATAAATATCCTTTGTATACCAGCGCTTCTCGCAATATGCTGGCAGCTTTAGGTAAAGGTATCGACTGAAGTATTCGGCAAGATACCTGCCCAGCTGTAATGAGAGAGTAGAAATATGGTCAACGGCACAAACAGAGCCTTGAGATAACATCGGCAAATTCCTCTGAAATCGAGACAACCAGGGAGCCCCGAAGGCGTAATCGAGTTTTGTTGGTATACTAATGAGTTCCGGTGCTGGATTCCCCGTAGGAGTTAGATGTGCAAAATTGATCCATATTATTATGGCTGTTTTTGGTAAAGCTCGGCCTGAGTCTACTTAGGATTCATGTAGTCAGTATAGGATTGAAGCCTAAGGCATATATAAAATCAAACATAATTATATCGTGAGCAGCACATCCGGGGATATGTCCTGTTAAGAGTATTAACATCACTCAATTTCCTATGTAATTATTGACATTTCTCTCAGTGATTATCCCTAATATTCCTAAGTTATTGGAGAGTGACTTAAAAGTCTTGTACTCAAGTGTCGCCGCTCGTGGCCAACCCCGATCTCGAGCCTGGATGCAGCCAGTGCTAAGCGAAATCCCCCACAAAGTCGGCCCACGAAATTCTTCAACTCTTCTTTTTTTCTTTCCGCAGCCAACGTCGACATCGCCAGCAACCGTCAAAATGGTGAGTTTTATATTCATCGCAAACGATTAAATCCTTGTCCGTCATGCAGAAATGCATTTGTTTTCTCTTCCCATAATTTTTTTGGGGTTTGAGACGGGTCTTTGCAAGATGCTTCGGACGGGACTTCTGAAGCGCAAATTGCTGACTCGGATTGTGTGAACTGTAGGCCTTCCACAAGACCGTCAAGAACAGCGCGTACTTCAGGTAAGTTTCTTAAGAGAACAGTTCCCGGAAGAACTAAGCTAATGATAAAACAGCCGCTACCAGACCAAGTACCGCCGTCGCCGTGAGGGTAAGACCGACTACTACGCCCGTAAGCGCCTCATCACCCAGGCCAAGAACAAGTACAACTCGCCCAAGTACCGTCTGGTTGTCCGCTTCACCAACCGCGACATCATCACTCAGATCATCCACTCTGAGATCTCGGGTGACAAGGTCTTCGCCTCCGCTTACTCTCACGAGCTCAAGCGCTATGGTATCAAGCAGGGTCTGACCAACTGGGCTGCCGCCTACGCTACTGGTCTCCTCCTTGCCCGCCGTACCCTCAAGAAGCTTGGTCTTGACGAGCAGTTCGCTGGTGTTGAGGAGGCTGACGGTGAGTACCAGCTCACCGAGGCCATCGAGACCGACGAGGGCACCCGCCGCCCCTTCAAGGCCTTCCTTGACGTTGGTCTTGTCCGCACCTCCACCGGTGCCCGTGTCTTCGGTGCTATGAAGGGTGCCTCCGACGGTGGTATCTTCGTTCCCCACTCCGAGAACCGCTTCCCCGGTTTCGACATTGAGTCTGAGGAGCTTGACGCCGAGACCCTCCGCAGCTACATCCTCGGTGGCCACGTCGCTGAGTACATGGAGACCCTCGCCGATGATGATGAGGAGCGCTACCGCTCTCAGTTCATCAAGTACATCGACGAGGAAGTCGATGCTGGTGACCTTGAGGACACCTACCTCGAGGCCCACAAGGCCATCCGTGAGGACCCCTTCAAGGCCGACGAGGAGGCCGGCCCCAAGAAGACCAAGGAGGAGTGGAAGGCCGAGAGCAAGAAGTACCGCACTACCAAGCTTCCCTACGAGGAGAAGAAGGCTCGTGTTGAGGCCAAGATCCGTGAGCTTGCTGCTTAAATGATTTGTCACGATATGGAAGACTACGGTCGTGCTTGAGTGTACAACATTGGGTGCGATAGTCAAAAAAGTTCTACTTTTTTCAAAATATCCGGATATTTTTTTCTTGTGTTTGTTTTCGTGTAGCTGGATGGATATGGATTGATACCACATGGAGTTCTGGATTTCTTCACCTTGCTTTGGATACGTAGTTCCGTAGCACTGATAAGAGCCCTACCCTAGTCCATGCGGAAACCGATACTCCGACGGAGATAGAAACGGCGATACGACTGGTCCATTACCCCAAAGCATATTCTGGAATTTTTCATTCGCGGTGTGTACTATACGGTGGGTGTGGATCATAGCATGCCCAACATGAAGAATTTGCTTGGACTCAGGATTCACTTGGAGAATCAGTGGTAGGGGTGTCTACTTTTTTTGGCCTTTGTGTGGTGTTACCTGATGCGGATTCGGAGCTTGTCGCCTCAAAGGGTAAGTAAAAAGACGCTGACATTCCAACTACGGAGGCATAGATACATTTCTGTCCAGCGTAGTATTTTCTACTGCCATTCGGTATTCAGTGGCCATGTACAGAGTACTTGTAAAGAGTACTTCATGTGTGATGAGATGTCTCCCAAGCAAACTAGGCGGTCTCACGTCTCGAAAATTGCAGAATCATGTGTTTTGTCCTACGCTACGGCAAAAACCAGGGTCCACACATTGTCTGATATCCACCATGATCTTCATAACCCAGATGGGTCACCTCTATGGTGGCGCACGGGGTCAGTTCAGCTAATCCACTGCAGGATATCAAACCACCGAATATGGCACCGGTAAGCGTTATCTTAAGAACCCAGGTGTCATTGCAGATCTGCATGTGGTCAACTAAGCTTTGAGGGTTTACTGTATCCGTACTCTGTACTCTGTATAGTACGATAGTCGGCAGAAGAGTGGATCTGTATGTACCCGGAAGAAACGAGGCTATGCCACCAGCTGATTCAGAGATCAGTGCTCTACCAGTATGTACGATTCCGGATATGGTTCGTGGATTAAGTTTGTACGGCGAGTGACAGCACATCAGCCCATGTCCGTCCCCATCATACTACTAACAGTATGCACGTAGTTTTCCATAAGAGTAGTTGGCCGATGCTAGAAAATATGGTAGAATGCTCCGGGAACGGGACACGGCAAATAACTGGCCGTCATCGAGCCGAAGATTCCGCCATTAATTCGGCGGAAGAGTTTGTATGTACTTGTACTTGTAAAGTACGGAGTGATGGGCGTGATGCTATTTCTATCCTTGTCATAATATCCCTTTTACCTTTTATTTATTTTTATATCGGTCTCGTCATTCTGCAGATGTACTGCTACTCTACGTCTACTTAAGGTAGAGGCTGATAGAGGTGATGTCATGGCAGAAAGAAGCGTATCAGCAAAGATGGTAATACTGGTAATACAGGTGCTGGTAAATGCGGGGCAGTATCTGACCAATGGAACGACATGTTATCCAAACCATGGTGATGCTGAACCAGGTCGATCACTTGCCACATATCCTAAAAAGCAAAGAAGTGCTGATTGTATTAGATCTGAGATGATTTGCATGGTATGGTTTACAGGGGGAAATATACGAAATGTATCGCAGTAGGCATCTTTAGATTTCGATAGAACGGCAAAATGCAAACATGGTTAGGCTTGGTAAGTTTGCCAAGTGCCCCTTAATACCGAGGATATGATAGGTCAGTTAGCGAGAAAATGGGGATAGCGTAGATCAAAGTTTCCAGGAGCGTATTATAATCGTACCGCTACCGCTGTATTTGCACTTGGGTATGGCGCCTTGGCAGTTGGTCGTGTGAGAGATTTCAACATCGCTAGTTATAGTGGCGATGCTCTGTAGTCTAAAGCTCTAATTGAGTGTCGTATTTTACTTTGGATTATGACAATATCATTGAACTAGTCAACTAGGTACAGAGTATAGGATTAGGGTTGGGCCAAGGACGTTAGTTCGTGCTACCATATCAAGGTATTCTCCTATTCATCTGAAGAAGCCATTCTAACCTCGTTGCTTCCCTTCGTTGTATTGCATGCTAGCATTGATACTACTGCTACATATTCTTCCATGAAGTGTAGTGTAGAATGAAACTCGTGGTTGTAAAGGGGGCTATACCAAACAAGGAAATTCCATACCCAAAATTACCGTAATACAATATTTGCACATATGGCTTGTATCGACAACCGCGGTCATACATAGAGTTCGGCCAGCAAAATCGATGGAGTCGGCTGTCACGGTTGGTCTACTCCAAGTACTAGTACTTAGCACTGGCAACTCTTCGCCTTCTGACTCCCCTCTCTCATTTTTTCTTTTATTTTTACCTTTTGATCCGTCATTGTTCTTTGTCTCCTTCTTAAACTTCTTTTACTACTATTACTACTACATATCAACTCACTCCACCATGCCCACCCTCCGCCGTCCCGCGACTATGGAACACGATCGCCGCATGTAACCATCTGCGCATCTACGAATTCCTACGGTGAATTATCACCTCTTTTCTCGATCGATTGTACATAGCGTTATTTCTCGAAAATTAGTGCCTTGTTATCGCCTGCAGCCTGGACATATTTCTCTTACTGTTGCCTTGGTTAGGCTATGCTTTGTTCTATGTGAACTCCGCTATCGCACACCGACGGTCGAACCATAGCCTTTTCGAAATCAGCAATCGCTTTATTAATTCAGCATATCCACCATGACGGAGTTACAAATACAAGGACATACTCCAATGGAGGGCGTTGAGACTGTGGATGTGAGCTGGCTCCATCATTCACAAAAAGGTGAGTACATACATGGTCGCACTCCGGCCCCGGGGTATCACAGCACACTACCAGTCTTTGGACAATCTGCGCACAGAATCCTGGTGGAATTCAAATGCTGATAGTCGATACCATCTAGATTATGTATCCCGTTCCAAGTCAGTGAACGATAAATCAGGCACTGATTCGGATCTCCCAACTTCACCGAAGCGAAATCCATCCACGTCAGATAAGAACGCCATTTCCAACGGCCATCATCCACAGCCTCCGTCGCCAACATCTGTCTTCCCAGAATACAAAGAACCTACAAATGGCGACACTCAGACTGGAGGGGCACCGAAAAGCAACGACACGAATACACACCAGAAGTCTGGAAGCAAGCCGATTTCAATCAGACGGAATTCATGGATTTCGAACCTGAGCTCGAAGTTCTCCTCTGGATCGACACCCCCGTCCCAGTCGAACATCAAAGGATCCCAGCCAAGCCCCAAGACAGCAAACTTCGACCCTCCAAATCCATTTGGAGCAGCGTATTCCCCCAAGGACAAAGAGGAGGAGAAGAAAGATGAAAGCAACCCGTTCACCTCATCCTCGCCTAGAGGCTCATCGTTCCTCTCAAATGCCTTTCGCAAGCTTTCCTCGTCCGGGAATTCCGGACTGGGCAAGGCGTCTGCGAATGGAGTTATCTGCGAACGCCGTGTGATGAACATCGATCGGAACAGAGATCGGTGTAAGGTCCCGGACCTGGACCAAGGGAAACTGCGTCGTGTCGCCTTTTCCGTGGATGTTGAAATCGCAGGGATATCGCGCAGGGAGTCCGAAGACGACGATTCCGCTCAGAGCAATGCGCGGCGTTTATTCTCCGATTCGAATAGTTCCAAGTCTAAGAAGTCGAGCCAGAAGTCAAAAGATAAGGGTGAAGCCGCTGCATCGAAAGCCCCTGAAGCCGCAGCAGTCGATAAGGAAAAGCAGGAGCAGGCCCAAACGAACAACGGCCCGTCAGATCCTGCATCGGGCGAGCGTAAAGCGGCGGAAGGCGAGGGCAAAGAACCTTCGCGGAAACAGGAGAAGAAGAAGCGCTCGGAAGAGGAAAGACGGGAGCGCAGAGAGCGCAGACGAAGGCAAGCCGTGGCGAACGGCTCAATACCTTTGCAGCTGAATGCTGATGATGAGTCCAGCGCTCCATCGCAGTCCCACCCGACGACTGATCCCGTGCGTATCTACCGTCGCTGTTGTCAGCTGCGCGAGAGCCCCGTTCTCAAGAGGATAGTCGACGAGATTTCCTCTCCTTCGTCCACCCTGGTGGAGTCGCCTGGGACAGTGGCTGCCCTCGAACTTAAGAGCTTCCCGATGACCTCGGAAGACATTGCCACGTTCTGCGACTGGCTAGCTGTCGTGCCCGTGCGTAAACTAATACTCGAGAACTGTGGTTTGACAGATGATTCGACCCGCGCCATCCTTTCAGCACTACTTTCAACCAAAACTGTTGAGCAGATGAAGCATAGACGAGGACGGCCCGGCAAGGCCAAGCCACAGACAATAACCAGCGAAGAGAGAGTTAGTGTTATAGAAAAACTGTCATTGAAGGATAATCCGAAAATTGGACCAGAGGGATGGCGCCACATCTGCCTCTTCATTCATCTTTCGAAGTCTCTGAAGGCCATTGATCTCTCGGGTATCCCCTTCCCCAAGGAATCCATTACTGCAACTATTCCTGGAGAGGTTGGATCTGCGGCCACAGAGCTCTCCACCATATTTGCAAGATCGCTGGCGGAGCGTTTCGGCGGTGATCACCTCGAAGAATTGTTGATCAGTGAATGCAGACCCGCTACGAATGATGTGCGCAAAATCTGCGATGCCCTCACTGCTGTCGGCCTGAAAAGATTCGGATTTGCCAACAACAACCTGACGAAGGAGGGTTTGGAACACGTCGTTCGGTATGTCAAGACCGGCAAATGCGAGGGCCTTGATCTTGGTGGCAATCCAATCCAGGATCACCTCGACTTGCTTAATTCCGCCATGGAGAAAGACCATCCACTTTATGCACTGAGCTTGGCGGATTGCTCTCTGACGCCTTCTGTGCTTTATCCGTTGTTCCAAGGTCTGACACGTTTGTCGAACCTGCGTTTCGTCGACTTCTCTCACAATCCAGGGCTTTTCTCTGCTCAGCCAGATGCGTTGGCCATATTTAGACGGTTCCTCCCGAAAATGACATCTCTCAAGCGCATTCACCTTGCGGATGTCAATCTCTCCGCGGACCACGCCATCGCACTCGCTGAAGTTCTTCCTGATAGCCCAAGCCTGTGCCATTTGAACATCCTGGAAAACCCCTCGATAGCTGCTCTTGCCTCTTCGACAGATGCCCGCAGTCAGGAGGAGGCATGCGCTGTTTATGCATCCCTTATGGCCGCCGTCCGGGTTTCACGGACTATCATTGCCGTTGATATCGAAGTCCCCAGCGCAGAAAACAACGAAGTCGTGAAGGCTCTGGCATCCCAGATCGTCGCTTACTCCCTTCGTAACCTCCAACGAGGAGCCATTGCAGAGGAAATCACCGGTCCTACGGAGCTCGTCGCTGATCGAGCTGACGTCCCAATTCCCGAAGTTCTACAGCACATTGTTGGCAACGGCTTTGGCGACGAATGCGACGATGAAGAAGATGATCTTGCCCCGGACGAAGACTACGTTATTGGCGGTACTGGAGTGGTAAAGGCTCTAGGTGTGTGCTTGGGTGCGAGGGACCATCATACCCTTGGCGACCAGTCCGCACCGCCTAGTGGCACTACAACTCCCCGGCACAGGAAATCCAGATCTCTTGCCAATAATACCAAGAGGCCACGAGACATGTCAAAGAACTTGCTAGAGACCGCCCGCAATATCCGTACCAGGATTCAGTCTGCTCTTGTTCGCGAGGACAAGGCTGGCAACGAAACGAACTACAGGCGCTTGCAATTCCTCGATTTTACACTCCATCGGATGATCCAGCGGTTCGAGGATGAGTATCCAGAAACGCGGGTCTTCTTCCCGCCTGTCCCCAGGGCTGCTGCGGATAGCAGCTCTCAGCATTCTGGAGACTCTGCCAATGGATCGGGTACCAATAGCGGAGGCCAGCTTAATCTGAATAACATCGACAACGAAAATGCTATTGACGATGAAGATACGGAGCATTATGCCATTGGTCGCCTTTCTCGCGCCAGTTCAATGACGTCTCTCCACTCCCGTGCAATGACCTCCGAAGAAGGCCATGTCCATCGATTGGGTCAGGGCCTCCGCCGCGACTTCCTCAGCCCGTCCATCGACCAAGAAGCGGATGATGATGATGATGGTGACGATTCTTCGGGCCTTGATGATGCTTATATCGCCGCGTTGCGCGACAAACTGGACCGTCTGCATGAAGAACAAGAGCGTTCTTCTCGTTTCTCGGATAAGACTTTCGAGGAACTGGGTTCGACCGTGGACGATCTCTGGACGACCCAGAGGCAAGACTCAGAGGCGTTTGAGAGGTTCAAGCAAAGCCAGATTGCTGCTCAGATTAACAGTGGCAGGCGGAGTCGGCCTGGCACTGCCAATGGCGCGGGCCAGGATTCTGAAGAGAGGTCTTCATAATATTACGCCATCTATTGTATCTCTTTCTTTTCTTGGGTATATCGGATACCCCGAGGATGATTACACGCAAAGCTGTTTACATTTATGTTTTCTGGGTCCGGTTTCTTCTGCAGCGTCATATATATCGCGTTTCATGAACTTTACGATCTCCCTTCATGTTTGTAACCATGTATTCTGGGTTGTTTGAATGCGTACTAGCTTGGTTTTTGGTCTTTACTAGATGGATAGCGTTGGCCATTGCCAAATACCCAATGATATCAACTTAGGCTTAGCAGCAACCTTTCGGTTCATGATTTCTCGCCATCTTGTCTTCGGGAAGGTTGGTGAAAGACTTGTGTACGGAGAAATAGTCCCATGTCTCTGGAGCTCTTTTCCGGGGGGCATCATGCATACATCATTTCCCATATTTGGGTTCATACAAAACCACCATACCTGCCGAAAATGTCAACTCAATCTGTCAATTTCTCAGACCATACAATGGACCACCACTGTCACCACCATAAAGAAAGAGTCGCCATCATTGGCACAGGATGGGCTGGATATGCACTATCCCACGGCCTGGACCTAAACAAATACTGTGTCATTGTGGTCTCCCCCGACACAACATCGAACATGACCCCGCTCCTTGCCAGCGTTGCCTGCGGACTGTTCGACTTTCGAATAGCCCAGGAGCCCATCCGGCGCAAAAGCCGTGATATCAAATACATCAAGGCCTGCGTGACCCACATTGACTTTGAGGAGAAGATGCTCGGCTGCCATCCGGCCTTTAGCCACCTGGCAATGACTGAGAGCAGAGACCGTGAGTTTGGTGTCCATTACGACAAGGTCGTCATCGCACCGGGAACAATAAACAACACCTTCAACATCCCCGGTGTCGCAGAACATGCCTACTTCCTCAAAACGGTAAGAGACGCACAGGCAATCCGCAACCGCATCAGTGAAATGTTCGAAATGGCCTCCATCCCAGCCATCCCTGAAGACAAACAACGCCAGCTCCTAAACGTCATCATCGTCGGCGGCGGCCCCACTGGCATCGAAATGGCAGCCGAACTTACGGATCTCTTTCAATACGACTACACCCAGCTCTACCCACACCTCCGCGACAAAATGCGCGTATCTGTCCACACAGTCTCGCACAAGATCCTTTCCCCCTACGATGCAAACCTGCAAGAATATGCAACCCAGTCCCTAAACCGCAACAATGTCTGGGTCAAGTTCGACTCACACATCACGAACGTCACAGCCGACACCATCGAAACGGAAGAAGAAGGCCGCATAGGTTACGGCCTCCTCGTCTGGGCTACGGGCGACAAATCCACCCCCTTAGTCGACTCCCTTGACGTCTCCAAATCATCCCATGGCATGCACCGTATTCTAACAGACTCTCGCCTGCGCGTACTCAGGAAAGACAACACAGTCAACACCGACGCCTACGCACTAGGCGATGCAGCAGACATCGACGGCAAGAGTCTCCCGCCAACCGCCGAAGTAGCTTTACAAAAAGCAGACTATCTAATCCACCAGTTTAATACGTTTCCGGCGCCGGATATTGAGCCTGGCGTCCCGTTTCGGTATCAACAGAGGCAGCTGGTTACGTATACGGGGAGGAAGGACGGGGTTGTTGCGGGGAAGAAGGAATATAGTGGGTATGGGGCGTGGTTGAGTTGGAGGTCTGGGGATTTGATGTGGACGAGGTCGTGGAGGAGGAAGATTATGATTTGTATGACTTGGGTTTTGAATTGGTGGGGTGGGAGGGATATTGCGAGGAATTGATCTAATTTTTTTTCGTTTAGGTACAGTAGTAGAGGAACCTAACATGCCATAGTAAGGAATTTGATATTCAATATCTACCTGGAATTATAATAACCTTGCTCACTGGAAGAAATAAATTCAACGTTGCATACCTGCGCTCATGCATGCTGGAGAATTGGCTTATCATACATCTGATGCTGACCACGGTTTGTACATGAGCACTTGTCATCATCCGTGGGCAATTGGTTGAATCGCCCGTTATATTTTGAGGACAAGGTCCTCAACCACATCAGCTTTCCTTTTCTGCAAAACGAGCCATGCCGCATGTCGATCTCTCGTACCACACATTCACCGATTTCTCTTACACTTGCACCAGAAGTTCTGATGAAGGTCACCGTGAAAAGTAGTAATTAGACGGCATATCTTGTGATGTTTGTAGTGATAAAACCGATCATGGCAGTGTCCACAATGTTTGGATTCAGTATTTCGTGGTCCATGGATGTTGAAATGGTTGACTTCGGAACTTAGGGTTCCTGTTTTGGAAGAAACACATACGGTCCCGTTTGTTTTCAATGGCAACGAATACGAATTCACAACACTCTGTCGAATGACCGAAGACCCGACAGGCACGTATCATTGCTAAGACACGTTAGTATGCGCGATATATAACTGGGATTTTCGGAAGGTGCACAGAATACATGCCCATCTGAACAGTGCTTTGGTTTCCACTGCCATTTGGTTTATCTCCACTTCCGGAGAAGCGTACCATAGGAAATAGTCACAGTGAGTGTTAACTAATCGTAGCTCATTTCTGTGAAAGTTGTTGTTCGAGTTCTCGAATTATCGAACGACTGATCAATGAGCAAGATATTGATCTTAGCAACCAATCCTTTGACGGGAATGCGCCCCTTACAATTGCGCTGACGTTTCGCCAATCTTACGTCTTCCAACTCCCCTTGTCTGATAGGCGGACAAATGCCAACATCTGCGATCACCATGGCCAAAACCCACTGCATAGAGCGTGGAAATTGGAGATTACAGGCCATTCAAATGCTGGTACAAAACCCACGAGCTGATGTCAATCATTTTAACCACCGGCAGAAAACTCCGTTACATCCTGCTGTCAAAGGATGCGGCCGTTTTCTCTTCATCAACAAACAGCTGCTCATCATCAAAGCTATGCTTTTGAGTCCCTACACCAACCCTGACCATCTGAGTGGTTGTTAAGGGCTAAGCCTGCGGCGCTAATAATTAGCTATCATATAGGAGATTTCGTTGAAGGGAAGAGCGGATGTCCGGACAGCTTTTATATACAAATGTGTGTTATGTGGGGTATAGCCAGGTAACCCCTCTGGTCATCCCTCCGAATAAAATATCGTTTATTCTAAAGGCGCAGCCTGTGACAATGAGAATGGATACACTACAGTCTGGTACGCGATGAACAGCTCCGAATAGGGCTACCAAGATTTCCCAGCTATATAAAGTCTGAGTCACCCGTCATAACTAGTTAGTTGCCCTGCTCTATCTGCATACGGGCCATTCCCCACTTTGTACATGATTCATTATTACTCATTACTCATTATTACTCGACCATCACCGCCCTCCACACGAATCGGTATATATAAATGCTTTCCAGGGATCAATTGACAGCTCAAAACAAACCCATTCCGATTCACAGAGTACATCACGCTCCACTGACTCCTCCAACTCCAATTCCTCGTGCAAATTTCACCATGACACCTACAACCTCGACCTCAACCTCACCTACCACGGCCCTAATGACCTTCTACGACATCGCCCTCGCACCCCCCATCCAAAAAAGCGCCTGCTCCCCAAACCCCTGGAAAACCCGCTACGCCCTGAACTTCAAAAACACTCCCTACAAAACAACCTGGGTGCCCCTAGCCGACATCAGCTCCGTCCGCGGCGCTTTCAATATCCCCGCCTCGCGCAAATTCGCCGACGGATCCCCCTACCACACCCTGCCCGTTCTCTCCGACCCAGCCACCGGGCGCATACTGGGCGACTCCCTGGAAATTGCGACATACTTGCAGAAACAATACCCGTCCTCGGGGGCGGGGGACTTGTTCCCGCCGCAGGAGCTGGGGTTCGTCTTTGGGCGGGACTTAGAGCTTCACGCACCGATTGCGGAGGCGGCAGTGGAGGGGCATATTGCGGCATACGCGAAGTTTAATACGAATGTGGATGCTGCGTTTAGTGCGCATGCGCAGCTAGGAGTGCAAGAGTTTCCTTTTGATCCTGCTACTGCAGAGGAGAACAAGGCGGAGTTCTCACGGAGGATTGGAGTGCCGTGGGAAATGCTGGGGATTAGTGGGGAGGAGAGGGGGAAGTTGTTGAGGTCGTTTGAGGAGACCCTAGGCGGGCTTGCGAGCTTGTATAACAGGAATGCGAGTGGGCCTTTTCTGATAGGGGATAGGGCAAGTTATGCTGATTTTATTGTGGGGGGATGGTTGCACTGGGCTCGGGGCACATTGCCAGGGGAGGAGTGGAAAGCGTTGAAGGGGTGGCATAACGGTATATTTGGAAGGTTGCATGAGGCGCTAGAGGTGTTTGCGCAGATTGATTAGATCTGGGTAAATGGGCTGGGTAATGGATAATGGATAATGCTGTGTAATTTTAGATAGACAAGCACTCGACCAGCTGTGTGTGGGTATACGAGTTAATAGGCAAATACACTTCTCTCGTTAAAATTGGACCTCTCTGTATACGACCTCGTTAGTCGCGGATAGTCGACTCCTCCGGACCTCCATCCCCCGATCCCCATTTCACTATCAACCGTCGTCGGTATTGGCGTCACGTGCCGTGGCTTACACGGCCAACCCTATTACCACAACCGTTCACCATTAGCCAACGGGATTCCTGGTTCCTTGCCCAGACTCATGACTGTCCCGTGCGCCTTGTTTCCCTCAGCAAACCATGACCTGCGCAGCAACGCTGAAATGTTCACCCGCCGCTCACCCTCACGCTCCTGGGCTCAACTTAGCCTGTCCAAGCCTGACGTCCTTCCTTGGTCCATTTTCCAGCTTTTAATCTTGAATTCGCTATGTGTATCCCGTCACGCGTCGCCGTTTCCAACTTGACTTGCATGTCGCATCCAATGAGGAAAGCAGTGCCAGTACCAACCTCCCAGAAACCTTCTCGAACCATCGGTCCGATTGCTCTGATGGTGAGTCGGAGTTAGAAGACGGCAGTGACAGTTCCGTAGATGATACCGATGATGACCCTGCGGCGATGATGAGGAACAGTACTCAACAGAATACTATCTGTCAAAGGCTGAATGCCTTGACGTTTCCCAACTGCGTCAGCGGCGGTATAGTCCAAAGGCCCAGGAGAAACCGAATGAAACTCGGGACTATTGGGACCGGTGAGGAGGGCGCTCCCCTAACAGTCAATGCTTTAATACTAAGTAATTGTCTTTTTGGTCAGATTTTGCGGAGGTGGACACCTTGACCCAGCCGAGTGTTTCTTGTGGCTTTCGGATACAGAAGAAAAAGTACGCTTCCCTGAAGCCTTCTTCAGCTGGCGCTGCGACCAACGGCGGGGTCAAAAAGGACGTCGAGCTCTGGGAATCAAGTATAGAAGCTCACTGGAGACATTTTCGAAAACGTGGCATCTGATCTACAAACACAAAGTCGGTCAAGGGCCGCACCAACCTGCCCTCTACCAATGCGGATTCGAACTCTACAACTTTGGTCAGAAATGGGTCTCTCAAGGGCAATTTTACCGCCATGGCCAAGCAAACCCTGCCATCCAAGATGGGTGACAAATGTGCTCGGGTTGTCTTAAACTGCCTGACTTGTATGGATGATACCAATGCCGACTTTGGCGATCGGGTTCAGTTTGAGGATGAAGATGGAATTTTTATTGGCGTCAAGTACACCGAGAAGGTATGAAATTGCTTATTGGTCATAAAATATCCATGGCAGCAGAGGACTCATTATGTTGCAGATCCTATTACAACTTGGTGAAGTTTCAGTTTGATAACTAGAATTGCAGCATTCATCGTGTAATGTAATCCACAGTAGAGCTGTCCCATCATCTACAATTATTCCCTTACGCATCACTCGTTCACCACCACTATGCGGGGTGTCTCTCGTTAAGATCCAATGCTGATGGCTATTATATCTTATCAGAATAAAATGGCTAATAGGTCTGGTGTTCGCAATGGACTCGTTTATGGTTTGCTGCTGGATTGAACGTCCCATTACCGACACATTCGTTGAAAGGAAAGAATAGAATGAGTGGCCATGAGCTAGGGTCAATATGCTGATTGAGGTTGTATGTACTGTCTTAAAAATAAGGAAATTAGGACCGGCGACGTGCCTTACTGGTGAAATCTCGGGGGCTTTTTGTGCCTGTATGGTCTTGGCCTAGTACCTTCTCCCGCCCTTGTAGAGCTTGTTGAAGCATTGTCTCTGCCTCTTTGTATTTTTGCTGCTGATAGAGAGTCCAGCCATATGTATGGATGTGATTTCTGCACGATTTTGCTCGAGGGCTGTGCCTTGGGTGTGCATAGCCTGTGATAATTGAAGCCCTGACGAAAGGTACGCCTCGCCCTCTTTTTGTGTCATGGAGATCGGATGTGCCGTGCGTACTGAACGTTGACTTCTTGTCCCGTTTAACGCGCTCCATCTTGCCGAGGCCTCTGTAGGTTCCAGTGAACCACGCGCTGTTCTGCGAGGCCTTTCCATACTCAGCGTATTATATATAGAGTCTGCGGTTAGTCTATGTTGTGTTTCATTGGTGATTAATCTCTTGTTTGCTTGCCAGTCGGGGTCTGACGCACAAAAATTTTCCAGCCATTCATGCTTTAAAGCATCACTTGCCGACAGTCGGCTGGCAGCTGTTGTAGTCAACAGATCCTGTGTAATGAAATCATGGCATTCTCTGCTAACACCCAAAGACCCCAAAGCCGATTCCGGGAAATCACAGTTTTCTATGCATCTCCGTAATTCGGTCTCCTTATTGAATGGAAGTGTTGCAGTGATCATGTAGTGCACCAAAACACCAAGGGACCGCATATCCACCTTGTCCGTGTACTGCAAATCCGACTCCTGGTTTACAACGACCTCAGGTGCGATGAAGCCAAGTGCACCGACTGCTGTTCGAAGGAATGTTCTTCCTTCATGGACACGTTTGCTGATCCCAAAGTCGCCAGTCTTGGCCCACCAGTCTGGGCCTTTCCTAACTACAAATATATTCTAATCTGTTAAACATCCCTCCATGTTGACAGCGTCGAGGAGCACTTACTGCTGGTTTTACATCTCGGTGGGCAAATCCATTTAGACGCAGCTGTTCAAGGCCCTCCAGAAGTTGATGAGCAACGTGCTGGGCCTCCCACTCAGGTAACGGTCGTCCTAGATGGGTTTGAAGATCGCCTAGTTCGAAATATTCCATTGCGATGTACGCATGTTTTGCATCCTCGTACTCCGTATCGAGGGTAGTATCGAGTCCTTACTCCTTGCATCCAATGACCCAGTTAGGGTACAACGCTTACTCAATACTTATTCAGCGCCTATGTATCACGTGAATTTTCTCCGCGATGCTTACGTCATACCACGGGGTAACTTGTGTGCACGCAAGAACCGCGACAGAAGACGGTTTGGATTGTGATATTCGTTGGGGAGACAGATGGGAAGTTGAAGAAGAAGGTGGTAACACGCATAACTAGTGTGGGCATTACAATTACAGGCAATCTCTAGTAAGCTCACCATTCCGATGAACACTCCTCGGGCCCTCCCGTTCACATGTCAGTCCGCGTGAGCATCTTCGGTGTTTTGTCCAGCTTCATTCCTCCTTCTTTCCATCCGTCTATCCTCAAACAACAGTGATGGTCATGCTCGCTCTCTTTGATTCTGGCTAGGGCTTTTCCATCTTAAAGTCCAACAAGAAACAAAAAATGGCCGCGCAGTCTAAGCTGCTCCCCCCCGAGCGCTCCATTCGGCATCTCCTCTCCAGCTTATCGAAACTCTACCTCCGCAACCGCACCCGTATCACTCGAACCGTCTACCTAGCCCTCTTCGCCGCTCTAGCAAAGCGCATCCATGGCGCTATCTCCGAGCAGAAAGCTGCCTCTCGGCAACAGGTAGAGTTGCGACGACGACCAGGGACCAGTAGTCTCGGCAGCGGCGCCACGGACAGCGGGGGCGGCGACCGATCGCGTAAGAAAGTTGGGGTGAATCGGGAGTTCTTTCGGAATTTACTCCGGTTGCTGAAGGTTGTAATTCCTGGTTGGCGGACTAAGGAGATGCGGTTGCTTGTGGGGCATAGTGTGTTTTTGGTGCTGCGGACGTTGCTTAGTTTGTATGTGGCCGAATTGGATGGTAGGCTGGTGAGCAACTTGGTGCGTGGAAAGGGGAGGGATTTCTTGCTGGGGCTTGTGTGGTGGATGATTGTTGCGGTGCCCGCGACGTTTACGAATTCGATGGTGAGTGCCAGAGAGTCAAGGAATGTATGCATGCGCTGACTGTCTAGCTTTCCTATCACCAATGCAAACTTGCCCTTAGCTACCGGAAACGTCTAACGGACCACATCCACGAGAAATACCTGTCTAACATGACATTCTATGCGATCTCCGCGCTAGATGACCGGGTCAAGAACCCCGACCAGCTGATCACGGTGGACGTCTCGAGATTCTCAGATAGCCTGGCAGAGCTCTATGGCAACCTAGCCAAGCCGGTCCTTGATATGGCCATCTATACCTTTTCACTCTCCAGAAGTGTAGGTTCAGAGGGTCTCTTTATCATGAGCTTGGTGGTGCAACTATCAGCCAACGTCATGCGTGCCCTAACACCACCGTTTGGCAAGTATGTCGCCGACGAGGCCATGTTGGAAGGGGAGTTCCGGTTCCTTCACACTAGACTCATTGATTACAGTGAGGAAGTGGCGCTCTACCACGGCCACGAGGCTGAGAAGGATACTCTGGACAAGGGGTACTTCACTCTGATCAAGCATGTGAATCGCATCCTGCGGAGGCGTCTGTATCATGGTTTCATGGAGGACTTTGTGATCAAGTACTTCTGGGGTGCTCTGGGCTTGGTGCTTTGCAGTGTTCCTGTGTTCTTCAAGACCCCTGGGAAAATCACCCAGTCCGCTGGGGATCGGACGGAAAGTAAGTACCCTCAGCTGTCTTACATGTCCCCGAAGATTTTAACACGTTACAGGCTTCGTTACGAACCGACGAATGCTGCTCTCCGCATCAGACGCTTTCGGCCGCTTAATGTTCTCCTACAAAGAAATCTCCGAACTAGCCGGCCACACATCCCGCGTCTCCTCCCTCCTAGAAGTAATGGACGACCTCCTGGCCGGCCGCTTCGAAAAGAAACTCGTCTCCACAGCCTCAACCGAAGAAAACGCCTGTGTCCTATCCGGCCGCGGCACCATCGAAGAAAGCCCCTCCATCGAATTCACAGACGTCCCCATCGTCTCCCCCAACGGCGACGTTCTCGTCCGCAAACTCTCTTTCACCATCCACTCAGGCGACCATCTCCTCATAGTCGGCCCCAACGGCTGCGGTAAATCCTCCCTCTTCCGCATCCTAGGCGGCCTGTGGCCTGTGTATGGTGGCATCGTTAAGAAACCCCGCTTCGATGAGATCTTCTATATTCCGCAACGACCCTATCTGTCCCGCGGAACCCTCCGCCAACAGGTCATCTACCCGGACGGTGTGCGAGAAATGCACCACAAGGGTGTGACAGATGACGACCTAGCTGAGATCCTCTCCATCGTCGAAATCGCTTCCGTCATCGACCGTCCTGGTGGCTGGGACGCAGAGGAAGAATGGCGCGATGTGCTCTCTGGTGGCCTTCAGCAGCGAATCGCCATGGCCCGTCTCTTCTACCATAAACCCAAGTTTGCGATCCTAGACGAGTGCACGTCTTCTGTGACCCTGGAGATCGAACGTGTTATGTACGAGACCGCTAAGAAGTTGGAGATCACATTAATGACAGTATCGCATCGACGGAGTTTGTGGAAATATCATAAGAAGATCCTACAGTTTGATGGGCAGGGGAGTTATGTGTTCACTGGCTTGGATTGGGAAAGGAGGTTGAAGCTTGAAGAGTATGCCTTGCCCCTTTTCTTGTCTGTTATTATGAAAAACTGATGCTAACCACTATCACCGAACAGTGAGAAAGATGACCTGGAGCTCCAACTCCGCGCCATCCCGGATATTCAACGACGTATTACCGAGTTGAGCTCATAGTTCTTTCTCGCTTCGGTAGTTTATTCGTTGGTTGGTTGTCTGTTTGTTTGGCGTGATTACCCCTCCTTTGTTTATGTTCTTGTTCTTCCTCGTTCTCTTGCTTTATAGAGCATAGAGAGAGCTGTGGTTTGGAAGTGATCTGATGTTTGGATTTGATATTGGATGTACCCCCTTT